TTAGATGTGATATGATATTGATAGTTGAACATCGCAACATTCTGTTTGTGATGAGACTTGATGGTATACTCTTACTCTGCTTATAAAAAGTACCCTATAAAGTTGCTGCAAAAGACCAGAGACACTGATGGAAGGGATGCATGAAAAAAGTGGGGTTGAATACGTCAGTTTGGTCTGTGAACATGAGATCAAGCGTATAAAAATGCTTACCAGGTAGTATTTGGATGGTTTGAAAGTGCCAGGACATTGAGATGGGGTGTTTGTAAATATTTGGGTCCTCAAAAGTGGCGGATCTCTTAGGTAGCACAATTTTGGAGGCTTTTCATGCTGGTCCGATGTAGCCATGTTGGGTTGCAGGCATGAAGGGTTGTTTTGAGAGTGATGTCGACTGTTGAATTTGATATTCTGATCAAGTTGCTGCATACCGCTCTGACCAAGGGCTGTGGGGCGTAAGTTCTGCTTGCCCTGTCAATTTGAAAGCCCGCTACAACCCCAGCATCCGGGATAGGGCGGTGGTGGGGCGTTTTCACCCGCTACAAGAAAGATCCCTGAGTGATGGCTGGGCGCAAGGTCAAAATCACTACACAATGGATAGTGGTAGTGTTGTGAAAGTGCTGTGGCACTACACTTTGAAAAGTTAGTTTTTGTGATAGTGGTTGATGCACAGCCCTATACAAAAGTCCAAAATTTCTGTAGTGGTATGTCCACTACTCACAAGTTTTGGTAGTGTGTCCACACATATAGTGGTCCACATAGTGTACTGTAGTGTGCACTGATATATAATTTATTGAAATTTCATTGGGCTCTGCACCCAAATAATCAAAAGTCCTGCTCTTTGTCAGGACCCTTCTTTATCTTTCCTTTAGGACACAAGGTATACACATACTTAAATTCACCTCTGTACTACTTTGCCCCACTTTTCTACCTTGTGACCTTCTTTCATTGGCTTTCCCCCACCACATCTACCCTACCAGTGCACCCCATCAAAATCATGATCAAAAAAGTGAGTTTCAACTGAAAAGTATGAAATAACATGCTTTAATTCCCTTGCTGAGCATTGATTGTGACTTATAAATCTAGATTGATTATCAAAACAATGGATTTAAACAGCATCCTCCCAACAAAAATACTTTGCATATCACTCAATCACCCTCCAACAAATGTACTTTCTAATTTCAACCATTATCCAGTTTATTTATGATCAATTTCTTATCTTTCATCTTAATTTTCTTTTACTTCATCTCATCCTGTCATTCTGAAGGTATCCAATCAGCAATATGCCACTGTTACAGACAACAAGTACAATGTGTTTGCTTCAATGCCTTCTCCTGACAATGATGTTAGTCATGAAATGGAGGGCTGATTGGTGGCTTGATGCATTCATGGTGGAAGATAAATTTTTCTTTCATTCTTCTTATCAATACTATGGTTTCTCACTACTTTGTGTGATGTAGGACAACTCATGTTCTTTTCCTGTTCTTGCAGAGATGGCTCAGGATTTCCTGTGCTGTTCTGCAACCACCTGTACTTGTGTGAGAGGGTGTTTTCTGGAGCAGCCAATGTCTGCGGGTTTGATCAAAAGGCATTGGAAAGTGCAACCTTTGAAGAACTTACTTCATTGTACAAAGGGATGAAGGCAGGTCTCAATGTTCCCGGAGCATTTTCTAAGGCCTTTGAATTGGTTGTGTATATGGAAAAAAATGAAGTAATACTTCATTGTCAATATTCCTACATCTTGTTTCTTTGGCATTTCCCTATAAACTTGTTCCTCATTCAACTTATCTTATTCTTCAAGTTAACAACTTTCTCTAATACAAAGCTTGGCTATCTTATCTTATTCTTTTCTCGCCTCACTCCCTTCCCCTTGCTTCACAACTCTCTTTGAAACTTGGTTCATTTTCAATCTCTCTTCTTTTCCTTGACCGGCTCAAGTAATCCATAACTCAAGTTTAATGGTTCTTTGTACGCATTTTCTACGTAGTGCACTACATGCCTTTTGATGAATTTCTTTTTTCATATTCAAAAAACATGTGCACTATTATAGTGCTAGTGATACAATATCACAGAGAGTTTTAGTGACTAACACACACCACTACATACAATAAATAGCAGGTGTCTGCAAATAGTGGTGTGTATTGGTTCCTTAAAATAGTGGTACACCACATCACTACTGAGGACCTGTCATATAGCTGTGCATAGTGAAGTGATTTCAACCTTGGTTAAGCATATCAGAAGAGTAATGGAACACTGTTCGTTCAGTGAACAGTGTTCTTGAGGTGCGTCTGTTCTATATAATTTCATGAGATACAATTGATTGATCAATGTCTGTCTAGGTATTTGAGCATGCAACAAAACGCACGGAGGGGGATTTCCCCTCAGGATGCAAGGTTTTGTCTGAGTATTGAAAGGTCCAAAATGAACTTCTAGTTCTCCAACAGAACAGTTCATTTCCTAGCCTTGACGTGATGATCAAGGAGATGCTCAAACATCTTCAAGTTTACGCTGACAAAGCCACCCAAACCGAGGTTGTACAGATTGCCACCATCCTCAACCCACGTCAACAATTAAACTACATTAGCAAGTTTTGTCCAGATGTCGAAATCAATGCGCAAACCTCTTTAGATACTGTTTTTGCTCGATATGCTGAAAACATGCCACCACCACGAGCCTTGTCGGTAGAAGTTGTTGCGGTGAATCAAGCTGATGTGAGTGACAATGAAGAGGACAATTTGTTTCCAGCCGCACCAGCGACTGAGGGAACTCAGGATATTCAAATTGAACTAAGATGCTATCTTGAGGGTGCTAATCCCATTGGCAAAGGGACCAGTGCCCTCAACTGGTGGGCTGTGAGTCCCTTTTTTAGCTCGACTTCACCTTTTTCTTACTCTCCGCTTATTTGTAAATTGTCTGCATGGTAGAGTAATGCAACAACTTTCCCAATATTGGCCACAATGGCTCAAGATTACTTGGCCGGGAACTTTGTGCTCTGTTGAACGCACGTTCTCTTCAGCTGCGGATATTGCTGTCTCAATACCGCAACCGCTCCGCTTTCAATTGCGGTTGCGGAGCGATTGCGGAGCGCTTTTGAGAGCCGCTATACCACCGCTGTTTATAGCGGTGACTGCGCTCCGCAATGCCTAGGTGAAAAATTCCATAGCGGCGAACCCGCTCCGCAATGGTAAGGGGCTGGGTTTGCCCCGCTATATAGTGGCGCTTCTAAAGAGGCTGTTGTTTTTGTTCCTAGTTAACACTGCCTGGTCTTAGGTTCGAATCAATTGCCAATCCTCCTTGTTTTTCTTCCAATGAAGATCAAGCAACTATTCAAAAAGGAACTTGAATTTGATTAAAGATAAAGAAACTGCAGTAGGTTCAACTTCTTTACCTGAAGACTCTCAACCAAAAGACGTGAATATAGTGATTGTAGGATTAAATTATACATCTAAAACTCAATATAGATCATTGGTTTGATTAGAATATGCAGAACCGATCAAGATTTGAAAGAAGTTGATTACAATATTTGTGAGTGGAGATGAAGGCAATGCTACATAGATCATCTGTTGATGAAAGTTTACCAATCGTTTATTACCTTTGATTCAGGTTAATCAAGATCTTTTCAATAGCTGAAGAAGATTTCTCAACATCAAAAGCGGCAATCAAATTAAAATCGTTTAAGAACAAATTAACCTCATACCCTCAAACAATTCAAACTTATCAAATCAATCATCATCTTTTACAATAACCTTCAATTCAAATTCAATCAACAGAAACTCATCTTATAATCTATCAATCAAGACTCATCTTTGGATTTCTTTTGTTTGAATCACCATTTTTTATGACACCCGATTTACTTCATTCACCAATTTACTTTGGATCTTATTCAGGTTCAAAACTTCAATGTAAGCTTTTTTGTTTGAATCTCCTGTTTGATTTCTTATTTTTCAACTTGCATTATACATATACTCCAGAGGAGTTGATCATGAAATGCCACAATATAGCAATATCACGCAGCAATTTGCTTATAGCGCACTATGTAGTGATTTCCACTATAGCGCGCTATACAGCGAAAATATAGCGTTTCAATCGCTCCGCAAGCCTTGAAGGGAAAAAAATTGATATATAGTGATCCCATTGCGGAGCGATTTATAGCGCAGGCTCCGCATCGCAATGGAGAGGGACCAAATTCCATAGCGTTGCGGAGCGGTTGCAGTGTTGGCTGTCTCAAGTCAAGGATTGATGAAGCCCTCAACAATATCGGAGGCTGTTGGTTGCCGAGAATGGTTGAAGAATAAGGCAGTGCCTTCTGGTAAGTTTCAGGAGGCAGTGACATACCTTTTGGATCATGAATTACGCAAAGGAAAAAAGAAGAGCAAGGAAATTTAAGTTCTCGCCCAATCATTTCATTCTGTCTCTCGATTTTTTCCATTCTTTTAATGCTTGTCTTTTTTTCATTACCTCATTTAATATGGCTTGTACTTTCTCTTTCTGCTTATATCTACTTTCACTGTAATTCGTTTTTTTTTGTTTTTGAGTAAGCGCTGTGTACGCATAGCCTACGGTGGCTACGGTGGCTACGGCGCGACTAACTACGGTGTCACCGCACCGTAGTATGAAACCTAGGTAGTGATAACCTTGACTTCACTACGAAGACGGTGTACAATTGAAGATTCACCGTACTGCACCGTTGTATGGACCGTAGTCCACTACGCTGCGGTCCGATTTGGGCAGAGATTGCGGCCTTTGGGAGGGCCGCGACTGTCAGACCTGCATCATCCCATGAATACATGGGATATCACCTTTCAATGAAATTTGACCGCCTACCTGTCCTGATTTAATTGCCATGTGCTGAACATACTCATCACAGGTTGGTGAAATCTTATAACTCATTTCACCTTCTACCCGCGCGCCCTCGTCCCTCAGAAAACCCGCAAAGCGGGATCTGCCGCTCACCACCACCTCACACACAGTTCCCCTTCTGCACCATCACTATCACCTGCCACAACATGCTCTTGCACAAGTTCGTCGATAACCTTGCGCAATACTTCCCGGACCTCCACTCGACCCTCACAGTCCACGACTTCACACGCTTTGCTACCTTAGCGTCGGAGGTGGTTTTCCGTTCCAAAGGAACGATCAGCAACGAAGCGGATTCCATTATTCCCTTCCTACGCAACGCATTACACCTTTCTCTGCCCAAGGAATTGTGCTACCAACTATGGCATACGACTCAGCCCAATTTCAATACAATGCATATTCAACCTGGCCACTTAATCCAACAGCACGGCTACTCACCCGACCTGACAACGAAGATCCCTGAATACACTCTGGTCTCCCCGGTCAAGCAATGCTTAGTCTGCGCAAAGCCTCACATTTTGCAGCTTCGCTCTCGCATGGACAGATATCTGTACGACGTGGACGGCGTCCATACTGCCAGCATTGTAACTCTGAAATGCTCAGGTCAGCGCAGCTTTGCGGTCACACCAATAATGACACACCAACATATCTGACACTGAATTGAATATCCAACCCAAATGACTGACTCATAGGATGCTCGACCCACTACCGCCCGAGCTATCATTCAAAAAAAAAATTCGCACCTACTTCTCATCTGCGAACGGGCGCAATGCGGATATCTACCAGGTCAGTTGTCATTTCTTCATGACACATCGACTGGCGGAGTTTTTTCGAGAGGGACAAATGCTCGCCCAGTAGGTTCCTCCTTGTTGCTTGATCACCAGCCACAATAAGATATTGATGATAGTGTGTTTTATATTCTCTCTGCTAGCATTTCAAACTTCAACTTGGCCAATCTGTTCAATCGGTGTTACGTCGATGACGTTCCCCTTCCGCCCCTTGCCGGCGCACCCAAGGTACGACCCAAGCTTTCCGAAGTTACGTGCAGAGATGCTCTCGACATCAATTCTCTCTTGCAAAAATTGGAGTCCGCCGGCGCGTGTCTGAGGGTCGATACGTCTGTTGCTCCTGAACATCGCTATCACAAAGCCATGAAGGCAGTGGTAGAATGGATCGCTTTGGAAGGGTCGAAGCATCACAATCACGCATGCTCTGCATGTGTACGAGTAATCCCATTACCTACGGCAGACGGCCGTGCCAAACTCGGATGTACGTCTGGCCTACCTTCGTACTTACAGCACGTTCGATCACTCTAAATCTGATTCTGTGTTGACTGTTAGACATCCGTGCTGTGGTTACAGATGGCATAACAATAGGGCACTGGCGATGTACTGCCACCTCCGAGCAGTTGCGTGAACTTGCAAATGTAGACGGCCAGCCTGCCCCTAATGGGCCTTGTACCACCCCCCTCGCAAGTGTGTCTGATCGATTTTGTCCAGAGCACCACAATCGACTCGGAAAACGCTGTGTGGCGCAGCCGTGCAAACGCGACGCCACCAACGGAACAGCGACCTGCGACCTCCAAGAACATGTTGACGCGTATGCTAAATTCAAAGCACATGTCTCTTCCAACTTTTCTCTCACTTCAATGCTTAACCGGCCTGGTTCAAATCGCCCTTCGGATCCGACAGTCCACCAGCACTGGGACACTGCTGAACTGATTGGTCTCGAAAACGTCAAACAAGGCGATGAAGGCGATCGCTTGCATGAACAGGGTTGGATGGGTAGTGACGCTGCCCCCTGTCGCATCTCACTCTCCCGAAGCAAGACACACAATGACCAGCTAATAGTTGGAACCTGTGGGATAGTTCTTGCAAGAGAGACGTTCTTTCATGCAGAAAGCGTCAGTGCTGTTCGGGTAAGTTGCTACCAAGACGTGACTTGTCATAGTTGCTGACTATCTCTGAAAATGACTTTCAAACATAGGAGTTTATACTTCGCACTTTCCCGCGCCAAATGCCACAGGTCTGTTTCTACGACAACACCTGCAAGCTGGTGGATCATATCTACCATGGGGGCGGCGACTCCACCCCCTTTTTGAACACTGTTTTTCCTGTTGACCCGTTCCACTTCCGCTCACACAAGGAAAGTGACGAGTTCTGTCAGTATTACACTGACCCTAAACTGTTCCCCGAACTCCGAGACGCCAACGGTTGGTTTTTCGATGCTTCGGCAGGGGAGTGCACCAATGTGTGGTATGGCGGGTATGCATCACTTGCCAGAAATATGCATCCAATCCGATTCAATTTCATGATGTGGGATATGATAGAACGGCGCAATGATTGGCTCATCAGGCGGCTTTCTAGACGTGAAAACATCTCTTTCATAGGCAACTTTCCCTTTCATTAAATCATTGTAATATGCGACAACTATCGGTTTTGGAATTGCAATATGTGTATTATACAATAGGGTCTATGTAATGCAACAATAGGGTCCATGTAATGCAATATCTTGATTATTTTGATGATAAAACCTTGACATTACATTGTCATTCATCTTTCTTGTCTCATCACACCTCAAACGAAGTTGATTCCCTTGATTACAAAAAGAATAGATTGACTGATTCAATTCAATGAATCAGTCAAGGATTGAACAACGAACCATTTTATATAGGGGCAAAGAGGAAAGTGGAGCAAGTGATTTTGACTGTGACTGTGAATTTTCATTTCAGTCACAACATGTAATTCTCAGTATAGTTTGCTACTATTTTGTAATGTTGAACCGGTATCAGGTTTTTTCAGGTTTGAGTTATAACGAGCGAAAACATCACGCTTTAACACAGAATTTACAACACTCATGTTCTTCCGGAAATCTTCGGACGGCCGAGCCACCAAGATTGCTGTGGATCCGGCTCCCCCATCTATACCAAATGTCAGCATTGAGAACTCGAAGGGAGGTAAATATTCCAACGCACGTCTTGTCATGCACAACTGCCTCGGTAACAACTGGTCCAACACCTTGGAAGCCACATATGAACGTCTCCTCACCACTGACATCGTACGTCCAATGCGAGAATGTGTTGAGCACCAGGCGCATGCTGGCGGCAAGAGGGTGGTGTTGTTCCGAAGGGACACACGGTCCGAAAGACGTGTCCAGACTGTAGACTTTGCGACGGCCTGGTATGTGCTCTTTGGCATTAAAAGTGTGGACAACCCCTTTTGCAGTGGGAAGGGTAACGGGGTCGTGCATTTGCCCAACCATGTTCTCCTGCAACTGAATATCAAAGAGAGATTAATATAACGTTCAACGCTGTGTACCATCAATCAGATAAGACTTACGCGCAACTGTTTAAGGACTTGCCATTCTTCCACAGTGGCATCCGCGGGGTGTAAGTTGGCAATGAGGTTGTCGCAAAATCGTGCCAGTTGGTATGCAACATGGAAATTCATTTGGGCAATAGCCAAATGAGTGCGAAGGCTTCGTGATTCATAGTCAAACAACCGCACTCCAGGTGGCACTTGCATGCCGGAACGAGACAGCAAAGCTTTGAAGGTCGAACGGAAGTCCCACCCGTGTATAAACTCTTCCGTGATTTGGATGGACGCAGAACGCTGGTCAAATCCCCACTCCATAGGGTGCTGAGAGGGATCGTAAGTAATTGCAAACATTATCACATTGTTGCCACGCGTGGTGAGTCTTGGCACGTCCACACGGTGTGAGCGATAACCAAAATCGTTTTGCGTGTCGATGAAGCGAGGTCCTTTGAAAAGTGCATTCTCTAAGAAATCATTGTGGTCAGCAAGTGAAAAAACAAAAGCCAAAAACAAAATAAAGAATCAAAGTACTCACTAAATCCACACAGCGAATGCAAAGTAATGATTGGTTCTGGTTCAATGGCGAGTGTGGTTGGTCTATTGGCCGCCGCGGCTATCGGGTCTGCCATGTCAGTAGTGGAAAGGGAGGGAGTGCTTGAGGGCAGTTGTCATGGCCGAAATTTTGAGGTAGAGTTGAGAATTGGTTGAAAATTGGTTGAAAATTTTCAACCAGGGACTGTTTTTTTCCAAAAAACAAAAAAATGGTTCTGAATATGACTAACCCTGACACACACACTCGAAAATAAGGGGTGACTCACGAAAAGGTAAAGAGAATGTATGTGTGCTCCATGTTAAACCTAAACCAAAACAGGCTGTGCAAATGATCGAGTTTTCACGGGACATTACGCAGTGATACCAACAAAAATACTTGCTGCTCACTGAATGTGTTCTTTATGATCCAAAGTACTAGTTGAGTCCTCCCTCGGATAACTACTGGTGCTTTGGTATGCGACTATTATTGGTTTTGGATCTACGATGTTGGATGAGCCGACGTAATTGGCTGGTGGGCTATTGGTCTGGTGAGAGTGTCTCTTTGGTTGGTTATCTTGCGAGAAAAGATATTGGGGCAGTTGGACATTGGTTGTTTTTGGAACATGTGACAGACAGATGGCAGGTTGTTTGGTTGAGAGGACAAGCGGCACAAATCATTCACACAAGGAAACAAGGAATGGAGTTTGAGTCAGTTCCAACACAGATAGGAATAACCCAAAGCCAAAGCAAAATAGACATGGTCATAACGGAAGATTTCAATCTTCGCCCAATTTGCGTTTGCGCATACCTTGCGACGGGCCTAACTGAGGCACGCTGGTACTGTTCTCTGGTGGCGGGCAACCAGCGGCAATGAACTCCGCAAGGAAGTTCTGCCGAGCTGCAGCGAGGGTAACCGGGTTGGAAAGACTGAGCTGCTGTTCATGCCATTCACTGAATCTCAAAACGGTAACACCGTTGAGCCATTGGGTGTATCGATATTTGGTATGATCGTTCCCTTGGTATCGAGTTTTGAAAACGCGATCCCACGCTTTCAACCGTGACAACATCTGGGGGATCAATTGGATCCACTGGAGTAGGTCACTTGATAGAACTTTGTAAGTCGGCCAGTGCTCTTTTGCAGGGGTGGAATTGTCCGCTGTTTCTGAGGGAGATACCTGTAATAGTATGAAATGAGAAGTTGGGTTGTGGCATTTATATACGACAAGTAAATGACTGACTCCTGATGTTGGAACGCCTTGTTCCAGTTCTACATCTAGCGTGGGAGTGGTGACATGTTTCTCGCAAACAAGAATCACATCATCATCGTCTTCATCGTGGGTCACACTCGGTGTTGGCTTTGGTGTTTCGGGCAACATAGGAGTGTAATCCGGACCAGCAGTCTCGTAGGTAGTCCTACTCATCCAGTCAAATCGGGTACATTGCTCATGTAGAAGGTTCTTTGCTTTTACAAGTATTGTGCGCGGGAAAATGGGATGTCGGGCTGGTACGTCTATTGGGGTGGTGCACTGTATCAATTGGTCAGTTGTCATCTTCTATAGTCTGTTTAAAATCGGTTCAGTGGTAGTGTACATACCCATACATTCAAATTGTGTTTCCAGACGGAAAGAGCACGGCACCAGGTGCTGTTGGAGTGACCTTCGACAAGGGCGGCCTCGTTGACTAGGAATTGACATTGCTGGAGTGAGAAGCTTGGCCACTTCGTGGCAACAAAGGTGAACATATCGGGTTCTTCATTCGGCTACAAAGATGATTTTGTTAATGTACGTCCAGGGATTTCTATACTGATATAGTAGCTCTCCACTCTGACCTTGAGCCATGCAATGACACTGACTGTCTTGGACTCGTTGGCTTCGACTTGTTGAGTACGAGAAATGCTTTGAAGCCGTGCCTCTCGCAATTCAAAGAAAGCAGCGAGCTGTATGTCACTAAATTCTTGAGCCAGTGTTCCACCGGTTGGTGCACTTTGAAGCGGGATGCGTTTGTGTGTTGGTAGCGAGGCTGGGTGGGAGCCATTTGCACTTGTCTCTGCTGCTGCTGGATTATTGGATGACAATGAGGGATTTGGTGGGAAAATTGAATTGGATGACGACGAGGGCTTGAATGGAGGATGGATGGCAGGGGCACCCCCGGTGAAGGCCTGCATGGGTGCCTCTTCCTTTTTTGAGTGACCCTTGGCAGGGCATGGGCGACTTGGTTGACCTAATGAGATGCAGCACTGTTGGACGATAAGTGAGAGGTATGATGTGGGTTAGTGGTGTGATGCTTCAGTGGTGGAGGAGACTCTTACCGAAGCGCAGGCTTGGTATAGGCACTTCTTGTTGCCTTTACGCCCATCACGCGTTTTGTGGCTGGCCCCGGTCTGGCCTCCAACTCCACAACAGATGATGCTGTCCTTGACCTTGGGTGTGAGCGGGTGCGTATGCGAGCCGGTAGGTTGGAAAAGCTGTTGGAAAAGTTCCTGGCTGGCATTTGGGGTGGAATTGGATGTGGTTGGTCCATTAGAAATTGGTAACGCGGGGGCCTTGGGAGGACAGTAAGCCAATGGGGGCCAATGGCCGGCGTTGATGGATGCGACCTCGTGTCTGAGTTGCGCACCACTCCAAGTGCGATAGTAATGACCAAGCGTTCCTCGACGTGGCTTGATGCCGCACTGATCATGCGTAAGCGGTCAGTCAGGTGATTCTCTCGGTTGAAGTGGGAAAGAAGACTCACAGCGACTTTGTAAGCTCCAGACGGAAGATAATTGATGTACTTCATCGGAGTGGTCCGGCCGTTTGATAAACAGATGGGGCATGCCAACCCAACGAGGCCGTCCTTAGTGGGAGGCGGCACTGGCAATGAGGGGTTTATCCGTTGATAAGACGTGTCGATGTAAACACCCATTGGTACAGTATGCTTGATGGAAAGGAGAGGGTTAGAGGATATATGGGATGGAGGCGGTGGTGAGAAAAAATGGGCGCACCCGGAAGCAAGGGTACCGGAATGAGACAGGAAGGGGACCGGAGGTGTTAGGTACGATGTTGAGATGCTGGAAAGGTGGATGGTGGGTGTCAGATGCGCTGTTAAGGAAGGGAAAGTGCTGCGTCAGGTGGGAGTGGTTTTCACGTGAGGGTTTACAGCTAGGTGAAATATGACACTGTCAGAGCTCTGACAGTACTGTCAGAGCGCTCCCGAAGGCCGGGTGTTCCCGATTTGGGTGTTGGTACGAGACTGGCCAGTACCAAAAAACCTATCAGAGGTATTAACCTTTTTAGGATTCTCAAACTTTTACAGAAGATTTATCAATCACTTTTCAACGATCGCAAGACCATTACACAAATTATCCCAAGACAATGTGAAATTTGAATGGACAAAAGAGAGAAATGAAGCCTTTGAAACTCTGAAGCATGCATTCACGTCAGCTCCGGTCTGAACAATAGCAGATCCGTATCGGCCATTTTACCGGAGTGCGACTGCTCCGATTTTGCATTAGGAGCAGTCCTCTCACAGGTCTCGGAGGCGGATGGCGAATTACACCCAGTAGTGTTCCTGTCCCGCTCTTTGATCAAAGCAGAACGTAATTACAAAGTCTTTGATAAGGAACTTCTTGCAGTAATTTTGGCGTTCAAGGAGTGGAGGCATCACCTTGAAGGTAATCCCAACAGGCTTAATGTTGTAGTGTAGACAGACCACAAGAATTTAGAATCCCTTATGACAACTAAAGAATTGACTCATAGGCAAGCAAGGTGGGCTGAGATATTAGGTAGTTTCAACTTCAAGATACGATTCTGTCCAGGAAAGCACTCTGCAAAACCTGATGCTCTATCAAGAAGGCCGGATTTGAAACCAAGTGATAGCAACAAACTCTCTTTTGGCCAATTGCTCAAGCCGGAAAACTTACCCACCAACACTTTCATTGATGAGCTAGATGCATTTGAGGACTGGTTCTTTGAAGAGGGGATGATGGAAGTTGAAATCAATGCAATAACACCAGCAGATGAAATAGGGAATGATAGAATGGTCATTCATGAGATCAGAAAACTCTTGATGAAAGATGAAAAGATAGCTGAAATCATGAGGTTCTGTAAAGATTTACCAAACTAAAAACACACGGCGGACTACTTGGTTGACGATAGTATCCTATACTTTAGAGAAAAGATAGTCGTACCAAGTAACAATAATATCAAGCTTCAGATTTTGAAATCAAGACACGATAGCAAAATGGTGGGTCACCCGGGTAGAATGAGGACTCTAATGATGGTCAAGAGAAATTTTCACTGGCAGTCAATGAAGGTGTTTGTCAATAAATACGTGGAAGGTTGTCAATTGTGCCAGAGAGTGAAATCAAGGAACACAAAACCGTATGGAAGTTTGCAACCATTACCTGTTCCTCAAGGCCCATGGGTAGATGTGTGTTATGATTTGATCACTGACCTCCCATATTCAGAAGGATATGACAGCATCTTGACTGTAGTAGACCGCTTCAGCAAGATGGCCCATTTCATACCGTGCCAGAAAACAATGAATTCTGAAGAGTTAGCAAGATTGATGATACAAGAAGTGTGGACACTCCATGGAACACCAAACACAATCATGTCAGATAGAGGAAACATATTTATCTCAAAGATCACAAGAGAAATGAACAAAGTTTTAGGAATCAAAACACAAGCATCAACAGTGTACCATCCGCAAACATATGGTCAATCAGAGATTACTAACAAGGCAGTAGAACAATATCTACAACATTTTGTATCATATAAACAAGACTATTGGCGAGAACTCCTACCAATGGTGGAGTTTTTGTACAACAATAATCTTCATGTTTCAATAGGAATGTAGCCATTTAAAGCTAACTACGGTTTTGATGTCAACTTCACAGGAATCCTTAGTAATGAACAATGCTTACCAGTAATTGAAGAACACTTGAAAATCATCAACAAAGTTCAAGACAAGCTCAAAGATGCAATGAATGAAGCTCAAGAAGTAATGAAGAAACATCACGATCAAAAAGTGCTCAAATCACCAACATGGGAAGAAGGAGATCAAGTTTGGCTTAGTAGCAAACATGTGTCAACAACAAGACCCACCACTAAATTCTTGCACAGATGGCTGGGACCTTTCCAAATTGAAAAGAGAATATCTACCAATGCTTACAAATTAATGTTGCCCAGAGAAATGCAGGACATACATCCGTTTTTCCACGTGAACCTCCTACAAAAGTTCAAGGAAACAGAAATACGAGGTCAAATCAATAAACCACCACCTCTGGTCAATATTCAAGGGAATGAAGAAGATGAAGTTGAAGAAGTTTTAAACAAAAGAAAGCGTAGAGGAAAATTAGAATACTCCATTAGTTGGAAGGGGTATGGAGCAAATCACGACTTGTAGGAACCTGAGAAGAACTTAACCAATGCTGAAGAAAAAGTCAAGACATCTAATGAGAGATCCCCAGATGCAGAAAAGAAATACTTTAGGTCATGGAGAAAGTGAGAGAGGGCAAAGCTTTTTGTCCCACAGGGTTTTAATGCTAGCCCGTGGAAAGACATCTAACCTGTCAAGAGGGGGTTGAGGTGTGGAGGGGGAGTGGTGTTATGAGCCTATTAGCATACTTGTCATATATGCTTGTACTGTATCTTCCTCTGATGCTAGCTCTTGTTCTGGACTCACGTGTACAGCCTTTCCTCATGTTGCAATCCTATTATCATAGCACTTGTCCTTTCTCTCTCTGCTCACTAGCCTGGTCATAACAGAAGGTATGAATGATCAACAGTGATAAGGCCAGAGGCATTCAAATGTTAGGACTTGGTGTAAAACTGGTGATGTTGATAAGGTGGTGAAAATGAATTGGAGATAAATAGATAACCTTGTGGGTAGCTCTGGTGTAGATGATATAGGATTCAGTAAAGATTGTTCACTAATAATCTCAAAAATTGTTAGATCAAAGATTTTTATAAGAAAAATTCCACCATCAACGGAAACCAAATCACCGTGGATATTTTGGACACTGCAGGTACCAAACAAGTACATTCAATTTACTCAATGGGAGCGGAAGTCCTTTTGGAGAATAAGAATATTAGATGTGGCTTTTTTCTTGACCTCTTGCTAATCTGAATGTTCAACTTTCAGAAAGCTCACATGTTTGTCAATTGATCACTTACATTTTTGGTTTTACCTTCAGTCTAGGTCAAATCTGGCCATGGATTCATTCTTGTTTTTGCTCTCAACAACATCAAACCCATGCACAAAGTAGAAGCCCTGTGTGAGCCCATATTGCTTCTGCAAGAGGCAGAAGGAATTGGAAAGACAATCCCAATGGTGCTTTGTGGCAACAAATTTGATTGGGAAGACCATATGGTAGAGTGAAGCTGGGCTGTAAACCTTTCACACAAGTGGGGAGGAGTGCCTAAGTATGAGACTAGCACTAAGACAGGGATCAATGTAGATGAGGTAGTGGTAGACCTGGTACGGCAACTCATTAAGGCAGAGATTGACTCAGCAATCTGGTACTACTCAGATGAAGGCAAATTTTGAAGGGGAAAAGTCTAGGCAAGCCATGTACAATATTATAAACTCAATCTGTGTTGTTCAACCAATATTGATCCCTCTTTGCGACTGCAATGAAGTCATCAAGGACAGAGGTCAACTTGGTCCCACCAACTTTGCGCTCCACATGCATCTAGGTTTCAAGGAGACGACATAAGCATTTTTTCCACATATTTGCAACCATCATACTTTCTTTTTAATTCTGATCCATATGATTATTGGTGTGTGTATACTCTGTTTAATTTCCGTGATCTAGACTCTTGCACACATCATTTGCTTCCTGCTTTTCATGTTACCTTATTTTTGTTTTGTTTTTCAAGATTGGGGCAGGATTTCTCACATTGATTACGCGAATAAGCACACTTCTCCGCTCTTCATAATATTTACATTTTTTTGATTATATCTATCTCCAAATTTGTAATCAATCGTGTCCCCTTGGATGGTTGAAGGAAAGTCGAATAAATCAAATCCTCTACCTGATTCAAGGTTGTGTTATTATTTGCTTAGCATTGCTTTCGATCCCATCTTGGCCTTTCTTGAATACCAGAGATTCACACAAATCCCTTTGATGCATGACCGGGTGGCAGAATTTTACACCACCCACTTTACACCTACAAATCCGGTCTATTCAGCAGTACGCGTCATGCTACTATGATGACGTCGCTACAAAACCCTCAATTCAGTCCCCCAAGACCCACTTCGTCTATCAGCCATATCGAGACAAGTCAAGCGCGGATAAATCATCTCACACACTGCAAGGAGAATTGTGTCACTCGAGTGTGAGTATGTAGTGTATTACTCACACTCTCAGGGTACATACTCAAAATATGAGTGACAATTTGTCACATCGCTGACGTGTGAGTTTAAAGCACATTAAGGGCCCTCGAGTCATGGGTTTTGGCTCCTCGGACTAAACTGTCTTATGTGAGCTCTGTCATACACACGTATGAAAAGCTTACCAACATACACATATACGTCCTGCTACTTATGCTGGGATTTTACAGAATTTTACCTCGAATTAAACATACGCTTCTGCATGGCTAAAAGTATGATAGGTGGCTGGCTTAGGTCCCTCGGTGGGCCACCGACATGTATACACAACAGGCCGCACTGGCATGCCCCGACCCGTGGTAGAAAATCACATGAGGCCCTGGGCCTGACCCGTGCTCAGGAGTTTGCACAGGTCACACAAACTGCAGTTTGACAGCTTGCCCCCGGACACCGTGTGTAATCCAGTCAGTGGTCAAACTGCAGTTAGTTTGTGTTGCAGCAGAAGACAAACTGCCCACAGGGCAATCCAAACTGTCTATCAAACTGCAGTTTGCAACCTTGTTGTTTGCAGCTAAACACAAACTGCAGTTTGGCAGTATGCCCTTGAACCCAGGAGTCAGGGCAATCCAATCGACCAATCTCATCTCAAACACCCACTTGAACAGTATCAACATCCTCCACAAGTCACCTTCAACTCAACAAGTCACCCTTAAACATGAACCGTCCATGCGACTGCCGCAAGTGCTGGACAAAACACGGATCAGGTGGCCCAACAGTATCTTCACTGACTATTCGAAGGCATCACGAGAGGAATGGACCACGTCCGGTCACCTCCCAGCCTGAATCTCAGCCAGTTTCTCCTCAGCCACCGACACCGTCATCAAACCCTGCACCACCGGTCTTGCCTTCTTTGCGAAGCTGTTCCGACACACTGGTATCCTCAGCTCAGGATGATATGCTCAAGATCGGTTTGTCAAACCTCAAGATTACTTCCTCGCCTCCAGTTCTCAATAACCTCATTGATAGCACCCAAAAGTTGGATAGCAAAGGTATACAATCTCCAGGTAAGAACTATCAGTCCTCAGCTGATATGCGAAACTGACATATTATACTGCCTTTTTAGCAGGTGCGACCGATGGAAGCTGGCTATTTCTATGTGTTTCTCTGGTCACTTATCTCCATGTGATTGCAGGAGTCAGCTTGAAGGCTGTTAATACTACACTTCGAATCTTACACCTTGCATTCACACGGTTCACCAAAGGAATGGTTCTCCATGAACACGATCAATATCTTCTCAAAACATTTCCACTTGAATTTAGTACAGCAATGAAGTGGTTAGATATTGAAGCGGATCTTGAGCGCAGTGTCTGCTGTCCAAAGTGCTTCAAAAGATATCGATATCCTTCGGCGGACGAACCATCAATCCCTCAGTTATGCACCCGTAAAGAAACCGACCGTAGCAAGGCATGCAACGAACCTCTTTTTCAAAAAAACAATGTCCCATTCCGCTTTTACTCCACTCAGCCATTCATTCCTTGGCTCACACGCTTTGTCAAAAGGCCTACTATCGAAGATCTATTGGACCAGTCTGTCTTAGTACATCAGTCACCTCCTCGATCACCTGCAGTAGATATTTGGGACGGCGCTATGTGGAGAAGTTTTCAAGATCCTCAATCACAATCGACATTCACTCAAAAACCTGGTAATCTAGCTTTTGGTATCTACGTTGATTGGTTCAACCCATTTGGCAATAAGATTGCAGGTAAAAAATCCTCCGTTGGAGCTATCATCCTTTTTTGTCTTTCACTTCCACCCAAAATCCGCTACAAACTCGAAAATATCTGTGTTGTTGGAATCACCCCAGGACCGAACGAGCCAACAGTTCTTCAGATGAACAATGTTATTGATGATCTTGTAGCTGAGCTCAAACACTTATGGCACCATGGAATCAAAATCACCACTGCAAAACACCCAGAAGGTTGATTGATACGAGTAGCACTTATTGTTGCAGTTTGTGATCTACCGGCAGTGCGTAAATTGATTGGGTATGCATCACATAGTGCCCGCCATTTCTGTTCATTCTGTTATCTCACACAAGACTCAAATCACTCACTCGACTATCAAAGCTGGACTCTCCGATGTCATTCAGATCATAATCAACAGGCCAAGGCCTGGAGAGACGCGAAAACTCATAAGGCTCGTGATCAAATCTTTGAGACATGCGGTGTTCGATGGTCTTGCTTAAACGAACTGGAATACTGGGATCCCACAAAGATGGTTGTTGTTGATACAATGCACTGCATCAGTGGTATTCTTGAATATCACTTCAGGCGTGTTTGGAACCTTGACAAATTAGGAAAATCACTTGAAAAGAAGAAGGATTCAACATCAGCTCTCTTACAAGAAGCAATGTCCACCAACTTAGACATCACCGACAATTCAGACATCAACATGACAGACGATTGGCAGCCTATTCAGCTCGATCTGGACCATGCAATGGGTTCCAACATCACTTCTAGTATGTCATCATTCAATCAACGTGACCATGGATTTGCATTCAATCCATGTGCTCTGAACTCATTGGAAGAAGGACTTCAAAACGAAGATGAGGATATTCTCTATGATGAAGATGGAAATGAACTCTTTCTGCAGCTTAATAATTCTTCACCTGATGTAGAACAAAAAGACCTGCTTGATACGGGTGGGCTTAAGAAGATAAGATCGACAATCTCGACTACATCCATTCCATCATGGATGTATCCACCACCTGCCAATCTTGGAAGCGCTTCACACAGAAAACTGCGATCGTCTGATTGGATAATATTATTCACGATCCATCTCCCGGTGGCAATGTTTGCACTACTTCAAGCCTCAAAAATCGATCCTGATGTCGTCACAAACGTTCTTCATCTTTGTAGCTTGACTGAGATCGTGATGAATTATCAAACAAGTGACATCAATATCAGAGATTACTTTGATCATCTAGTCGCTTATTGATCTGGTCTACAGAAACGACGCTCGGATTTGAAACCCACGCCTAATCAACACATGGCATTCCATGTGCCATTTCAATTCTATAATTATGGCCCATCAGCATATCTAGCTGCCTGGCAGTTCGAACAATACAATGGAATATTACAAAAAATTCCAAACAATCGCAGGATATGTAAGTTTGTTTTCATTCACCTTTTCAATAATGAAGATACTGAGTTTTATGCTGATTTTTTCCCTATTACACAGGGGAACTGGATCTAACAATGCTTTGACAGATCTGCCGAGCTTCCAATCTTGCTATTTTATTAGATTCTCCGGACACCCCAGATTGCGTGAAGGAAGTAAGTGAACTCCTGAAAGGTGGTAAAAAATTATCGTCTAAAGTTGGGGAAATTCCCACCGACATCGATCAAGATTCATCAAACTCCAAAATCCAGCATATGCCAGACGTGCTCTGCGCCTTCACCTATGCAGCACTACTGGAGAGACTTAAGCTTATGGACATCTCAAACATGCATCAACTGGCTACATCGGATTCAAGTACCAGCTGTGTATCATCGCGAGTCAAGTTTGCTACACGAATTGTCTGGAAAGGGCTTTCACTTTCATCTTACACAGTCAATCATAGAAATGGGATTATAGAATACATTCCGGTCGACCTCACCAGTAACAAATCAAGCCCAAAGATGGGACAAATCTTGAACATTTTTCATCATGTTCGCAACTGTACAACAACTGGCAAAGACATCCAGGACACATTCATTTCGGTTCTCCCGTTCAAAGCATTAGATGAAGATGATCAACATCGAAATCCATTCAAGGATTGGGATCAGTTAAAATTTGACTTATTCTATGCACATCCGACAAATGATCAAATCAAAAAAGACCTTGGATTAAATTGCAATATGATTCCTGAGGTTATAGCTCTCAAACAAGTATTCTATCCCACCGCCTCTTACACTTACGCCTCTGGAACCTTTGGAATCCAATCGTCTACAATTGCAATCAAATCATTATCCCGAGGCCGCCATACTTGGTCATGAGGCCAAAATTTCATTTTCATTTTTTATTTCAACTCTTATTTCAACTCTTTCATTTCATTTTCTACTCAACTATCATGTCATTTTTTATGTGACTCATCCGGCAATTTCATTTTGTTTTTGACTCCCATCCGGCTATTTGTATTTGACTCGTTTCCGTCTACGTATTTCATTCTCATGACCCAAAGCAGAGAAGCGTTCCCTCCGATATACACAGTCGACCCACTTTCAAATTAATTTCATATTAAAACTTTCATTTTCTATCACAAGTTTTCATCACCTATCCCTTCATATTCTTACTCCGAATCTTGATATAAAAGCAACTAACCTTTTTCTGTAGTTTGTCCATCCTCAGCTCCCATCTGTCTCCTCAGCTCTTTCAAACACATCAATTTATCCTGTCCCATAGTCTGTCCATCCCTAACTAAAGCCGAACCACCTTTCCATTACCTTTTTTGATCCAATCGAGTCTTCTCAATTTACCTTTTCCAATTCAATAAGTTTCAATGTCTGATCCCTCTCCAAACACCACTTCAACTCCTTCTCGCCCTCCACCCAACACTCAATTGCCTCAGTCAGCTCCAAATGATCCTTATGGCGACATGCGACAGCTTCAAGCCCGATGGCAATCTTTGTCCCTCAATAACACGCCGGCTAGTACTCCCAGTCCACCAAAACGCAAAGTCTACAAACCTCGAGAAGCCAAGAAGAAAAGGCAACCACGTGATATGTACGAAGAAATTGACCTTGTCTTCCTGGTGAGATCTTTTCCTTTAAATTGAACAACTGCAGCACATTCTGACGTACCATGACATCTTGCCTTAGAGATCATGCTATGTTTTAACCATGGCCCTGATGGGACAAACCGACGCAAAATCTCCATTTCCGCCACCACCAGATCAGTTCTATAATTGCTCACTTCAACGATTTATCGGACTCAACCCGGACCCCGAAGGTTCTGAAGCACCGGCCCTTCAAACTACCAAAATACGTGGAATCAGCAATCATAAACATAAACTGGACCGTGACTATATTGACTACATAAAGGGAGCCATGGCAACTTGTCACATTTACTTTTTCACTATGGACTGGGGTGCTCACATTGACGATCAGTTCAATCAAATCATGATTCAGTTCTTTGTGAAAGTTTGGAAGTGGGGGTTGAATAGTTTTAGATTTCCGCCAGCTGCCAAAAAGGAAGCTGAGCGACTTGAGATGAACGACAAGATCCTCGCAGCTATCTACGTCAGGCATTATAAGTACCTTCGTACTCAATACAAGAAGCTTGTACTCAACGATAATGCGCTAATCGAAGAACAAGCGCGAAACTCTCTCAGTGTGGCTTTACTACGTGTATGTATCTATTTTTTCTATCACTTTTCCACTTCATCTATAACAGCAACTTATATATCATCTATTTCTATGCATTTATTTAGAAAACCGAGGATCACCAACGATATCTCATGGCCATGGGTACTCTGCCATGCTATGTTGATACATTTGAAAATCGATACGTAAACTCTGACTGCGAAGTTGAGCCCGATGCAACCTTCCCACAATACGAAATTGAATATGCCAAGGTACCTTTTTGGCAATCTCCTATCGCAACTCAGTTTATCGACTTTATTGAAAATCATCGATCAACCACCAAGTCTGTTACTCCTGGCTTCAAGGGGAGACCCAAGCGTGGTAATAAGGCTCGCCCACGTCGCCGTCGTAACCCACCTGTTGTGGACTACGATGTTAAACCACCGCCTGGTCTTCCCGAAGATTGGTACAACCCTGAATACTTAGCTCTCATAACATACGAAGACATCCTGGATTTAGAGATGGGACCTCGAATGTTCCCTCCTTCTGGGAATTTCATGAGTATATTCCCATCGATTTCGGACGTCACCTTGTATGATAAATCTGGAGAAGCATGTATCCCTCCACATCTTTTGAACTTCCCACTCGCTCCATTTATGACTGGCAGAACTTTTCCAGAATGTCCTCAGTATGACTTTGTAAATCATCCACTCTTCAATATGCCTCCTAGGTCAGCAAACGCAGAACAGCCTACCCCCGGAAGCTCAGCAAACGCACAACAACCTACCCCTGGAAGCTCAGCAAATGTACAACGATCAGCGGCGATGGAAGAATCAGAGTTCATGATGGAGCATGACTCCCTCTTTGATGGTTCCGACAGTGATGAGGAGTTATAGGTTGTTTGTGTTTTTTCTTATATTTTCCTTTTTACCTCTTGATCTGTGTTGTTTATCTCTGCAAAAATTGTCCAAAACCAAAAAAATGGTCCGTGCTGTGCTTTGATTAAAAAACTTGTAAACCAAAAAAATATTTTCCTAGACTTGTATTCAACAATACAAAAGTCTTCTCGTTGTACTTCCACAAAAAAACTCGAAAACTTAAAAAAAATGTATTTTCTTTGATTCCTATATCTCTTTTCTTGGCTGGTTGATGTGCAATTTGATTGTTTCAATTATTGCAACTCTTTGCGTAGTCCACCATCATTGGAAGACGTGGAACAATTTTTTCTGTGTCTGTTCATGTGCCCAACAGGATGAGTTTTTGTGAGATTACACAATTTGCGAAGAGCTCAAACTACAGTTTGCGTTCAGCGGCAAAGAAAACAATCACACAAACTGCAGTTTGTGCTTAACTGCAAAAAACGATCCGAAACATAGCTTTTTAAAGGGATGATGAATCTTTATGAGATTACGAAATTGCGAAGGGTCAAAACTACAGTTGCTGTTCAACAGCCAAGAAAACAAAACTGTAGTTTGTACTCAGCTGCAAAAAGAACGAGAACGTCTCAAACTACAGTTTGACAGACCTGTGTTTTTGGTCAACTGATTTCAGCAGTGACAAGTGGAGTTTTGACGGATCCTACGGGTCAGGCCCAGGGCCTCATGTGATTTTCTACCACGGGTCGGGGCATGCCAGTGCGGCCTGTTGTGTATACATGTCGGTGGCCCACCAAGGGACCTAAGCCAGCCACCTATCATACTTTTAGCCATGCAGAAGCGTATGTTTAATTCGAGGTAAAATTCTGTAAAATCCCAGCATAAGTAGCAGGACGTATATGTGTATGTTGGTAAGCTTTTCATATGTGTGTATGACAGAGCTCACGTAAGACAGTTTAGTCCGAGGAGCCAAAACCCATGACTTGAGGGCCCTTAATGTGCTTTAAACTCACACGTCAGCGATGTGACAAATTGTCACTCATATTTTGAGTATGTTGTAATGATTTGTAATATCAAAGAAAGACATAACAAATGTTGACTAGGATACATAACAAATAAAAGATAAAACTTGTTAGGTTACAGGATAGTAGAAGATAGTTGTTAGGATAGATGTTTATAGAAGGAATAGATGTTAATATGTGTATATAATATGTGTTATGTGTATATGGTTTTTACTTTCTCTTTATCGAATTATTAACGTAGTTTTTGTCACTCTAAAAAGTCTATACGTGCCTTAAAGTTGAGCTATGCTTGACCAGACCCTAGACTCGAGCCCTTACAGTATAATTCGATCTTTACAAAAATCTTTCCGCTTTTTAGTTACATTATGCTTTATTTTTTTATAACATTTATTTCCTTCTTCATCGTAGCCTTTTATAGAGTTTCAGATATTACTTTATCGGAAATTTTGAAATTCTTAATTTTGATTTTTTTATTTCTGTTTATACTTTTTCCTGATATGGGTAAATTACGGATGGTCATATATTTTATGTTGGAAGTGGTAGTTCCTTATACTATTTGGGGAAGTTACTACGTCATCATTGTATTTTCGTGCCTATGGTGGATTATGGATTTATTACATTTCTTGTTATTCTACTTCTTTTACTACAGTTTTTCGCTCCAAAGTCTGTCGGATAATTATCTAAAATTTTTTATTCAATCCTTCATCACTCTGAGAAAAATCTTCTCTTATACTTCAATATTTCTTTTACATCTTTTAATTATGTCTTCACCTCAGTCTTCGAACACGGCAAACCCAGCATCTTTGCTCTATGTTTTATCGAATTCAGAGCAACAGTTCGTGGCTAGATATGTAGAGCCTCGTCTGGAGTCCTTTCATAATTCAGTAAATGGTGTGATTGATGAGCGCAATTCGAATGCTTCGGCGGCTATAGAAAAGTTACTTACTTCATCAATTAATCAAGCAAAAAATGATGTCATAAATATTGTCAATTCTTCTATTTCCCAGGCGAAAACTGATGTTATGAATGTACTTCGTGGCGAGTTTAATGGTCACTTCAAGACTGATGAAGATAAAATCAATGCCGGTTTGAATGACGGGTTCGCTACTACGAAGAAGGCTTGTCTGGACGTTTTGGATGAAGAACTTACCAATTTTCGTCGCACTTTTCCGACTTCAACAGCGGCAGCGGCTAATCCAGAACCTCCAGTCATTGCTGGCTTAACCTTCGATGGAACGGACGCTCGCAAGGTACCTGGTTTTATCAGTGTTATTCGTGATTCTCTTTTTGCGAATTCTGTCTGTTTTTCTGGTGATGATCAAAAAATCAATTGGGTTTTGAAGCACTTCCCTTTGGCTTCAGGTCCTCACGACTGGTGGATGAGCTTGTTGAAACTTAATGATAGGGAGAATGGTGTTAAAGAGTCGGATGAGTTTTCCATTAATCCTACTCCTTTCGTTATTGGTCCTTTAAAAACTTTGTCTGCTTTTTTTAAAGAATTCTTGGAAAAATTTGGAGATAAATTCGCTGAAGAGAGATTATTTTTAGAACTTCAATCTTTCAAACAAGGCAAACTCCCAGTTTCTCAATTTATTTCTCGATTTAACTCAATGGCCTTTCAAATGCAACTTTCAAATGTAGTTTTAAAAAATTTGTTCACGGCTGGTTTACGACCTGAGGTAAAGGATCGCGCTCTTAAGCATCCTGATTGGTTCAAATGCTCGACTATTGAAGAACGGCAGGCGGTTGCAATGATGGCTTCTGAGCAAATTATGCACGTCAGCGCAAATAATCATTTGCTTGTTCAATCTCATTCGGCACATCGAGCTATCGCAATGCCTCCGGCGGTTCAAGTTCCTCGCGACCCGAACGCAATGGATGTTGATGTAAATGCAGTCGCCTCTAAACATCCTTTTCCTCCTCTGCCAGTTGGTGTTTCTTTTGGCTCTTTTGTGAAATTCTGTCATAATCGGAAAATGTGTCATTGTTGTCTTAAACCTTATGATTCCACGCATAAAGGTCCTGATGGTAAAGGCATTGGATGTCCAAATTTGCCACCTCGTACTACTCAAGAGATCGAAATGTTTATGCAAAAACATCGAGCTCCAGCTTCAAATCCTCATTCTTCTCAGACTATGGTTGCGGCGGTGGATTCTTCTCCTCAAACTGTTCGATCTCAGGCTCAGCGTCCACCGGTTCAATTTATGATTCCAAATCTGACCAATGTACCGGATGTACAAGCTGGATTTCGGCAAGTTCCGACGGGTTATCAGTTGCCACCTCACTTACCGCTTTATCACCCTTACCAATTCGCATTGACGTCGCAATTTCATCATCCTCTGCAACATCCGGGATTACCTGCAGCTATGGGTATTCCAGCGGCGGTGGGGATAACGGACCCGGTTCAACAAGTTTTGGCATTATTCTCCGAATACCAAAATATCGACCAACCTACTTATTATGATCATTCAGGAACTAATCAATTAGATCACACCCCAATGTTCGATCCAACGGACGATGGTATTGTTGATGATGTGGTGGAGGCGAAGGTTTCAGCAATAAATTTTAAAAATTCTTCGACCAATGATCCTTGTCTTATTTTATCCATTCAATTAGTCTCTGACAATAAGGTTTTCATGGCAAAGGCATTGGTTGATTCAGGAGCTTCTGGTAGTTTTTTAGATAAATCTTTTGTTCAAAAGCATTCATTTCCTTTACTGCAGCGTTCTTTTCCTTTGAAATGTGTAACGTTTGATGGTTCAGCTGGGAAAGACAGTCTTGTAACTCATTATTGGTGTGGTGGTCTTTCAATTTTGGACGACACTAATCAACTTTTCAAATCGAATGTTTCACTTGACGTTACAACTTTGGGTGGTTATGATGCGATCCTAGGAATGGATTGGTTGCGACTCCATCAAGGATGGGTTGGAGGTTCAGGTCCTTCGTTGCGTTTGGATTTGCCTCAAGTTTCAGCTTTTTCCAAAGAATCTGGTGAATATTCGCCTCTTTTCAAATCTCAATTTTCTTCGATTCTTTCGTCTTCGGCAAAATCTATCACTCCTTCAGTTTCTTTAATCTCTCCTTTACCTAAGGAGTTTGAGAAGTTTGCTGATGTCTTTGCATCACAGGACTCTTATTGTTTACCTCCTCATCGGGATGCTTTTGACATGGCTATTCGGTTGAAAGAAGGAGCTGTGCCTACCTATGGGGGATCTTATTTGTTATCAAGGTTGGAGGAAGTCGAATTAAAGTCATGGCTGAATGGGCAGTTAGAGAAGGGAAACATAAGGCCCTCTTCGTCATCTGCTGCCTCTCCTATTTTTTTTGTAAAAGTCCCAGGTAAAAAGAATCGTCCGTGTGTAGATTATTGCTCATTAAACTCCATGACTATTAGAGATAGTTTCCCTATTCCTTTATTAGGTGATCTTTTGACTCGTGTTTCAGGTTGTAAATTCTTTACTAAGTTAGATCTTAAATCAGCTTTTAATTTCATTCGTATCAAAGAAGGAGAGGAGTGGAAAACGGCTTTTAGAACTCCGTGGGGGTTATTTGAATGTTTAGTAATGCCATTTGGTTTGGCGAATGGTCCGGCGTGCTTTCAGAGATTTATTCAATCAGTTCTGTCAGAGCATTTGGGTATTTCCTGTTTTGTTTATATTGATGACATCCTTATTTTTTCCAGAACTAGACAGGAACACGAGCAGCATATTACAGAAGTTTTGAAAAAATTACAAGATCATAATCTGAAAGTTTCACCTGACAAATGCCAATTTTACGCTTCTGAGGTTACATTCTTGGGTTTTGTCATTTCACAAGATGGTTCACGTATGGATCCAAAAAAACTAAGCACTATTCTTGATTGGCCATATCCAGTAAATTCAAAACAGCTTTACCGCTTTCTCGGTTTCACAAATTTCTATCGTCGGTTTATACATCGATTTTCTTCACTTGCTGCGCCGCTGACTTCGTTAACGCAGAAAGACGTGGATGTTGTGGAAGGGTTGACAAGTCAGGCGTGTGTTTCCTCTTTTAAAGCTCTTCTGTCCGCTTTTACTACTGCACCTTTACTTTCACATTTCGATTTTGACAAACCTCAAGCTTTGCAAGTGGATTGCTCCGGGTTTGCCATGGCAGCTATTTTATCACAACCGGATAACGAAGGAAATTTGCTTCCGGTCTCATTCTTTTCTCGCAAATTGACTCCTGCGGAAAAGAACTGGCAAGTTCATGACCAGGAACTTGGTATCATTGTTGAATCTTTTGAGGAATGGCGGGCATGGTTAACTGGTACGCCTACTCCTGTTACAGTTTTTTCAGATCATGCAAATCTTCGGTACTTCATGACATCTCAGAAGTTAACCCCGAGACAAGCACGATGGGCTTCTTATCTCAGTTCGTTTCATTTTCAAATCTTACATACACCGGGAAAAATTAATCCTGCCGATCCTTTGTCGAGACGTCCTGATTTCAAGGGTTTTGACAAGGATTCGAATAGAATGACTTTGCTTAAACCTTATATGATCAAAGAGGGCGTATCCGTTTGTTCTATTGATACATCTTTCATCATTCCGTCGGATGCAACTCGTACGCTTCTAGTCAATTCATATAAAGACTATGAAGGACTTGATGGTTCAATTTCCCCACCTCCATTTTTTACGTTTAGAGGGGGTCTGTGGTGGTTTAGGGATCGTTTATTCGTCCCTTTACCTCTTCGACAACAAATTCTGTCAGCTTTTCATGATTCCACGTCCATGGGACATCCAGGAATTGCGCATATGATTAGTGCAATTACCAGGACATTCGGATGGCCTTCCATTCGAAAGGATGTTATAAATTTTGTTAGGAGTTGCGAGTCTTGTCAGCGGTCCAAAAGGTCAACTCGTGCGCCTCAAGGACAACTTATTCCCTCCTCAAATCCTGACCGACCGTGGAGTGTTATTGGAATTGATTTCATCGTCAAACTCCCAGTTTTGTCAGGCTGTGATTCCATTCTTGTAATCACGGATTATTTTAGAAAGGGCGCTCATTTTATTCCTTGTAAGGAATCAATGAATGCACCTGAATTGGCCTCTCTTTTCATTTCTCATTTCTTTCGTTATCATGGGTATCCCGATAAAATCATTTCAGATCGGGGTTCTACTTTTGTGTCAGCATTTTGGACCTCGGTTCAGAAGCAACTCCGTATTTCACCTGCTCCGTCAACGGCATTTCATCCACAAACGAATGGCCAGACGGAGAGGACAAATCAGACTCTGGAAGCATATCTTCGGCATTTTATCAGTTACCGCCAGGATGACTGGGTTGATCTCTTGCCAATGGCAGAGTTTTGTTTTAATAATTCTGTTTCCTCTTCCACAAAATTGACTCCATTTTTTGCATGGCAAGGATTTCATCCGAGAGCAAACAGTTTTACTGAATTCTCTCGAGTACCGCATGCTGACAAATTCATAGAACATTTGGAAGCCACACAGTTGAATCTCTTAATTTCATTAAAACACGCAAAACAAGCTCAAGCAACAGCTCATAACAAACATCGACGTATAGGTCCCGTTTACTCTCCAGGGGATCTTGTGTGGTTGTCTCGTCAAAACATATCGACTACGAGACCTTCTTCAAAATTGGATTATCGAAGGATTGGCCCGTTTCCAGTGGTAGAAATGGTCGGAGCCAACGCGGTTCGATTAAATCTGGGACGTACATATTCCAGATTGCATCCTGTGTTTAATATTTCCCTCATTTCTCCGTTTGTTCATCCATCAGTAGGGGGAAGAAACTCGACAATGCAAAAGAATGCTCAAGAGATCTCTGAAACACCAAAAATTCATGATTGGAGACATATCTCAGCAATTTTAGATTATAGAAAAAGAGGCAAAGCACAACCCGAATACTTGATAAGGTGGTTAGGAAGATCAGTATCAGATGATACTTGGGTAGCGCTTTCAGATATATCTTCAGACTTGGATCTTTTCATCTTAAATTTTCACGCAAAATTTCCTCAGTTTCCAGTTCCAAATTCTTTATTAGATTCTAGGTTTTCAATGGGTTATCAGGCAGCGTTGGGGGAATTATGAGGTAGATGGTGATTATTATTGTAATGATTTGTAATATCAAAGAAAGAAATAACAAATGTTGACTAGGATACATAACAAATAAAAGATAAAACTTGTTAGGTTACAGGATAGTAGAAGATAGTTGTTAGGATAGATGTTTATAGAAGGAATAGATGTTAATATGTGTATATAATATGTGTTATGTGTATATGGTTTTTACTTTCTCTTTATCGAATTATTAACGTAGTTTTTGTCACTCTAAAAAGTCTATACGTGCCTTAAAGTTGAGCTATGCTTGACCAGACCCTAGACTCGAGCCCTTACATATGTACCCTGAGAGTGTGAGTAATACACTACATACTCACACTCGAGTGACACAATTCTCCTTGCAGTGACAGTGGCACCATCGTATAACTGTATAGGTTCTTTGAGTAGCACAATCAAGTGTTCACGGGTGGTTGAAGGGTGGGTTGACGTGTGAAGTTGGATGTGGAGACGTCGGACGAGCATGATGACAAGTGGTACGTATATATATGCCGGTTCATTCGTACGTATGATATATATGCCGGTTCATTCGTACGTATGCCGGTTCATTCGGCATGGCAAAAGTACCGATCTGTTTGGCAGTGGTGATATGCGATTACCTCGGGCATGAATTAACGAGACATGTACCTCAAGCCGAGGTTGGCTGTCCCTTCCCTCTGATGATACTTTTGAACAGATGTTGCTTATCCAACAAGGAAAACAAAACTTTTTCTAAAAAAATGGAGTAAAGATATGCATTCTCCAGTCAATAGACACACCGCTCCGACTAAAGGGCCGTCCAGGCAAAGTAGTCTTTTGTTTTTAATTGTTTGATAGTGTTGTATGCAAATATGAAATGCACTTTTTCTAAAAAAAAAAACTTCGCGGGAAAACCTCGCCTGATAGGGATAAAAAGAAAGACAAGGGCTGACAAGGGGTTCCTATCGCTAACGGCAGTGTTCAGCCCTTTTCTACATAGCCGTGATCGATAGGAGTATGTCTGAGGATGTGCATTGTGCATGACTACGTAAGTACATAAATCACATGGAGGGGAGTGGGACTGTACAGTGGCGGGTTCGAATGTCGAAATTGATAAATATTTGAACAGGTTTCACAGGACCCATACGGCAGGCCATCCGCCATTGCTTTGAATCCGTGGCAGTGTACGATGACTTGGCAAACCCCCTCCGAGACCGGGGTGACGAGGCTTTACTATATATAGACGGGCTGAGTCTCGAGCATACTCCCAAATATCATTGCAGAAAGTCTTGAGCTCATCAGTATCATCGAATCCTTTCCATCTTACTAACTTTCAGCATGAGTATCTATGATGACATTTTGAAACAATTCCCTACGATTGACGAGTGGAGTGATTCTGACCAAAAGGTATACTGGTTCACATCTTTGTTTCATGTAAGCTTTCAGCTTAAGACTTATCTTTTGTTTCTTTGAGATCATGCTCGAGCCCTACACGTACCTTGGCATCAACACTGCTAAGGAGCTTCCATCGATGGTCACCAAAGCTCTCAATCATTGGTATCAAGTACCACAGCCTGCGCTCGATATCGTCTTGCAGATCGTCGGACCGATACATGCTGCATGTCTATTGTTCGTGACTTGTGATTTGGTTACATTTTTTTAGATGAGTGATCTGACCTTGATCAATATCTACCTCTATAGAATCGACGACATCCAAGATGATTCCGATTTGAGAGGAGGGAACCCAGGTATGTTGCGAGTCCTAATCCTTGTTGATCTCGCTGATGAGAATTGTCTCTGCTTCAGTGGCTCATAAAGTATACGGCGTGGCGCAGACCATAAACACAGCCACGTACGTGTGACAAGCGGCTTTTCTACCTTGCAATGGCCCGTGAAGCCTTTCTGACAGTGTGACTACTCTACTTCTCAGTTACGTGTGCTTTGATGCGTACCACAAGATATCAGAATTGAGACCATTTTTAAAATCGCCCGAGACCATTGATTTGTGGAGCATTATCAACGGTAAGCAATAACCTGAGCCTTTTCCAAAGTTGAAAATCCGACGTACTGATTTTGGTGCTGGAGTTCAGATGAGATTGCGGCACTTCATCGCGGTCAATGGATAGATTTGTACTGGCGGGACTCCTTGATATGCCCCACAGAGGAAGAGTATCTCCGCATGATACACAATAGTTGAGTCTATTACTTCTTTCGTTTTCCTTTCCTATCGATGCTGATTGGTGCTCGTCTTCTGTCCAGAGACGGGAGCCATATTTCGATTGCCAATGAGGTTGTTGCAAGCCCTATCTCCAGTCGACTCGGTACCGTTAGTGAAATGATTATCGGACAATGCGAAGGATTCTGACATCTTTAATATGGAAACAGTGACTGCTTTCCGCTGGTGAATATCGTTGGAATCCTCGTTCAAATTCGGAATGATCTCTTGAGCTTATCTGCCGATGTCAGTTTCAACATTGCATTTATCGCCCTTTGCATTGATTATCAATCATCGTTGACTTTGAACCTGCTGTGATAGTTTACAAAAGATAAAGGTTTTTGCGAAGACTTTTCCGAGGGAAAATTTAGCTTTCCAATCATTCATTCAGTAAAGGCTGATAGCTCAAACAGTCTATTGATGGGTAAGAGGCTCATATCTTCTCAAATTCATTCCTTTTCTCAACTTTATCAAAAGCTAACAATCATTCTCTCAATTAGACATCTTACGGTTACGTCCAAAAGATGAGGCCACGAAAATGAAGGCCTTAAGATATATGAAAGATCAAACCAAATCATTGGATCATACTTTTGATGTTCTTTGTAAATTGGAGAAAACCGCAAAGCAAGAATTAGAGAAGCTAGGTGGGAACTCAGAATTGAGCTCTATCTTTGAGCGTATTCATCTTTCTCCAACTCCTGAGATTGAAGACCATTAGAAAGCTACATGGGGTCCTTAAAGGCGATCAAGTCTATTTCCAACACATCATTTTTGTGTTTTGTTTTGCAGCAGTTGTTTTGTCTTCATTCTGGTACACGCCATCTGACATATCTCTCTGATATCAGCGTACATGTAATATATATCACACATAATGTGTGCAATGTTGTGTTTCCTTCTACTTGATTATGCTAGCCCCTGGGCCCTCTGGACCTCAAAGATTTTGTGCGACAAACCTTTAAACCAGTGATACTTATACAGCATCAGGTCTTCATGCCCACACCAGGGTTCATGGGTCTACTGATAAATTGGCGTTAGTGTTGACACGGTCCAAGTGGACAATTGACAATAGCAGGGAGTAACTTCATTAGAACCTGGCACACTTGAAACCATAGATTTATCAACTTAACTAAGTCCCACAGTCAGACACTGATCTTTGCAAGGTCAGTATAGGTTTAGGTCTTTTCCGGGTAAAGCCAGGTGGTGTCTACCGCTGCATTGGAACATGCTGTTGGTGCCTCTGGAGTTTGGAGCCTCATGATTGGATAATACTTGAGTACATAGGCTCTGTTCTCGCCAATATTTGTTTTCAAACTCAATTTTGTGAGCAGTAGAACCCAATGTGTCTTGTGGAACATAGCCATAGGCACCTTTTAAAAAACGGCCATCCCCAAAGCCTAAGCAGCCTTCCATTATCTCAAAGCAATTTCTCAAGCATCATAATTGAGTTATGTATGGGAAGCTAGAATTTTACACTGCCTGACCCACTTTACACCAACAAATCCGGTGTAAACCACACATGATGCAAAATTAAATAAAAGGGGGTGCATTTTTTAATTTTACTCAAAGTTGGGCTTCAAGATCTTTACACCACCGATTTTACACCAACTTTCTTTACACTCAGTAAAAAAACAACTTGGTGTAAGATAAAAAAAGGCGATTGATAAACCACGCCGACTTCAAAGCTGGTTTGACGCCGGTTTTTTCAAACCGGATTCCTTTAGAAGATGTACAGCTGCTATACTGAGGTACAGAGCTGTACCACTTCTACAGCCTTCAAACCTCTTCAACCTATTTCTGACGCCGGGTTTTGACAGACTCGGCGTTATTCCTTTTGAAAGTTTTTGGATTGTGTTCACCGATTGATCAATCCTAATTCTTGTTTCTGAGAAGGTGACTAGAGAAATTCATGTTCTACATACTCAATTTCGGTAGTTGTAGTAAACATTGAGAGTTTCTACTTGTCTGAGATGAAGGGCTATTGAAAATGTTTCCATTTGCAATGTTGGACGATTGAACAAAGCTTGGACCAATCACAAGAAACATGATATACATCAAAATGCGGCATATCTCTGTCTTTGACTCATCGTTCATCGACTTCTTTGACACTACTAGAAATCACCGATTATTGTGATAGCATGCTCTGTTTTGAGGTTTCCATTGTGAAGAAGCAAACCAATTGCAAACCTCATGATTGTTTCTATCTACTCGCGGCTCCTAATTCTTAAAGGTAGGCAGCGGCTTCAGTTATTTTTGTCCAAACTTCAAACATCTTTATCCGAATCAAAAGCCGGCGTCAGAAGCAAAACAAAACCCCGGCTGCAGAAAAACCTAGAAAAACTCTGAAGGCAGTAGAAGTGGTACAGCTCTGTACCAGTCTGTACCTCAGTATAGCAGCTGTACATCTTCTGAAGGAATCCGGTTTGAAAAACCCGGCGTCAAACCAGCTTTGAAGTCGGCGTGGTTTATCAATTGCCTAAAAAAAATACACCCCCTTTTGATTGATTTTACACCATGTGCGGTTCAACTATACACATCATAGATGATCTCTCTTTCTAACAACATGATGCAACAAATTGTTTTCAATGATGCATTTATAGACAGCTGCTTCCTAACTTGTTGTCTCATCTCTTCATTGAACTCAAGAATAGTTTTTGTTTCCTACATTCTTTCTTTCTTTGAATTGTGGTTTTCACTCAATCATCCATCAGTCCTTCTTAAGTGACTGAAGTCTGATCATGGGATGATAGAATTTTGAAAATAAGGAGAAGCCCCAAAACTCAACACATAATCATTCATTGATCCTTCAGACACGAAATTCCCTGAGTCTTGGTCCTCCAAATCACACAAATCATGATAATGGAAGATATTTCAAAATCAATATTTGAAACTGTTCTTTCCTTTACTCTTCTTGATACATGGCACATTGATTTGTCAAGTGTTTGCCAAACATCAAACATCAACAACTATGGCAAAATTGCAATTCCTGATCAGCCGTGGACTTAGTCAAACTATAACTTTACAAAAGTCTTGAGTCCCAAGCTGCAGCACATGCAACTTGGTAAAGGAGTCAAACTGTTCCAGGAACAAGTGTTTCACAGACATTGTTGTAGTGCACATGTAAAGTTGAAACTTTGCAAACCTCAAGTTTCTTTGTTTGGATCAAATCCGCACGACCTATGGTCAATAAATAGCCAAAAAAACAATCTTGCCCGATACCAGTACTACAATGGCATCATAAACTCATCAATGATAATCTACAAATCAGCAAAACACAACCTACAAGACTGTCCTTCAAGAAAGAACAGACCTCAACATATAAATATACAAGAAATTACATTACTAGCATCTTGTCATACAAACCTCAACTTTCAAAAGTGAATCTAATACAAATTTCAAGCTTATATTAAAGTAAGATCATGAATGATTTAAAAAGTGATGAATTAAAGCTTGAGATTTCAGTTTAAGGGTCATCACTGATTCTTCTGGATTCTTTTTCGATAATTTATCTAAATCTTCTGATAAAGGTAAGCTAGATGTTTGAGAAGAAGTTATTGAAAATCGTACTGTTGTCAGATGGATCGTAACTGGTAATTCATGACTACGAAATGATGACAGTCGGATTGGATAAGTTAACAATGATGGAATCTGGTCAGCTAAACGGAGGATTTCAGATTTCTGATATCAATCTACTACTCACCTTTTTAATCCAGCATCTTTTCCTTTTTGACGGATCCGTGTCAAAAAAGCCTTCAAAACCTTTGAATCCTTACAAAGTTGTTGTGCAACACTTTCTCTATCAGTTTCATTAATAGGTAATTTAAATCCAAATCTATCTAACTCTAGTTCTTCTTCTTCTTCTTCTTCCTCTTCTTCTAAGCCCATTCTTGTTTCCCAACCTGCCTCAATATCATCATCATCATCATCATCTTCTTCATCTGTAACTGATTCACATTCCTTACTTCCTTCTAATCGATATCCTAAAAAAGATTGTGTCTCAGCCCACCTTAAGAAATCCAGCACGTCTACTACAACAAATCCAGTTAAAGCTCCAATCTGTCCAACCGATTCTTGACTTTCATAACTTTGATCTTCATGATGATCTTTTTGAAAACCAGATGATGAAGAAGAAGAAGCAATAAAGATTTGTTCAATCTCTTTTACAGAATTCAAAAGACTTAATTCGATTTTTTGAAAATTAAGTATATGAAAATGATGATGGATTTGTTGTTTGACCATAGATTGTATAGGAGTGAGTCGATCAATAATATGTAAGTTATCAAGTTGATCAAAAAATCCAATATCTCCTGTTGCAAACCATCCTTCATGATCTACTTTACAATCAAGACTTTCATTAACATCATATGTTGCTGGACAAAAGTAACCAGCAAATACGTTATGACCACGGATATAAATTTCACCCCGAGCAAATGGTTGATCCTGATTGCTATAGATAGGAGGAACATCTACAATCTATTCAATCGAAATAAAGAAGAGGTCAGCGTGCTTCTGAAAGCTAATTCATATCTGGTTCATGCGTACTTTGATTTCACAACAAGGCAAGGGAGGCCCAACGTGCCCCACTGAGAAAATGTTGGAATCGTCCAAAAGTGATACACATGCTGATGAACAGGTTTCGGTCAAGCCGTACCCCTCGGTGATCCTGACGCTCAGACTGGCAGTAAGAAGTTCAGTTGCATGTGCTGATAAAGCCGAGGTCCCACTGACTATCCTAAGTTTGTAACAAACATAAAACGAATTTATGAGGAAAAAGAAAGTTATGAGAGAAGGGGAGCGTAAAAGAGATCACAAAATGAATACAAATTTAAAGGATGTATAAGTATACCAAAAGAAAAACTTACCATTTCAATCGACCACCTAATCTATCCCTCAAATATCCAAGTACGAATCGATCCCAAAGCCAAACTTTTTCACCATGACCTTCTTTCAAAACTTTAATTTTTTCTTCAATAGCTTTATTAAGTAAATAACTTTCAACTGAGTTTTTATAAGATTCAAAGTTTTTTAATGAATTTAATCGATTAGAAAGGATTTGATTAATAAGAAAATTAGGTGTAGTAGTTAATAATGTAGGTTTTAAGATTGTAATATCTTCAAGAAATCTTAAAATTAAAATTGAAGAAAATCCAATCGATCCTCCGTTATAGAAAACATAGGCTTGAGATTGTTTTTCATAAATATGGGTCACTGAATGTAAGATCATCGTATGATTCAGTTAAATGAGTCAACTTTACCGACCCGTATAGTTTCAAAGATTACCTCATCAGATGGGAAAGAGTAGACATTGTCGACTGACAAGGCAGGTAAGAAAACTGGACAAGATCAGCGCACGTCATTTCCGGAAGCTTTCGAGCTTTTACTAGGTAATGGAGCGCAGCCAAGTTCGAAGCGAAATTTCCATGAGTGATCACTGCTGGCTTCGGAGGGCCTATGAAATTTGAATGTGGAGGAACATCAGTCAGTATATGGAATATCACACGAAGCGGCTTGCTTCTATATCAAAGGAGAGTGCTAACCTGTGGTACCACTAGAATATAAGATTGCAGCCCAAGTTTCTTGTGTTGGCTTAAATGTATTCTTCAATTCAGTTAATTCAAGATTCAGATTCGAAGATTCACCAGCACATAATTGACCGAGTTCTTGTGATCGAATCCGACCTTGCTTTTCAACATCTTCAAATGTATAAATCCTTACACCAAGTGAAATACAATTCATCTTCACCTTCTTAGAAAGTTTCTCTCCATCAATCACAATATAAATCAAATCTTCTTGAAGTATATCTTGATTCCTGAGAGCAGCTTGAGTAGAAGTTTCACTCAAAGAACGAATACTAGATTGTCGAAATCTGCTATGTGATCCAGTAGTATCACTCAACATACTCAATTCATGAGAATGTTCATCTACTGCGTATACATTCTCAATACCTATCGTTCCTATATCTAATGGGTCAATAGCATGATTCAATCCCATCTCTTTTTCGAGTTCCGAATTCATACTGGTCTCTCCAGCTGGAAAAGATGACAATCGCAAAGGTCGAATAAGCTTCTTCTTCTGTTTAGCAAATTCAGCAGCTCTAACTTTGATCAATTTGTTTAGTTTTTCGGTAGGTAAGATGATGGCCTTTGGTTTCGTTTGGTTCAAAATTTGAGATGCTGATCTTGAGGAAACTAGGTCATCTATTGAAACCACGACCAATGAGCTGCGATAACATGCGTATTCCGAAATAGTCTATTTATTCATTTCAAGTAAACCAATCCAACATCGATCAGCAAATTGTTGATGTGAGCAACGAATTTTCAAAATCAAGTTCATGAATAATGATGATGAGGTGTACCCATAATGGTCTGTTTGAGCACCATATCGCTACTCGATTTTGATTCAATCCGTTCCGAGGTTCGTCCACTTTCGTACTACCTGGAGCTTGACCACAGATCCCTAGATTGGAGAATCCGTTCGATAAACTCACGATCTTCGAATAAACTTTACCGTATGATTGCCAATTAAAGCTGGCTTGTGGTAAAGAACGCGCGGTAGGCTCGAGGGGTAAACGACTCCCAAGGCAATTGGCGGATGCTAAAAACGTTCCTCAAGACAAGTATATATTAGTGAGGAGTGTCAGGAATTTTGTCGAATGATGAAATGCATGTCTGCACTCACACCCTGCTAATAGATATCCCCTGATGAAGGCATCCCAAAGAGTTGTGCAACCGAATTCCTCAGGACCGATGAGTCGACCTTTACATGATGCGTTTCGGTGTATCACAGGCGATGTAAGGCAAGCGGATCGGTCGTTGCTTTGTGCGTGATCGGGAAGGACTTTCATAGACTGTTGCATGTCTTCCCTGTTCGAGTTTGACGTTGAAAAGTGTTGTTTTGGTTCTCAGTTGAGCATATGTCTTGATCGTCTAGAAGCTGAATCTCAGAGTCCTCCGCAATCCGAAGTATGTAGATATACAGCCTCAATTTCAAACTCAATCTGTGAGTTGATCTTGTATGTAGAGTCAGAGTTAAGCACCCTCGAGCAATCGAAAGCCAATCAAAGATAAAAGTGTCCGTGTGTGTTTGTAATCGTTTAATCTGTTTATATGCAAATAGCCGATAAGCAAAAGCTGTTGGTCTCTGTCATTTTTACCAAATTTTTACAATATTTCGCCAAACTTAACAAAATAGAACAAAACTCCCTCTGGACTTCAGAAGGTGACCGTGAATGGAAGATTTGTAAGAATCGACGACATTGACATTTCGCTCTGTTTCTCATTTTACCGTCACATCACATCCCGTTGAAATCTTCCCGGCGCGCAAGCCTCGCCAAGAGCCCGAGAGCTTTGAGCTTCCATTAATGCTGCATAACTGGCTCTCCAGTGCGTCGATATCATATGTGCTCAGCTGTATCCGGAAGGATTATGTGCGCATCTATCATGAGATTCGAAGGGTCTGGCCTTCTTTTTAATCACAACTTTCTGTTTTCGATCTCTGAAAGAATTAAAACTATATACAGTGATTTAAGGAAACCTTGCTGGATCTTACCCGCAAAACTCGAGCGAATCGGCGGGGAATTTGTCGCAAGCTTTTTCTTAAATGACTGTGTACCTGTGCATAGCCTGGTTCTCCCGTAATCTCAAGCTTCATAGCCTAAAGGGAACCAAACAGATTTTGTAAAGTACACCATGAAAGAAACTTTGAGCTTTTAGAAATCGGTTCTAGAGTCTAAACGTCTCATCCAAGATAATCAAAGTTAGTCAAACCCCTTCTTTTTAATAATGCTCATGATCATGATGATTTTGAATGTAAAAGAAATGTGAATGGTTCGATCGAATTAACCAAATTAGCCATCATTTCAATTAACTATCTGTTAAAATCCGCTCTGACGTCTCAAGTCTCATGACTCTCCTTGAACTCATCGAACTCATGACTTCAACGACACCAAACCACCGATGTCAAGACTTACATAAATTGATGATTTGAATTTCATTAAACTTGTTACATGATCAAAACAGAAAATCAGTTTACCAAAGAGTCAAGAGCTCAAGAGAAAGAAGTCAGCTGGTCTATTTAAATGAAGCTTACCAGTTAACTGTGAAGGCTTGATCAATTTCTCTCTTTTCTTCGATCTTTTACAATTCCATGTCCAAACTTCTACAGTAACATACATAGTCTTCTTCTTCTTTTTCTTCTGATCACTTTCGGTTATTCTATTTCTGATAATCCTACCTCCTTACACATACTTTTCGAACACCTATCAAATCGAAATGGTTAATGAGTTTAACAACCATCAATCAAACCACAACGACTCTCAGACTCAACCAATGTCCTTCTCTTCTTCTGCACCAATCTTTTTGAGAAGCATGGAACCTATCACTCGTCCTTCGATCCTTTTGAAGTCTCATTCTACTTTCAACTGCTCTGACAACTCTAGAGAAAAGAAGACCCAATGTAAATTTGATCAACTCACTTGCGCTTTCAAAAAGGTTTTGGTGAGCTTTAGACCATGTGAGCATCGTCTAAATGGAACTGGTTTATTGTATCCTAAACCGAATGATGGTAGGTTTATTCAAAGAATTGATGATCATCAGAATAACATTCTAATATTAAATCTTAGGACAAACTAGTTATTCGAAATCTAAATTTAAAACAAATCAAAAAAGAAGTTTAGGTGAAGATAAAAAACTTGGTGAAAGAAAATCAGAAACTTATTTAAAACAACCTAATCTACCTTCAATCAAATTCGCACCTCTACCAAAAATCAATAACCGTCGTAAGAAATCTAACACTATAAGCATGGGTTCGATAAATTCTCTGTTTATCCTTTATTTTTTTATTAAAGAAATCTAATCAATTGGTTTTCTTTATCTTTTAGGTGTTTCAGCAAGATCTCAATTAATTCAACAAATGAAAAAACAAGAACAAGATCTTATCTCTAAACGATGTTCCTTACCAATTCAAGAACCAATCCAATGGACAAATCCATCTCAATGTATCAAATCAGAAAAAGATGTTGTGACTGGATCAGAAAACAAAGTTAGAAGAAGGCAAAAAAATCAAGAGAGTTCATTAAAAGACTCTTCTACACATCAGAACAAGCGAAAATCATTAAAAAGTAATGATTGTAAAGAAGGGTCTTGAAGTAGGAGAGAGATATTAGATGGATTCAGTCTTAAAACAGTTTCGTCTTTTCTTTGTATGTTTTTTGGGTTAACTTGGTATCATATGTATTGTTTGGGGTCCAATGTTTGTGTTAATCATTGTAACATCATCAGAGCTATCTGGGTCTTTGTTCCATGTAAAATATGATGTTCTTTTAGTGTTCAGAAACTCGAAAGATGCAATAATCTTTAAATTTTGGAATGGCTGTTGCGAGTTCCAACAGAGGGCCTCTACGTGTTCTTTATGGATGTTGGATATAGGTGCTCCACTAGCCTCACTGATGACTTTCATATTTATCAGTGAAGCTTGTAAGAGCTTGTAGGAATTTCACTCTTCCTACTTTCCTTACCATCCTTTCTAAAGTAAGGATTACATTGTCACTTTGGCTTACCTCCTCCAGCCTCCATGGGGAAACTAGTTTGTTTGACTAGTTCAAATGTGCCAACAGGGATACCTTGAGCTGAACAGTCTTCTTTTTGTGATTAATTATTCTCAACTGCCCTAGTGTTACCTTCCTGTCTAAGACTCTATGTGCTACATACCCAGGTGTTGATTTCTGTATGAGTTTACTTCTATCTTGTTTGTTGAAGAAGTGATAAATAAATACGTTGAGTAGAGTTAAATATAGGGTCAAAAAAATCAGCAAAGAAGGTGAAAGAAGAAATTTTGATTGTGTACTAAGCGAACTTCAAGCTGTTCTGCTTTTGGCAAAGACTGTCCGACTGCCAGTACTGGTATGTAGACTAGTGGAACGAGGGGTTCTTTCGTTCTTTCGGATTTTTACTGGGCTGACTCTGACTCTGTATACATATCTTTCTTATGAGCTCAGCTAGTTTTATTACTTTTATCGCTTCGGCCGGTTTGTAGTTTTACTGAAGGTTCTTGTTCACTTTCAAACCAAGTTTCTTCATGAATGATTGTTATCGTGGCAAAAGTGTAAAACGATCGAGGCTTTCTATTCGAAATTGATCGATCGAATCGTATCATCCAGTGATCAATCCATCTTTCAAGTGAAGATCCACCAATCGCTCTGTCGGATATCAAATCTTCGACTGAGTCCACTACTTCCCATCCATCATTTGGTTTCAAGGTCTCGAAAAAAATGTCTACCAGCGATCTCATTGCTGATGAAGTCTTCAATACCGAAGATCAAGATTATGTACATACAATCTCTAACCGAGACTTTAAATAATTTAAAAGCTCCAGATAATTTGTCAAACGGCACTTATCCAAATTGGAGTTTCTTAATCTACAACAATTTAGAAATTCTAGAACTACATCATTATTTGTTATCCAAAGATTATACAGATTTTGAAATCAAAGAAACCCAAAGATACACAACCAAAAGATTTATACTAAATTATTTACTTGGGTTTCTTGATAAGAATAACCATACTTTGGCTATTGATCATTTAAGAGATCCAAAGAATCGTAATCAAATTATTTATGATCCTTTTTGTCTTTGGTCTTATTTAAAAGAACTTCATGGTCAAATTAATTATAATCTATTACCATTAGTTTTAAAATCTCTTAATACAATCAAACTTCAACCCAACCAATCATTAACAAATCACCTAGACAAGTTTGAAAACCTATTTTATAAAAACATTAGATATGGAGGAAGATGGGATGACAAAGAAGCGGCTTTAAGACTTTTAAATTCTATTCCTACCTTATCCAAGGAGATAGTAGAATTTATTCACATAACTGTAGTTCCCCTGACTCTTAACGGTGTTATAACTTACCTACGTGATCGTGCTTCTCGACATAACTTTATCATTGATGGATCTTTCAACCATTCAAGAGTTCAAAACACCGATAGAGGTGTAGATAGACCTTCAATGTGGGCTTTTCATGTTACAAGTGCAACACATCATATGTTTAATTCAAAAGAAATCTTTGATCAAGATAGTCTTAAACCTCTCAACAACACAAACACTAGAGTAAATCTACCAGGTAATAATACATCCCTGGTTATAGAATCAATTGGAACAGTCAGATTGAAGGCCGGTGATGGTTCACATTTCGAATTAAAGGAATGTCTTCTAGTCCCAAAGCTTGACAAAAATATAATTTCTGGAGGACGTCTGAAATCTAAGGGTGTTAGAGAAGTTTGTAGTAATGATGAGAGTCAAGGCTTTTCTTTGATACTTGATGGTTTAGCTTTATTCAATGGTTTTAATTCAGATGATGGATTGATGTATCTGCTCATCAAACCTGTAAGCATATTCTAGTCTCAAGAATATCGGCCCCAGCTGATCCAACGTTCTCATTGGATCATTGTCATCTACATACATAGGTCTTTCAGGCAAAGAATATCTAAGATGGTTGTAGAGGTACAAAATACTTGAAAGGAGTGGAGTTTATTGGGAATCCGATCACCTGTTGTGATATGTGCTCGTTGTATAAAACGCCATAGTCCCTTACAATCATACCTTAACATGAGTGTCACAGTTCCTTGTAAAATAATCATCTCCATACTCTTATAGAAATTGGTGAAATAGATAGAGTGAACAAGAATTGCATTGTATCAAATACTGTCCTATTGTGATATGCTAATCAGCCAAGAGAAGAAGTCTGACACTTTGTGGTAATACATAAAATATTTACCAGAAACATAATTGTAAAACTCATGAGGTTCAAAAATTTGTGGATACATCCTCATTCAGTCAGTTGCAGGTGTGAATGAAAACATTTATATTGGAAGGAAAAATCTAACATGATCAGAAGATAAGTTCAAAGTCTAGTATGCATAGAGAGAATAAGAATAATCTTGCTCTTGGGATTTCGAGGAAAAGGATAAGTTATAACAACATAAAATAGAAACTCAGATAGATAAAAAATAGTACTTTGAGTTCAAGCCATCATGTTTTATGACTCCAACCCTTTCACATAGTACATTTGGATCAGGGATGCACCAACTCTTCTCAAAATACTTAGTTCACGATGTAACATGACAGATAATCAGGGTGATTCAACTAAACTAACACGTAAAGGCATTGAGATGCCCGAATTCTTGCCTTGGACATTTGGTCGCATCACCTATATATACCCAGGATTAAATTTGTAAGAGACAATACCGAAAGTGGTTCAAAAGGGGAATGACTTACAATGCTGACGTGACGTTCGATTTCTGGCCCACAACCCAACCCATCACGTTCGTCAAACCGAAAATGACTTATGATGACAGCAACCAAGACTTTCAATTCCATAAGAGCAAACCGATACCCAATACAAGCTCTAGGTCCACCTAAAAAGGTTAACAAGCCTGACCAAATGCCAGGTAAAGCGCTCACTGGACCCTTTTCAATCCATCTATCTGGACGAAAGACTTCAGCATCCGCTCCAAAAGCAGCTTTAGATAAATTGAATGCGATGATAGGAATCAAAATCCATTGTCCAGCTTCAATATGAATCGGTTCTCCATCCCCGCTCACTGGAATCGTATCGGCCATCGACGCTTCCCTGGCCGTTTGGCTGACAGGTGGAAGAAAACGAAGCGTCTCTCGCTAGAACAATGAGACGAATCAATATGAATAAAACTAGTGGGTACATGTGATGAAAATGATCGTCTTACGCAGACCGCGTCCAGGTATGTCAAGGAATTGAGTTGTTCTATTGGAATTTCTTCCTCGCTTTCACTTGATGCGACACTTGACTCTTGAAGTTCCTTCCTTAGCTTGTCCTGGACGTTAGGATGCTTGGCTAGGATCCATAGCATCCAGGTGAGAGAATTAGCGGTGGCTTGATAAAGAACAGGCAAAGAATCAGCGGGAAGAACGGCGCATAAAAACGTAGTCAAGGGACTGACTCTCGTGTCCAGCCAATAAAAAGGTGGTCATCTGATTTGGTGAAGTGAAGAAGCCAAATGGTGAGCCAGGCACACTTTTTTGATTGTACTCTGCTTAGGACTTGTGCTCCGATGAATCTTACAAACCTGTGCGATTACTTCGTCATCGGTTAGACGTTCTTTCCCCTCAGACATTGTATTTGCACGAACAAGGACACTGATGAGATCCTTCCCACCAACGATACCTCCGGCCTCAACTTCCTTTTTCTTATGAGAGAAAAGAGTCCTGCTTTCATGCTCCATGTTTTTTAAACATGTACCAGCCATTTTCATTGGGGTCGGTTCATACAGTCGTAATGAAGGCGGAATGGCCCGAATCATATTGGCAATCCAAAGCTTAAGAGGAGTACGCCCTTCGGAACTCAATAATCTGTGGTATGAGATAGATACGTTCATACTCATTGTACTGAGGATTGTGATGCGTGACTTTCTTTCACTGACGTTAGTTTGTGGAAAGCTTTGCCCATTGAACTACTGTTCTCGTCGTTCTCCAAAGCCTTGAACTGATATCCAAAACCAGCTGAACCAATCTGTATGACAGGTACGAGGAGATCAGCCAGCAAGTGAAGGTTGACTCATGATGTATAGAGAGTCTGATTGAGAGGAGATGTACTCACAATGTCCAAAGTGGTACGACTCAACCAGGGAAGGACGTTGATGACGACGTAGGGCTTCTGGGAGCTACGTATCAAATCGGTCCATTTGTCTCTCAGCTGGAGTCATTGGCGTCCCCGTCCCAATTTCCCCATCAGGAGAAAACAAGCCAATCAGCTACAGTGAAGATATGATATTAAAATTAGTTATTTTACTCGCCAAATAGGCATACTCGTATACCACAGGCGCCAGCTCTTTGATTTGGACGGGGGAAAACACAGGTCCTAGGATACGCTTCTGACGTGTATGCGTTTCACCTATCGAAGTCCATCAGTAAATACTAAATCATAACAAGCGATTTTCTTCTCGGAAGAAGGTACACAAAGACCAAAATTGACTCACCTTCCGCAAATAACAAGCCATGACCGACTAGACTACCAAGGCTGCGACGGGTTTGCTCCGATTTAGGGTAAGCGTATGCGCGTGAGACCAAGATGTGATTAAGAGCCTTTGGATCAATAGTGCTCAAGTGAACTTGCTTTTGTTTCGAAAGTTTGAGAATTATAAAATGCAAGAAAGCACGTAATTTCACCGGTGCAGGATGTTTATCGTTAAAGATACATACAATGAGTTATAGGAACATTCCCGAGGAATCACTGACACCAAAAAACCCTCGCATGCGCAATGTGTTACCGAAATCTTTATGCCATTGGCGTACACCACCTTCAGGACCAAACTACACAAAGGAAAAGAGTGCTCATTTGGATCTGAAGCAGTGATATGTGGAGACTTGTTATATACTCACTGTCACACCTAGGTTTCCAAATAGAATACTATCGTTCTTAGGCCCCGGCAGTCGAGAAAGAGGCGAGAGGAGAGGTCTAATGAAGAGCAGGTAGACAATACCAGGAATGAGCAAAGCGGCAAATAAGCTGGAAGGTAAGGATGAATAGAAAAACAAAAGTCAGAAATCCGAAGCTGATCGAAGAGAGTGATACAAAGGCTATGAATCAATTTACCAAGCTCCATTGAATGGTCCGAATCGATTCGCGAGATGATCCAATTGAATCTCCAGGTTGCTCATAGTGTGTGATGATGAAAGTGTTTTGTCGGGGTAATCAAGATGAAGTTATAGAACTGGAGTTGACTGAAGTTCATGAGTACACCATCAACTCCTCGGTTTACCTTTCAAGCTCGGCGTTTCTGTCTCAAACTGTTTATCAATCCAAAATGATCAGATCGATGACGACTTTCGGAAGACCAGCTCGGCTTGACACAAGCACCCCCGCGGAAGAGACTCGTCGACTCCTCACCTTTCGAACCAACCTGATATAATCTCAATTATCCTGATCCAACTACTCCAATGCCAAACATTTCCTTCTGTATGGACAAAATGTTCCTCGAAATCTGTGAGTGATTGAGTCCACGATTACCCCAGGGGGGATGTTTTGCTTCTTCCATTGGATCGTGGATTGTTCAAGGGGGACGAGATCCACATTGGTCATAGAAAAGTGGGATTTGTACCCATACATCAATTCGATAACGTGTGGAGCCCTCGAAATGAGCATCAACGGAAGGAGTTTTAAACACCCGGCGGAGCTTGTAGCAAAATTCAAACTGTAGCCATTAGTCCAACTTCAGGACACTCGGAACAACAGTAGACTTTCTTAAGGTTCCTCTTCTGCTTGTCTTGGAGGAGGAACTTCGTCAAGTTAGATAGAAGTGCACAGGTTTGATCGTGATTTCGAGATTTTTGAAACCCTAATTCCATGTTATTAATATTTGTCTATCTCAGGAACACATATGGTACCTTCTGAGAGCAGATGAGTAATAGAATGTAATGAATATTGCACACAGAGCAGAAAGAAACATGGTATAGAAACAACAATATTAGCATTATATACAAACTAGTTTGAACTAAACTTTGGATGAGTAAGAAAGCAAATTGTATTCATGGGAGAGAAATGTAAACTCAGGAAGAAAGGTCATGAGAGTGATGCTGAGCATGTTAGGTCTGAGTACTGATGACCACTACATAAGTGTCGTGCTGTTCAGGACAAACAATATTCTCTAAAATTAATTATTTCACCAGATGATCTGATAGTCAATCATGGTCCTTCAACTAAACTAACACGCAAAGGCATTGCGACCCCTATATCTTCATTCTTCACCTGTGGTCGCATGACCTAAAGAAACCCGCAATTTTAAGAGAAGTATCACCAGAAGGATATCTGAGAAGGGAATTGACTTACAATATTGACTCGACGTTCAATTTCTGGCCCACAACCTAATCCATCACGTTCCTCAAACCGAAAATGACATATGATCACAGCGACCAACACTTTCAATTCCATAAGAGTAAATCGATACCCGATGCATGCTCTAGGACCACCTAAGAAAGTCAACAAACCTGACCAAATGCCAGGTAAAGAACCCACTGGATCCTTTTCAATCCATCTATCTGGGCGAAACACTTCAGCATCTGGTCCAAAGACATCTTTGGATAGATTGAAGGCGCTGATTGAAATAATGATCTCTTCTCCAGCTGCAATATGAATTGGATCTCCATCCCCGCTTACTGGAATTGTATCGGCCATTGATGCTTCCCTAGCGGTCTGAGCGACAGGTGGCAAAAACCGAAGTGTCTCGCGCTGAGAGAAGAAAAATCAATTCAAGCCAAACAAAGACATCGGGAAAACATGACGAGAATCTTACGCAGACCGCGTCCAAGTATGTTAAGGACGTGAGTTGTTCTATTGGAATTTGTTCTTCACCTTGACTTGCTGCAGCACTTGCCTCTTGAAGTTCTTTCCTTAACTTATCCTGGACGTCAGGATGTTTTGCTAGGATCCATAGCATCCAAGTGAGCGAAGTAGCGGTGGCTTGATAAAGAAGGAACCGCACTTGAAAGTTCAGCGAGAAGAACAGCGTATAAAACACAGGCAGATGACTGACTCTCATGCCCAGCAAATAGAAAAGTGGTCATCTGATTTCGCATAGTGAGGGAGTCAAATGGTGAGCAATGCACATTTTTGTGACAGCAATCCGCTCAGGGATGCGCTCTAATAGGCCTGCATACCTGTGAAATCACTTCCTCATCGCTTAACGATCCTTCCTCAGACATTGTATTGGCCCGAACAAGGACACTGATAAGATCCTTCCCACCAAGAAGACCTCCAGCCTCAGCCTCCTTCTTCTTGTGAGATAGAAGAGCTCTGCTTTCATTTTCCATGGTCTGTAAAGATATATCAACGATTTTCATCGATTTCGGTTGATAGAGTCGTAATGAAGGCGGAATACTCCGAATTATGCTGGCGATCAAAATTTTGAGAGGTGTACGTCCTTTTCCACTCAATGATCTATGGCATGGGATACGTTAATTTTAATTTAACGTGGGGAAGAAGTTTGCGATGTGCCAATTTCTTTGACTGACGTTAAATCTTGGAAAGCTTTGCCCATTGCACTACTATTTTCATTGTCCTCTAAAGCCTTGAACTGATATCCAAATCCAGCTGAACCGATCTGTATACAAGGCAAAAAGAGATGAACAACCGCGGGCCAGTCGGCACATGTTGCAGACGTTCAAAATCAGAAGAGAGAGACTCACAATGTCCAAAGTAGCACGACTTAACCAGGGAAGGACGTTGATGACGAGGTAGGGCTTTTGAGAATTACGTATCAAATCAGCCCATTTGTCTCTTAGCTAGCGTTCGTGAAAGGAAACAGATCAATCAGTTAGGGTGAAGCGATGCTATGAACAGCAGGTATGGTACTCACTAAAAAGGCATACTCGTACACTACAGGCGCTAGCTCTCTGATTTGTACTGGAGAAAACACTGGTCCTAACAAACGCTTCTGACGTCTGTGAGTCTCACCTTTTTAAAGGCCAAAGATGTCAGTTTGCTGCTCAGACGAAGCTACAGAAAGCATGATACACCATTTTTAAATCATGACAGACCTTCAGCAAATAACAAACCACGACCAAGCAAGTTACCAAGACTTCGACGAGTTGCCTCCGATTTAGGGTAAGCATATGCACGCGATACCAAGATATGATTGAGAGCTTTAGGATCAATAGTGCTTAGTCGCACATTCTTTTTTTTGTGAAATTTTCAAAATAATACGATTGAAGAAGTGAGCACACCGGCCAGTGCAGTATGTTTTCAGTGAGATTTGGTTACTGGTGGAACATAAGCCACCCGAGAAATCACTAACACCGAAAAACCCTCGCAATCGCAATGTGGGACCGATGTCTTTATGCCATTGGCGTAAACCACCTTCAAGACCAAACTGCCAAAAAGAAAACAGCCCTCATATATATCAAAACGAGTGTTATCAGAGCTTGTTAGATCTGTACTCACTGTGACAGCTAGGTTTCCAAATAGAACACTAGGGTTCTTGGGACCAGGAAGTCTAGACAGGGGAGAAAGAAGAGGTCTAAGGAAAAGCTTGTAAGCTATACCAAGGATGACAAAGGCAGTCAACAACCTGTAGAGTCAGGAAGAAAAGAAAACGTAAGTTGATAATTCGAGCTACTTGAATGAAGTCGGTGAAAAGAATTGATTTACCAGAGTCCATCGAATGATCCTACTGGATTGAGATAACGATCGAATTGAAGGTGGAGATTGCTCATAGTAGGATGAAGACAGTATCAAGTTATCAAGCTGAAGTTGATCGAAGCAAACTCAAGACTTTGAATGGTAAAGGGTCAACTGCAAACGATCAATTCCTCGGTTTACCTTCCTTTAATGGTCTCACAGTCACAGCATTTCCATTGACCAGACCCGCTTATCAATCCCTCCGACCGACCGACTATGGTGCCTGAGTAACAGATGAGACCTCAAACCATGTTACAGCTCTTTCGAACATAGGTAAATGTCCCTCCGGGGTTGTTTTTGGTTGATTTTCATATTCGCGGTGAATTGATATTTTGCCCACTGGGTTATTCGTCCCGATTGGGATCAGAAATCGAGGTCATGCAGGCTCAAGCCCGCTCAAGCGTTGGCATCAAGGGCTGAATCTAGCTTGAGGCGAGCGACACAATTCAACCTCGCGCCGCGTCATCAGCCCTTTTCTCGCTTTTCCTACCAGACACGCTACCAGATTGACAACCACGGATACAGAAGATAAAAATATTGAAAATAACACCAGAAACACTCATTTTCAAACCAGCTCCACAAAGCTTGCCAAAACTTGGGCACCAGATCGCTCGAATTTTGTGGCCAATTTTGGACGAAGTTCTGGATATTTGTAATAGGTGTTGACTGTCACACATAGCTGACATGTTGATATAGTTTTATTCCAAGTATTGTTGGATGTAGTGTCACGTGTGTGATAGATTTGTTTCTTTCTTTTTGATCAATCACTTTGTGAGTACGTAGTTTTTCTTGTTTCCCAATGTCCTTATGGCACATCATCCCCATTGTGTTTTTGTTTGCAAGTCTCAAGTTATTGTATGTTGCGAGACCCGCTCATGTTCCCACTCTCTTTCCCATCTTTATGGAAAGAGAATAAGTTGTTTCTTGAAATCCCTGTACTATATATCATTACTGATGTCAGCATACATCATATTAAGACTTCCAATAGAGATCACATCACTAGCTTCTCAAGACTTTTATTCATTTTTGTTTCTCATCAGTATTATTACCTCCCACACTTTTAGGTACAAGATCCAATCCATTCTGTCTCATTATCATTCTCTCTAAACTTATCTCTACTACCTATTTTTCTTTCATTTCATTATCTAGGTCAGTTGAAGGTCTGCATATAACCTTGGATGTGGAGAGAAGAGTGCTCACATTAGCACTAATCTAACAGGTTAGCTTTGAAATAATATATTATCTTGATGGAAAGAGGAACTTCTGATGGAGATCACATCACTAGCAATTGATTCACATATAAGAGGAAGATGACTCTTTGATTTTTTTGCTTTGTATCATTTACCAGACAACGTCAAGATGAGATTGAGATCAAACCTGGACAAAACAACTTCCTTTGAGGGTGCAGAGGCAGAAACACAATCTGTGACACATTCTGGGCCCCCATGTATATGTTCTTAACTTCGAGCCTTCTCAAGCTCAAAGTATTCAGAAGAAAAGAAGTGGATTGAACTTACTACAGCTTATCATACAGCCACCCCTTAATTTATACTTTTGTAGGTTCTTTTTACATACATTTAGAGCATCCACAGTAGTGGGCTCCAAATTGGGGATCCAAATTGAGCAAATTCAAATTTGGTGGGGCCCCAAATCAATCCGGATGCAGTCATTTGGGCTTCAAAAGTGTACATTCTATGTGTTCACACTAGGGCTGTGACCCAACCCTGTGAGTTCAGGGCCGGCCCCGGGGGCAAATGGAGCCCTGAGCGAGCTCAATGGCCTCTGAGAACTGCTCAGGGCCAACCAGGGCCGGTTGGAGAGTAGCGTAAAGGCATTTTTTGGGCAAAAAAAGGGCTGGTAACCCGGCCTGGTCGGGTGCCCAAGCTGCCCGAGGCGCCCACGGGGCCGTATTTAACCGTTATTGAGCTGCATATGAATGCCCCGGGGCGCGTACCGTCAGCTTTGTGAAAGTTGTTGGGCAGAGTAGGCCAGGCGGGGCTGGGGCCGGGTCACAGCCCTAGTTCACACACACTTTGAGATTGGTGTGCGTGGGCTTACATGTGTGAGGTATGGGATTGAGCAAGTGCGGGAACTTGGAGCCCGGCTTTTTGTTGCCAAATTTGTAGCCCAAAGCTCAAGATTTGAAGCTGGCTACAAAAAAAAATTGGTGATGGGGACTGCCATTGCAACAAAAAACTGGGGCTCAGAGCATCCCCAGCCGTGCCGTAAATCTGTAACATACGGAGGGCTGCACAGATTGTTTAGGGCAGGGTTTGAGGTATGAATTTTGAATGATGTACAGCCGTGGTTCCCTACAGTACGGTTTGTAGCGTAATAGGAGAGATGTATTATGGATTAGTTGATCATCAAGGTGTGTGATTTGCGGAGAGTCGGATTGTAGGAGTTGGATTTTATGGGACAAGTGAGGTACAGAGGGATTTGGGGTGCGAGCGGAAAAAGACCATATTTGGCCTATTCCGACTTGCACATAGAGAGTTGCCCAAGCTAAGTATGTGTTTGGGGGTTACGGCTGTGGATAAAAATACCCCAAATCTACCTACGGCACGGTTTACGGCACACAGCTGGAGATGCTCTCAGTCACCAAATTTGGCAATAGCCCCAATTTGGAGCCCACCACTGTGGATACTCTTACAACACAACCAACATCTGTACCTCAGATTCCAAGGTCTTCTTGGATTCTAAAACTTTGACAGAAGACTTCCAAGGTTTTAATCCAAGGTAAACCTCAATGCGGGGGAATAATACCTTGTATGAAACCATTGGACAAGGTCTGTTCAAGGATTTGCCTCTGATCGTACCTTGGTTTTTTCAACCCAAGGTGTTGGAAATGGCAGTGCAACAACAGAAGAGCTCAGAAGAGTTGATGAAGAGTAAAAAGACACAAAAGGGTTTAGCTTGAAACCCCTTAATGTCTTTCTGGCTATGTTGTTGTTGTTCTCAATTTGATTGTGTGTACTCCAATCAAATTAGCCTCAATTTGGGCCTAAACTTAAGTAAATGGTTGGTGGTACCCAAAGGCACGACGGTACCGCCGTTTTCCATGATACGCATGAGATATTGCGTCGGGACGTTTCAAGGAAAATATGCTTCTATCAAAGCTAACATTTTCCTGTGCGCAACATTGTGAACGCAAAGACTGAAAATTTCACCCCAGAAAATTTTCAGTCTTTTTCCCACGCACCCACTTTTCCCTTTCCTCTGGATATCTCACGCTACTAGTTGGAAAACCTCATCTCATCTCATTCTCTCTCAGTCTCATACTTTTTCGAAAAGCTTATAAACGCAGTGTTATTCCACAATAACCTGGTTGTCTATCAAAAATATCAAACAGTGTTATTTCACAATATCCTGTTACATCAAGTAAATCTCTCTGGACATGGCAGAATCCATCGGGATACACACCATCGACACCAACAGGATTGAAGCTAACTTAGAGAGATTCAATGAATCTGTGAGAAGAACTAGTGAGAGACTAGCTGGCCGGGCAGGGTCAGTTCCCCCGGAAGATAGGTTGACTATTGGGATGCCGGATCTACCGCCTGCCAACCTTGGTAATACCAGTTCTAGAGGTGCAGCAACTACCAGAGGAAGGGGTAGAGGACGTGGAAAGAAGTCAACAGTTAATACGAGATCTAGTGCAGCCGCACGTAACCTCGCGGCGGCCACAACTAGCAGTGCTACCAACCCAAGTACCAACGGAACAAATCCGACTAATGGCACCAAGAATGATACTACCGAAGTCACTGGAACGCAAACTGGAAGTGTCAACCAACCTGAGAGTTTGATTGAAAGAGACTCGATAACTGTTAATGTTACACGTAAGCGGAAAATGACTGATTGACCCACCCCATCTGTGATGTTGCCTTGCGGAGAGATGAATGTTGAACAATCGAAGTCTGATTCGCGTTTTGTTTATGTTTTTTGGTTTGTGTGGGCTTGATTAGCCAACGGATCGCCTGCTCATCGTAATACGGTCACCGGAACGGGAATAAGCCCCCCCCAAGGTTTTCATTCTTGGTTGGCAGCAAATGGTTATACAATCACTCGATCTCAAACTACATCGTCAGCAGTCCCAAACGCCATTCCAGGAATTATTAAGTCGACTAATCAAGATACTTCAAAAAACGCGGAACTAAAGAAATCCTCAGTAAAGTGGGTTGGTATTATCGACAATGCCACTGACGTACCTGCTGGAAATACGGCCAAGACCTCTGAAACCTCTACGGAGAATGCTAAAGTGATCTGTGATGACGAAGGAATTGATACAAATGGTCTGGTAGTGTTGTTCAAGCATTTCAATACGAAAATGACACAAGTGAAAGGCTATATCCCTCTTTCCATATTTAATCCACACTGCCTTCATCAAGATCTCTTGCAACAATCCTTCCGCCAACTTACGACCAAAGAGAAGTTAAGCGACTCTTATGTGGGATTGAATGTACCGCTACAATGGAGAATGTCTTTCGGAGAATGGGTTGTCGCTTTCGATTTGTTTGTTGCTTATTGTCGCCATTACACTCATGAAGATTTAGCCAATAAGTTCGTGGTGCATAAGCAGAACGTCTTGGAAATTATGAAGGAGAACATGAATTGGCCTATTGCTTTCCGTTATGATATCGCCATCCGGACGACGGTAATGATGATTTGCAATGCAAACGGGAATCTTGCAAACCCAGCTGTCCGCAACAAAACTATTGAGAGACAATGCTTCAGAGATACTGAAAGATACAGCGACTTCCTACCTGCCTATGCTGACATAAATCCTTATGCAACCGGTGGACCAAAAGAGCATATCAACCCCATCACAGGAACGGAACTTACCAACGCTCCCATATCCTATAATGGAAACCCCTTTGCTGCCCCCTCCATGACGCATTACTCGAACACTGGCGGTAGCAATCAGATCCATCATCAGAACAACCAACACGGTGGAAAACCGAATGCTAGATCGTGGTCTCATGCTAATGGGATGATATACAATGGGTCAGGAGGTGTTGCTTACCAAAGTTCTTCTGAAGACCGACGTAACAGTGGTCGCAATACTCGTGGTAGAGGAAGAGGGGGCGCTTGGTTCAATGGTGGAGGTGGTGGTAGAGATCTCAATTCCCCTCCTCGTTATAGTGATAACAGCCGTCGTGGCGAGGGAAGCGGCTCGTGGCGCCGAGACGAACGTCGTGATGACCGTAGAAACGACGATTGTGATTATGCTAAGGGTCATAAACCCTATGCTGGTAATGGGAAGGCAAAGTAAGCCATATACCGATTCAAAGTTTTAGTTTGGAAAGTTTTTTTATTTTTCCCGTGTTTCAGAGTCAGTCTGAACGTCAGCAAACATATGGTCAATGCTAGTTCATAAAATGATGGAAAACCTTTCCTAGTCGCGAAATTTCTTGATTTGTTTGTTGCCTCTTTCATTTGGGAGCACTCTTGCTATGTTGTGACTCCGTACCGAATTTGTTTGAACTTCTTCGATCTGAAGGTTCTAGATATAACTTGTCCTCTGAAATGCAGCTTATGTGCCTATGTGGGTTCCTCTTATGAATTCTGACTCAACTGTGCCTTTTTTCCTTGGGTTGGGGTACTTAGTGACTTAGACAGCTCACAGAGTTTTTGGGAGGAAGATCCTCTCTGCAAGAGAGGTGAAGAGGTGAAAGTTATTCCCTATCGAAATTCAGGACGAAACTATTGCCCAAAGTGGCCAGATGAGGTGGCGAAGTCTGCTCTGAACATACCTAAGTGGGAGTCGTTGATTGGTTTGTTCAAAATTGAGGATGACGCGCAGGAAGTATTGATAGGTTGCAAGAACGGTTTCCACCAAGGAATCCCTCAGCATACCATGGGTTCAAGGAAATGGTTTACTCCCAAGAACCACGAGTCAGCGGAGTTAGCTGAAGAAAAAATCAGGAATACATTGGAGAAAGAAAGACAAGCGTCAAGGATCTTTGGACCTTTTACGCACAAAGAAGTATATGATAAATTAGGATTTTTTCGCTCGAGCCCGATGGGTAGCGTCATAAACGACGACGGTTCATTTCGTATTATCAATGATTTATCTTTTCCTCAAGATAATGAAGAGACCCCATCGGTGAACAGCTTTGTCGATAAGAAGGAATTCGAGACCAATTGGGACGACTTCAAGGTGGTCATAATGTTTTTTAAGAATAACAAAGGAGACTTGATGTTAGCGCTTTTTGACTGGGAAAAGGCGTATAGACAGATTGCTACACACCCGTCACAATGGCGTTACCTTTTTATCCTCGACCTTTATAACAGATTATGGATGGATACGAGGGTGCAATTTGGAGGTGTAGCTGGATGTGGGGTTTTTGGAACGCCCGCTGACCTTTGGAGGAAGATCGTGGTGAAGGTGTTCAAGTTAGAATGCGGTTTTTGTTGGGTAGATGATAATTTGCTAGTAAAGGAAAGGACTAACCCGACTTCCATAGGGGATATCGTGCGCTTGAGCAATGAAATGGGTGTGGCATCAAACCCGGAGAAAGTCCACGATTTCGACGACGAACAAAGATATATAGGTTTTATTTGGAATGCTAAATATTGAACGGTTTGTCTTTCAGATGAGAAGTTACAAGAAAGACTGCAACAAGTCGTAGATTTCTTAGTTCCTAGGTCTTCATGGTATTTGAAAGATGTGGAAAAACTTACCGGAAGATTGGTACACACGACGTATATAGTACCACATTTGCAGTGCTACATGCCAAGTTTGTGGAGATGGAAGAAAGAATGGAAGGTACCATCAGCTAAGCGCCATATTCCGGATGATGTTTGTGAAGACCTCGTCGAATGGAGGAATACGCTGTCGGAATTTGAATGTAGAAGAATCATACCGGATATGACTCCCATAGATTTGGAGTGGGTTGGCGACGCTTTCTTGACAGGAATAGGCGTGCTGATTGGGAAAAAGTGGGCTCAATTCAGTTTGGAGAAAGGTTGGAACTTGTCTGTTGAAGGGAAAGTTACACAGAATATTGCTTGGGCCAAAACGGTCGCAATACGTCTAGGGATGATTATGATGAATCAGTTTAGGGAGGTCGGTGGAAAAAGGTTTATTGTGCTTACCGACAATACCACCTCCCAATCCGTGGTTGAGAAACGAAGATCAGGAGACCAAGCAGTAAATGGAGAGTGGAAAATTATTCAAAAGCTCTTGATGGACTTACATGCAGATCTGGTCGCGCTACAAGTAAAGTCCGGGGATAATATGGCCGATCTATTGTCCAGAGGTTTGGATGCAAGAGACGCGGTGGACCAAGTTGTGATCGAGATTCCTGTTGACCTAGTTTTGGCGGTAAAACAAATGATAATTTGAAATATGAATCTGATACACAGATTTGCAGTCGTTTCATGCCAGTTTCAGGTTTGGTTTGTTTATTCTGTTGTTGAGTCTCGTGGCGTACCGGAACGTCACCAAGCCTTGAGTTGCCATAGCCTTTTGTTTCCGATGCTACGCATCAGATGGAGGCTGATCGGTTTTGAGTTTCCGGAGAGATTATTTGTAACCACGTTCAAAGTTATAGTGAATTTCTAAAGCTTTGTCAACTCACAAGTCTTGACTTCCTCATCACTCGGAAATCGATACCCCCGAAAGCCTTTGTATCAGTCGATCTGTTTAGATGGAGTTTTTAAGAGGACAAGATGGAATTGATTCATTGTCGAGCGACCGGGTGAAAGCCTACATAATAAGCGGTAGTTGGTCAGCGACGACTTTGAGGCACTATAATGCAGCGGTCTCGAAATTAATGGTTTTCGCACTAGAAAAACACATACCTCAAAATTTTTTACTACCAATCGACCCTCTGATTTTGTACGAATTCGTTACATGGGCGAGCCCGCCGCTGTGTGAAGGCGATTTCGAGCAAGGCACTCCTCCGATAAAGTCGACCACGGTTAGGACTTACCTATCCGGTATCAAAGTGTGGCATTTATTTCATAACCACGAATACCCACACCAAGCAACGCCGAGAGTAGAATGTATTCTGAGGACGGCAGCCAAACTCGAACTTAAAAAAGCGCCTTGAGTTCCGAAAAATCCAGTGACAATTGAACATTTGTTTATACTGTTAGAAAATTTAGCTGGAGGTGATCTAGAGTGTCAGGTAGCTTACGCTGTAGCTTTGATCACATTCTGGGGTATGGCCCGAATGGGCGAGTTATTGAAATCTTCAATTAAGGTCGATCAAGTGAAAGTCAAAGACGTAATTTGGTACCCTAATAGCAAGTTCCTAAAGATACGGATTAGAGAAGCTAAAACGGCTGTAGTTGGAGAAATTCAAGAAATTCATTGTCAGCATCAATCCTCAATTTTAGATCCGGTTGGTGCAGTGAGGAGGCTCATCAGTAGCACCAAAGCGACGGAAGACAAACCTTTATTCTCTTATCCGGCAAAGGGACAGCAAATCGTATTAACAAAATCGAGGTGTCAGAGAATCTTTGACGACGTTTGGAAAGAGAAAGTTGGCGTTAAGCTTACAGGTCACTCGTTTAGAGTTGGAGGTGCTTCCTTGAGGTGGAATTTGAACACGCCATTGGAAGAGATAGTTGCCGTAGGTAGATGGAAGTCAAAAGCTTATAAACTATACATCCGAGAATTTGATGACGAAGAACTCACGAAGACGGTTAAGCTTTTAAAAGAACTGTATATCTGATCTTTGGAAGTTATGATATAAGATTCAGTTTAATTTGTGCAATCTAGTCTGCTTGGGGGTTTCTGTTTGAATGGTACTCTCTGGTTTTTACTTTGCTTGCCACTGGTCACCGTAGATGGGTTTTTCTCAGGCTCAGGACGATGCCCCGAGTCAAGGGGAAGAGCTTCCCCATCTACAGTGCTGGTGGTCCTACCCCCCTCAGCTCCCTTTTGAGCGGAGGGGACCCCCCAAGAAGCCTTAACCTCCCTCGTACGGGTAGTTTTGGTTTGACTAGGACTACTAGTTTAACAATAGATTGGAAATCTATAACACTTGAAATAATTATACCTAATTACTACATCATATCTAAATAGATATCACACAGTAGAGAATGGATGGTTGGTGGTACCCAAAGGCACGACGGTACCGCCGTTTTTCATGATACGCATGAGATATTGCGTCGGGACGTTTCAAGGAAAATATGCTTCTATCAAAGCTAACATTTTCCTGTGCGCAACATTGTGAACGCAAAGACTGAAAATTTCACCCCAGAAAATTTTCATTTTTTTTCCCACGCACCCACTTTTCCCTTTCCTCTGGATATCTCACGCTACTAGTTGGAAAACCTCATCTCATCTCATTCTCTCTCAGTCTCATACTTTTTTGAACCCACCCGCCACCCGGCAAAGACATGGACTGCAGATGACGTATTTTTTCCCCCGGTATGGATTTTAGAAAGCAAGAGTAAGGCTAAGGGGTAGAAAGAGAGTGTTTTACAGTATGAACGTATTTGGACAGGTTTTTTCCCCTCCCCTTTTTCTCTTTAGTATGTTTTTGTGTGTTTAAATTGTATGTTTTACTGGTGTTGTAGATGGGTTGCCTAGCCCGCCGTTCAGAGCTTCCCCATCTACAGTGCTGGTGGTCCTACCCCCCTCAGCTCCCTTTTGAGCGGAGGGGACCCCCCAAGAAGCCTTAACCTCCCTCGTACGGGTAGTTTTGGTTTGACTAGGACTACTAGTTTAGCAATAGATTGGAAATCTATAACACTTGAAATAATTATACCTAATTACTACATCATATCTAAATAGATATCACACAGTAGAGAATGGAAGAACACAACAAACCATGGCATCAGCGGCACAGTTTCTACGAGATCACAAATCAGACTTTCTATACGCAGAGAAGCGTATTCTCTACTTTCTTGAGTGAAACTCTTTTGCCAAGCTTTCACAGAAAATTAATGGTATTCAAAACTCAAGAAACGGGTCCGAGAAGTGTCAAGAAGTGACATCTAGAAACTTCTCGGACACCTCCAAGATGTTTCTGGATGTCACTTCTGGACCCTTCTTGATCGATTTGAGACCCCCATCATTCCCCCATCCCCATCACCTCACCTCTGTCTTGCCACAAACACCTCTTAACAGGTGACTCTTCTCTTGCTCTTCACTCTACACATGACAACTTTGACTGCCATTGCCATACAACACTTCAAGGAATCAACTTGGTTTTCACACCAATCTCCTGGACCAGCAATCTGTCCAACTGTTTGTGTCAGTCATTGTCTTATTCATCTCATCCATGGTTGACTTGATTCTGACTTGAGAAATGCTTTTGTTGTCAATTCATCTCACCTTCTATTTGATCAATCACCTTGAGAAAAACAATCATTTTGAATCAGAATTTAGATCAAACAATTGAACAAAGGCAAACAATTGATTGAAATAGAACGATCAATTGCAATGAAACAATCAATTGAAATTCACCAATCGACTGAAATCCAACAATTGAACAAATGTTAACAATCAACCAAGATCTAGCAATCAATAAATTTTAACAATTAAATTCACCACACTCCCTATCCCATCTGCCAAAAATGATTTGTTTGTTGTATCTTGTCCTGGTCACATTGGTACAAATGATTGTATTTAGATACGGCTTATGTAGCTTCAAAAATGGAAATGAGCCAATGATTGCCCTTGCTACTCATAAGTGAACACGATAACTTTGCATACAAAGCAAATCCGAGTGAAATTCAGTTCCGAGTACATATTTGAGAAAAACAAGATATATGATTAAAAACGAGCACTTATATGTTTGCCAAATATGTGGTTTTATCATTGATCAGACAAAGGCCGAAAGAAGGGCAGGACCTACAAGTGAAAATTGGCGGGTAAGTGATGTGTATGATGGTGTGGTGTTGATCGACTCAATAAGGGTACTCAAAGTAAGTATGTACGTGTACATACTTTTTGCTATATACTTTTTTTGGCGGGGAAGACGAGGCCAAAAGTATATTTTTTTCTTTGTCCCCGCCAAAAAAAGTATGTAGCAAAAAGTATGTAGCGCTACATACTTTACTTTGAGTACCCTTAATGTAAAGTGTGAAGAGATGTGAGAAGGGTCTGTTGGTTATGCACCTACACATGAGAAGAGGATTCTGGAGCCGAGAAACTCCAAGAACCCAGAAACATCTTGGAGGTGTCCGAGAAGTTTCTAGATGTCACTTCTTGACACTTCTCGGACCCGTTTCTCGAGTTTTGAATACCATTATTATGCAGTTCATTACAATGTTTTACACAACTCTATCATTACATAGAACTGAGTCTTGACATTTACAATTAGGTATCATTAGGGGTTCTCAAAGTAGGCCCGGTTTGTAAAAACCCAGTTGACCCAGTTGACTTTTTGGCTGTGATCTGTCAACAAATGTCAACTCGATACACAAGGTTACTGCCAAAAAGCAACCGGGTCAACTGGGTTTTCTTGAAACCGGGCCAACTTTGAGAACCCCTATTATTTAAAGCCTGGTATCACCATCATAATCAGCTAGGATCATGTTTCTCCACTCTGACTTGTTATCTATTTGAAAAAAGTATGTCTTCCCATCTTCTCCTCTTGTGCCTTCCCCTCTATCAAAACCTCCATTGCCCTTCTTACAGATTAGCACAATGCAATTGGTATTCAAGATCCACAATCTTTAATGGATGAAACTGTTGACCACATCTGCAAGTGAACCTGTTCCTGTTCCAGTACCTTTGATGACTGATTGCAAAGTATTATACTCTGAAGCATACATAATTAAGTAGAAGGTAGTACACATCTGTTCATCAATATAATCATAATCAAAGCAGTTTGAAGGATCTTACGTTTTCTGATATCTTCAATCAACTTACTCATGTCAACCGCAAAGTCCTTGGCATGTTGAATTGCAGCTACTACTTGCAAATTTTGAAATTCCAAAAATGCTTTACTGGAACCGATATGGGGTTACGTAATACACATCAGCAATTGTCTCCACATCAAGCCAATTCATATCGAAGTCATCCGAAAATCACCCTGCAAGAGAAGCAAACGGTTCAAGTGGATTACTTACTTTAACTCATCAAAGGGCTTGTCGGTGTACTTATGCATCAGGCTAGCCACCGGCTCCCCTACAAGAGTTATGACCCGTTGTCGCGAAAAACTGAGTGCGACCAGTTGACAGTACGCATCTGATCCCACATCAAGCAGAGTTTTTCGATCGGCAGGTGTGTTTTTCAAGGTTTTCAAACGGTCTACACCCTTCTTCACCGCATTGAGTGAATCGATAAATCGTTGAGTCTCTTTATCAATCGGTAAATTTTTAAGCTTCGGACATGGCGGAAGAGCCTCAACCAATGATAGTAGGACGACTAGTAAGATGAGGTAGGCAGGTCGAAGAGCAAGCATTTTGAGATCTATCGTTCACAAGAAGGGTTTGAAAACTTTAGAGTTTGTAGGTCTGAGTGAAATTGAAACAACTAGTAAGACAGAAATTAGTGAAAAATGATTATGTAGTACCGGACTAATCAGGAATGGAAATCTCTAGTATAGGCAAGGATGTGTAGACGAGCAGGAAGAAGAGAAGTAGAAATTGTGAAGGGTATTGTATTTATAGAAGAAAAGTTGAGAGGAAGGACAACCATCAAAAACTGATCGGCGGTGTAGTCAACCTTCCAAAGATCCACTTCGGTCAAGGTTTTGGCATCATTGATATCCAGCGAGCTTGACTATCGATGAATATAAAATGACTGTGATCACTATTCTTGAACAAGCCATTCAATCCATCACACATCAATCCCAATCATCCCGATGATCCACTTCTGAGTACACTGCTGAAACGTGCCCGTCGCTTGGTTCATCGATCATACTTTTTTCAGCACTCACCGGTATCTGGTATCGAACAAGTCTCTGGAAACGATCTAGCTTACCGGATCCGAGGGAAATAACCTGAAACGAGGCCCCTTCGCTACATCTTCTGACCTCTGTCGCTGTGTGAATTCCTTGCAACAAAACAAATAATGGCTTGAACTTGATAGACTATGACATGATTAGATGCTTCACTTGATGAGCTGAGTGCAAGATGAAAGGTTAGTCAACTCCAATCAGGGAGCTCATGAGTCACACTGGTGTTGGCTGATGATAATGATGTTGGAGTCTCAAGGATGTTGAACAGAGAGTCTGTCAAGTCTAAAAAGCAGTTTATCAAGAAATAAACTCACTTTTGATGTTCATGTAAAAGTCGTTTTTGATCTCCTTTCATGACCAGAATAGAGTATCGCAAACATAAAACACAACCAAACTTGCCCTTAGATGAGAAAGATGGAGATGCAGGTTGATTGTGTGACTGACAATGCAAGATATGGAACAGTGAGATGACACAAGTGGATAGAAAAAATTGTTGAGACTTGTGAGGTGTGGGACACTCAAATTGGCCGCAGGACATCTTAATGGGGCTAGACCAGAACATATGGCAAGTACATAGTAACCTTTCGTTGTCCTTAAATTCCTTTCCTTTATTATAATTAAGAGGATAGGTTTTCTTCAAGACCTCAAGTTGATCACATACATGCCCATAAAGTATATACCTAAATTAATCTTAAAGAATTTCAATCCCTCAAGTATGATTGATTTTTCTCACTTTTGAAATATATATTTAGATGTAAGAAAAAAAAGACAAATTCTTAAAAAAAATCAAACATTAATTAACTTTCCATTATGTGAAAAGAAGAAAAAAAGGGAAATTGATTAAAATTCTATTCCCATTCCGATTCTCAATGAAGAAAGAAAAAAAAGAAACCAAACCCCAAGATCCCCCCCGCAAAGAACCCGACAAATCCATTAACTCAACTTTGATTTTCTTTTAAACACTATAAATCGATAAATCTCCAATCCTTTCATCATCTCTTCTTCTTTCATCTTGATGATCCAAATTCGAAACCGAAGAATTCTCATTCAATTCCATCAATCTTTCCTTTTGATTCTTACTTTCATCTTGAAATCCAATCAAGATCTTCTTAATCGATCCAGCTGATTTAGGTTCTAAATCTTGTGCATAAGTTAATTGTTTAATACAATTCTTCCGATCACCTAAGATCCCATAGACTTTACCTAACAAGAACCTTACATTATATTCAGTTGGTACAGTTTTTAACAATTCAATTAAATCCAGTTTAGCTGCCTATAAAGTTTCCACAAAAAAATCAATACACAATCTCTCATTAATGTTAAAGTTAAATTGAAGAATAAGAAAAAGCCCATCTTACTTGATATTCTCCCATTCCAATCAAAACTTTAGCTCTAGAAAACCTAACAATCGAATCACATCCACCAACTCCATTTCCATGACTAAACCGATTCCCCAATCGGTTTCCAATCTCCAAAGCGATCCCATAAACCTTAATGGCTTCTTTTTCTTCTCCCATCTTTTCCAATACTTTTCCAATCCCACAAATTATCAATGGGTTTTGATCATTGATTTGATAAGCTTGATGAAAAAAATAATGTGCTAATTTAAACTTTTCTTGTTTAAAATAACATTCACCTAATCCAAAATAAGCTGTATAATTCTTTATCGGTTTTCTTCTCAATGATTCTCGAAAGAAGATCAAACTTCTAGAATATTCTGATGTGATTAAACATTCATGTCCTGATAATGTATATGCATATTCATTACTTGTAGAAAGTTGAGTGGCTCTTTTAAATGATTTTAATGCATTCGGATGATCATCTAATCTACTAAACAGATTTCCTGTGGCTATCCATGTTTCGGGTGCAGTTGGATTGATTAATTGCATTTCTTGTGATAAGTATGATAGATGAGTGGTCTTTCTTAAATGCCAAAGAAGAGTTGAATAAATATCCATATGTGTCACAAGATGTGGGAATGCTTCACGTGCTTTCTTGAATGCGATCTCCGCCTGTTCATAAAAAATATCAAATCAAAAATCAGTTTCAACATAGACTTGAAAATTGTTTGGTCATATAAACAATCACATACAGATTTATAATCAAGCATCTCAAATCTAGCACGACCAATCAAACAATAAACTCTCCAACTCTTTTTCTGTTCATCTGATAAATTACTTAATTCATCTAAAACTTCTTCACATTGAAATCGACTTAAACTTAAATAAGATTTTCCAAATCGTTTTAATAAATCTTTTAACCAATTCATCGCTAAACGTTTTTCTTCTTTAAATGATCGGATCCCTTTCTTTCCTTCTTCTTCATCAAATAAGTTTCCATTACTTTTCACCCGTTTCTTTTCTCTGATACCTACTTTCGATCGCGTGTTTTTATGATGATTTGGCGGTGATCCATATTTGGTGTCTAGTTTATCTGTTCCTATACCTCTTTCATTGTTGATGTGATCCTGAGGATTAGGTTCCATACTGAGTTTACTCACAGCAGGAAGAGTATCACTCATAGCGTTGTGTTCATTAGATTTGGTCTGAGATCGACTACGCTTGATACCAGGTAAACCTCGTCCGTTAGAGACCAGTGAGGGAAGTGGTTCAATGACTGGATTCGTTGTCGGATTGAAACCATCAAATGGCAAAGGTGAAGGAGCAGGCATGGGAGGAGGAATATTAGGGTTAAAATGATCAAAACTAAAGCCTTGTTGTAAATTAGGAGTAGATGAGATAGGCATCGAATCAAGCGATCCCATTCCAGAGGGTTCAGCCATACTTGGATCAGAGGGTTCCATTCGTTGGAAGAGCCTTTGAGGTACAGATGGTTTGATAAAATGTCCATTGGTCAGGGCTGATCCATTAGGTTTCTTTCCGGTGGTGAGATTACTGATGGGTCGCTGTGTAGCACCACCGACCGCATGTCTAGGATATGAAAGGTGATCAAAGGAAGAAACTCCAAAGCTACTACTATTTCCATTTTCACTAAACGAATTATCAATCAGCATCGCTGGATTGTTTTGAAGACCATTCGCGCCGAGGATTCGAAAACTGTCTTTGTTGGGAGATGGTCTATGAGTATGAGGGGCAGTAGGATTGGATCGAATTAAAGGTTCTTCAACATCTCCGGAAAAATGTTGAGCGTGTTTCAGATTGCTGAGGGCGCCATGGATTGTGCTATCATCGAGCTCCATATAGCCAGGTAGATAATCTTCTAGAGCCGAACCACCAAAGATACTATCTACATCGATATCAGCATCAGCAGTCGCAGTTTGACATAGACCTTCAAATGCTTCCCAGCACAAATGTCCATCAGGTGCTACTAGAGCTCTTCGATATAACTCGCTTGCTTTCTCGAATTCATGTGATTTGTAAGCGAGAGTAGCCAAAAGCGTGTACGAAGCCGAGTGTGATGGAAGTGGGTTCACTAAAGAGTTCAACAAAGCATCTAAGAGGAAAGAACACGAAAAGTGAGTATCTTGTATGCTGAAGAAGAAGATGGACTGAAGTTGATGTGATACCTTCGTTAGGATCTGTTAAACCGAATTGATCGATGGCTTTAAGATAAACTTCTAAGCCTTCCTTGGGTCGATTGATGAGATTACAAGCCTTCGAATAAACTAAAGCACATCTCGTACTAGCTGAATGAGCAGCTCTTTGTTTACCTTTAAGAGTTTCATGATGATTCCAATCCCAAAGAGATTGATCCATTTCATCTATTGAGTTTTGAATATTGAATGGATCATCATCTAGTAATCTAGCTTTTCCTTTTAGATTAGGTTCATGAAGAGGTTGATTTTGAAATTGATGTTGAGGAATGAAGATTGGAGTGTTTTTCAGTAAATGAACTGTAGCTTGATGATTACCAGTACGTAGGAGTGATAGTGAAAGTAACCAAATCGATAATTCTGAAGAAGGAATGAGAGCGTGTAATCGTTCTGAAAAGAAGAGGGCAGTATGAACCAATTCTGATTTAAGAGAGCTTAGGATGATGATGACTAGTAGATTGATGAGTGAGTTTGATACTGGTTTTGGTTTAGGAGATGGACCTGGTAAAGGAACATGGTTGTTGTTGATATTGTTGATATTGTTATTATTGTTTGAAGTGGTAGTAGTCGTAGTTGGTACTGGAGTTGAAGTTGAAGTTGTTTGTGGTAATCCTGATTGTGATTGTGATTGAGAAGGGAATTGAGGATGATGAAAGCTTCTACTATTAGAAGTAGCTTGATTGATGAGTGCTGATGACATTCTTGGTGGTGGTTGAGTAGTATGTGGAACTCCGTCAGAAGTCTTCGTGGTCAAGTTGACAATCCAAAATTACGATCCGATCAAATTCAATCACACACTACCACTCACTCATCGGTACTTTACGGTACCGGTCATCACCATCTGCACAGTGCACACCACATGACATCTGCCATAGATATCTCACATTTTCCATGCCAATCCCTCATAAAGAGCTCAGCCTTCATGGCTCCATGATCCAAAACTCAATACATCAATCATCTCCAATACATACAGAGTTCTCAAATTCATAGGCATCATCCTCACAATCATGACATCTTTACTTCTCATTCTCATAACCTTACATCAGGAATGAATTATCAATAATGATTCTCAGATGACCGATATGTGCTTATAAAAATTAAATGGAAAAATACACATTCCCAATTCAAACTCAAAAAGAAATAAGAATTATCGTTCTTGATCACCAAGAGCACATGTATAAATAAGCAGTAAAAAGAAACCCAACGGTACATCTTCCTAATCAATAGTTTACCAACAAGCAAAAAGAACAACAACAACAACAACAACAAAAAGGACCTTGCGAGAAAGAAGAAAAAAATAATCCAGAAATTCATAAATCCATAAATCCAAAGACATGTATGTAAAAATCAAAATAAAGAGAGAGATACAAAACCAAATCAAAAACTATCCAAACCAAAAAAAAACATCCTATTCAATTCTGACCAAAAACTTAAATAACATTTGGTTTCCAAACGAAAAAACAAGAACTAAAGAATGATTTTTGTTTTTCAAAACATAGGTGGTGGTGATAAAACTGGATAACCTTTTGTTTCACCACCACCTTGTAAGATTTCAACTCTTATATTAAATTCAAGTTCACCTGTTTCTTCTATAAACCTGACTGCACAATAATTTCGTCTGGCCATGAATCTAGGATTATTCTAAATTAACCAAAAAAACCAAAACAATCAAGATTAAATTGGTTTGAAGATCTAAGATTTGGTATGGATTATTTTTGGTGATGGAAATGAAGAAAAAAAACAAATGACTAACAAGTTTAGATCCATCTGTATCAAGATGAAAGACGTCTATCATATCTTCTTTGGTTGAAACATGATGTAAAGTTTTATGAGCTTTTTTCGAGATTAATCCCATCACTCCTATCAATGCTACAGGAGGTGGAGTCTATAAGAAGAGCGTTTGATAGCATGATATTCAGTATAAATGTTTTAGTCGGCGCTAGGGTGATCAAACTACTATTAATCAAGGGACTGACATTGACGATAGCCGAAGAAATGACATTCTGAAAAACCAGATTAAATCAAACGAATCAAATCAATCATCAAACTAGTATAACTTATATCGATCTGGCGAGAAGCTTACAAGCATATATCTTGGATCTTCTGCTGGGTTCAATGAACCTTTCATTGATAAGAATCTTCCAACCGCAGCACTAACAAGGTACGAAAAAACACAGACTGAAATAAGTTATCAAGTCAAAATAAATGAATGATTAGGGTCAAAGGAGCTTTACCAATGTACGTCTCCACTGAGGAAAGCGATCCGAAACTTCCTATCTACAGCTAATTTTTGACATTCGATCACTAACCAATTCCGTTCTTGTTTATGAGATTGTGCACACCCTATCAAAGAGAGAAGATAGGAAAATCAGATATCAGTTATGATGAACTTGAACAATAGATTGAAAAGAAGAGTGGGCTCGGAGAGTTAACAGCCCACGAGCTGGAGATAAAAGAGAATTGCTTGATGTTCACAGTGATCATTCATATCGTCTAATAATTCAGGATCTGCATTGAAATTGTTATACTTGATTCGAACAAAAATGGAATAAGAAAGACATAAACCATGAGCTCATTTCCTCATCATACGTACATGAAGGTCTGTTTACACGAGGAAATCGTCATGACCACTTACAAAGCCAGGTAATAATCCACACACATTAGCCGCTTTCAAGACAGGATTAGATCTATTTTGCAAGAAGCGTTCAGCAAATACCATACGTGGGTATGCAATCTAGACACGAAAAAGGATCATAATCAAATAACACAAGTTATTTTCAGTCAGTATGTTCATCAAACTTGAAAAGGTCACTATGTAAACAATCAAAGAAAATCACTCACAGGAATCCCAAGTAAAAAGATCAAATGTGTCACACTAGATGGTAAAGTACGACAAGCATTGAACACCACTTCGTATGATTTACTACTACAAACTTGATCTTTTTTACGTTCAGATCTACAATCTAATAATAACATCCAAACTTGAGGTCCTAAATATGTTAAAAAAGAATGATTTCGAAATGGAATGTATGGACCTAATCCACCAAGTAATAAACTTGAATGAACATCTGATTTCGGATTGATCGAATCATTGAAGATTCCATCGGTTTCATCTACAATGAAAAGTTGGAACAATAGGTACCAAAAGTAACCTCGTGATCCGATTGTTGAAAAGACTGCTGAATACTGAAGTTCATCGGGATACGAACCACTATAGTTTGACAGATTCCAAAGATGATCAGAAAACTGATTTTAGAAGATTGTGGGCTGAATTACAGATGAAAATCATTTACAAGCCATCAATAATGTCATGATCATCGAGCATGTCTGTGTAAAGGCACATCAGGATCATTTTATCATATTGATACATTTTAAAAGAGAAGTAGAACGCACTGAGCATAGGTATACAAGAGATAGCCTTTCCAAAAGCGCCAGATCTAAACCAATTGCAATAATGAGAGAAGAAAAACCGATCAAGAGCAAGTGACATAGCCGGAGTCATAACAGCTTGAGATTTTTTCTGTTGATCTTTTTCCGTTAACCAATCAGCCAATTCAGGTTCTTTAGCAATCGGATCACAATAAAGTTGATCACCACCACCAATCAAAACGTGAAATGGTAAAGCTTTATGACGAGTTAAAAGATCATTCCAAACTGGATCAGGTCCATTAAAACTTTCTCGATTCACACCGGCTGAGAATCCATTACAAGAATGTCCAACCCATCTCATGTTTTGATTAATAGCAGGAACATAAAATCCGATTTCGGCTCCATGATTAATTGAATAACAAATCCGACTTTCTCTAATTCCCATTGGGATCCTTAATCTAAATCTCCAAAACGTATATGAATCTGTTGTTCCATTATAAACATAGATTCGATCGGCTGTTACAGTTTGACAAATTTCTTCTGTGTTTGCTGAAGCTTCAGATGAAGGTGCAACGAATCCTGGATCTTCAAATGATGGGATCCATCTCATTTGTAACATTGGGGTCGGACTGTATGTACTGCTTTGATCCGCTGTGACGATTAAACAGAATCCTAACCAGGTTTGAGTGGTGAGATCGACCGTATCGTATCGTAACATTGGTCCACACATGAATGTTAAATGTGGTTCCAAAGTTCGGTTGGTGACATGCCTCAAAAGAGAAGGACGTTGATTCGAACTTGCGCTGTTCACATCTGCAGATTGAGGTTGACCTGGATAAGGCCACGGTGATGGAAATTTGACGGGCGGAGAGACTGTTTCATCAGGCCTTTGCGAGGTGCTTGTATGAAGTGGATGGGTCTCTAGGGTGGGTCTTTCGACATCGTCAACATGGTCCGGTAATGGTTCGACTTCTCCTATGCCTCCAACATGATGATTTCTGTCATAGCGATCTTGTTTCTCGGCCCTATGTCGTGCTCGAAAACCCTGCCATTGAAACACGCAGATCAGTAACGAATAATTTCAATGACACGAAGGTGGTTTCGAATTGCTTTTCAAACGAACCGGTTCATCCATGATGTGAGATTATTTGCTGAACCAATCGAATGCGAAAGTGGTGAGTTTATATTATATTGTAGAGGGGAAAAGGAGCTTGCAACCAAATATGTGCAAAGTTGAGTCGATCATTGATGGCGCTGTTGGTAGACTCTTTTTTATAGGGACAGCTCGGCCCCGGGACACGCGCAAAATTAAACTTCGGCTGGGAAAATTTCTTTCGAAAAAGGCAGATTGACTGAGAAACGCGAAACGCATGTGACATAGTTTTATCATTTATGGAAAGATCTCTTTCAGTCTCATCAACCAACACTTCCCTGGTATGCCCTCATGTTCATTTTTCTGATGAGATCCATCCACATGGGACTAACCCGAACCGGCACTCTGGCACGCTTCACCGGTGCAGCGCGCTTTGTATGTAGCGTCTCAACGCGGCATCTGGCCCACGAGACACATGGGTCAAGAGCAGCCAAGAGCCAACAACTCGGCAAAACTTTTGTCTTGAACAGCTGCTAAGACAATTCTTTGTGAGGTTTTACCGTGACTTCTAGCTTCCACACCTGACAGCCTGGTAATGTCCTAAGTTTGTTTCTTGAGGGGGCTCTTATTAGATCATCAAGTGGAAAGTTGGAGTTGGTCAAAGAGGGTCAAAGTCAGTCATCAAATGACAATAAACATCTAAACCCAGTGTAGAGATATTTAAGTGAAAATGTTGGAAATCCAACGCGACCTATTTACATGTTTCCAATTCTTGAATCTTGACTGACCTGGCTCCTTTGTTTCCTGTAACAGGCTTCCGCTTTAAGGAGCTTTACAATATGGCAATGCTGATATTTCATCCTTTCATTATAACTCTGTTTGGGTCTTTAAGGTTTTAGATCATCTTCATATATTTTGGCCTGCATCAAGACGCACTCTCCCTGACAAGTTCATAAAACCTTGTATGTATTCCCCCCCATCAACTGGGTACCCTATTTGTTGCTGGCATGGAAATTAAACAACTTAAATGGACATCCCAGGAACTCGTGGTTGAAGTTCAAAAACTGTGATGACAACCATGTTTTTGAAGGAGTAGTCTTTGTGTCAAAGACTCATCGTCGGAGTTGAGCAGCCATATCCAACATTTCTTTGGCAAGCTTTAACACCATGCGCCTAGACCACGCATTGTAGTCATAAGTAATAAGAACGTGAGAGATCCAGAATTTCTTCCTTGATTGCCCCATGGTTATAGATACCAAGTTGGTGCTTCCGTAGCATTGTTCAAAGATACCACTCTGTGCACGATACACTGCACAAGACTTCAATGAAATCGGTTTTTGGAGAGGAGTACGAGCCTATCCCATAATTTTCGTAGCGAGTTGGGTGTTGAAAGAAATGTCAAGATATCCAAATATACAAGAATCAGAGAATGCTGTGTATAGCAGGATAGATAGCGCAAAAGGGGTAACGGGCTTAAATGAGTGAGGGTTAGAATGTTCGAATTGAAACCGACAAGGAGATTGAGAATGTGGTCAAGCGATATAAAATCCGATCAGTACGCCTGGTTGGATCAGGTATATGTATCTTCTGGCTAGAGATAGGTCGGATCCAACGGATAGTTAAATAGATATCCAAGATGAAAGGGCGTCTTCAGATAACCTCGTCATATTTGTGGCTGCGAGAGCTAAATCACTAATGTTGAGATTCAGGTTGAACTCGATTGTTGGAGGGCATGATGATAATCTGCCGTTGAAGGAAGATCATCAGCCTGAGAATTCAACACCCGGTAAAGTTAGATATCCTTCTCATCACATACCTTCAGCCAGTTCTATGCAAGTAACGTTGGCCTTGAGTTTATTCAAAGTTTCCACATATTCATCCTCCTCCACGCTGTCGTAGACAATACCCCCGCCTGCTTGAAAGTAGACAATCTCATCTTTGAAGACCATCGTCCGAATGGCTATACATGTGTCCATGGCACTAGCATCAAAGTTGAAGCGGCCTACGGCTCCAGCGTAAGGACCACGTTTTTCCTTCTCTAGCTCAGCCACCAGTGTGATGGCTTTGAGCTTAGGGGCGCCGGAAACCGTACCCGCTGGAAAGATGGATCGGAACGCGTCAAATCTGATGGTAAGCATGAAGACACAACAAGCGAACGGTTAGCGCTCTTTCCGTCGAAGCAGAATCGAGATCAATCAGGTGATCCAGGCAGTAAGTGAGCTGATGTTTGCCTGACCTTGTCAACCCATCTCTTAACACGCCACTGACCTGACTTGTTAAGTGCATCACATGGCTAAACTTCTCCACTTGCATCAAGCTATCTACATTAACGGTTTCAGGTTTACATACTCTGTTAACGTCATTACGGGCCAAGTCAACCAGCATCACATGTTCAGCTCGATCTTTAATGGAATTTTGTAATTCTTGTGCTAGTTCAGCATCTTCCTGCAGAGTTTTGCCTCGTTTGATGGTTCCAGCAATCGCATGATTTTCTACAATACCGCCGGGTGAGACTTTACATAGACATTCAGGTGATGCTCCTACTAGCTGTACCGATCCTCCACAGTTGACGTAGAACATGTATGGCGATGGATTAAGTTGCCGAAGTTGTCTTTGTAGAGAGATGGCTTGGGTCAGTGAGACCATCGAGACCTTATGAGTAGTCACATCAAAAACTTACCTGTAGGCATTGAAGGGATGTAGTTTGGACGGCTTATGAATCCGCTGACTGGGTACAGCCTGGATGATATTTCCTTTGACAATGTGTTGTTTGAGATTGGTCACAAACGACTCGTACCCAGCTTTTCCTACATTACTCTGGGCAGCTATCCGTTCTGCAACAGGTGGTATTGGATCCTGTTGTGGAATTGGGGTTCTTTGCTCGTCCTGTAACTTACAAGTAGTTTTGACGATTTTCTCACTCGCCTCGTGATATGCGAGTTTGATGTCTTCGGGCGAAGGAGATGCAGATGGCAAAAAAACGTGAGAGACGACCTTGATGGTCTGAAAGACATGATCAAACACCACAATTGTATCGCAGATCATGAAAACCGATTCTGGAATTCCGATCGAATCTGATAATGGACGTTGAGTAGTCGGCTCGAAGTGAAAGATAGAATCATACGCTACAAATCCAATCGCACCGCCTATTTGAAAAAGATGTGTTATTGGAAACTGTATTAGTTTTCGGACCATGTAGACGACATGTTGAGTCCATGGAAAGAGGAACGAAGCGATGGGCGGTACATACCAGTGAATGGAGGTACACCCGGGACGTCCACGTAGATATACTTTGACAATTCTTTTTCCAATGGTACCAATGGATCACCTTGAAGAGGTTGGTTCGGTCCAGTCCTCAAGACCTTCGATGGATCTGATTATCGACCACAGTGAAATGAGAAAAATCGTCCGCATATATCGAAGGTCAACTAGAGAGGCTGACGAACTAGATCCCACAAAGCTGTACCTGCTCTGAGACACCCCTCCAACCACACTCTCTAACAGAAAGCTTTCTACACCTTCAACACTTCCATCCTCTGAATCTGACTTTGTGTCTGCTCTTTGTTTTGCTCCATCGGTGAGCCTCAGATAGGCAGCGACTGGGGTGAGTAGGTCGGCAGGTAAAGAGACATAGATCGGTACGCAGTTTCCTTTCTTCTTTCGTAAGATAAGATCTTCAACTTCCTCTCTCGAGGGAAAAAAACGATGTGGAGTTCGTGATGGCGTCTGTTCGTATAAGTTCATGCAAATTGCTTCTTGAAATATTAGCTGGCGAGCATACATAGATCTCAAGGCAAGAACAATTTCGAAGCTCGAAGAGTGTGCCTAACCTGTTTTTCAGATACTTGATGGCTCTTGGCGGCACGATCCATGGTGATATTGAAAAGAGATAATTATAGTGGAAGTGCGGAGGTACCGAAATGTGAATGTGGAGCAAGACCAAAATCAAAAAATAGAACTGGGGCAAAAATTCGCTGCACGTGATTGATTACAGGTTTGTATGTATGTAGCACGTCACAACTCAAGGCCATTCTGGACTCTGGAGTCTGGACACCTTCACAGAAATCTCTTGGGGCATCAGAAAAGCAATCAAAGCTGGAGCCTAGATTCTAGAATGAAGCACTGAAGTTGAAGCAGCATACGGGGCTAACTTGCAGCCCAAACACACCAATAACCTTGTCCACCCTAATTTGGCGCAGGCCAGGTTTTGTTAAGCTCAAGTCAAGTGCACTGTCAGCTTTGATCCTTGACAAGGAGATGTACAAATGTATGTAGGATTGTAAACTTCAGGTTTTCCCAGAAGCATTTTTAGGAGTCTCAAAATCAAAAACCCAAATGAAGATGGTGTTTGCCAAAGTTACAGTCATATGAAATTTACAAAAAACATTCCAGTTTCCATTTTTCAATAGTTTTTTTTTGTATTCACAAGGACCTATTTAATCAGCACTTCAATCTACATCAGCTGTTGCATATACTTATCACGGGTTTGGCTTGATTTATCATATCTCATAAATTATTTAGTAGTGGACTTCTTCCTTAAAATTCCTCTTGTCAACATCACAAAGAGTTCAAGATATATTGATCAAAAAGTAGTTATGGATTGTTGAAGTGAATAAGAAGTTGAGAAAAAAAATTGTAAAGAAACCATAATTGACTAGAGTTCCTTTGCAAAACCACTCTTCATAACCTTCCTCATTGATACATCCCTTGCAAAACCTTACATGTTGGAGCTTGTATGGAAAGAGTATACCACAATATTACATGCAACTTGAAGGCCTATACTTCAAGCACTGAGATTTTTCTTTTTCTGAAAATGCATTTTCCAGAGGTACCCTGAAAACTCAATTTCTAGAGGTATCTGTGCATCAGTTTGAAAATCATGAGTTCCTATCTCATACTTCATGACACCACTTATGATCATTTAGATTCCAGTCCCATCAAAACATCCCAGCTACCAGACTGAGTCTATACATAAAATTCACCGAAGCTGTGGATTTTATTTTGTGATAAACCTAGATTTTCTAGGCCAAGATCTGGATCATCTTCATGTTTGTTATATTTGACTATCCTATTGGGTTGAGAATGAGAGTGATGAAATGGGTTCTGTCAGAGTGAGTTGTGAGGTTTTGACTAAAGCTAGGGGTGGTTTAGCTCCTTTAGGGTTAGGTCTCAGTTTTAAGAGATCAGATTGACCAAAAAACTTGAACAACCTTTATCGAAGACTTCATTTCGAACTTTACTATTTAAACAACCCATCATCAAATCAAATCAAATCAAATCAAATCAAATCAAAACGAATTCTCAAATATCAAACAATCAATCCCAACAGAAAGAAAAAAAAGACAATGGTAAATTTAAATCATGATGAAAGAAAAAATATATGGGTAGCTGCAAGTGATGGTGATTTAGAAAGAGTTAAAGTCAGTTTATTTTTTTAAAGAAAGTACAAAAACTTATCGACATTGAAAAAAAATCTATTCAAGACTGATCTCAAGTATTGAATTTTTTGGTTTGGATAAAAACACACGCACATTGTTTCTTTGGATGATTGGTTTTGGATCTTTGGCTAAGGAAGGAACTTGTAGAATCAGGTTTGTTCTACTCCCCCCCCCAATCTCACCACCACCACCATCACCACCCAAAAAAACCATTTACCAAAGAGAATTGATTTGATTTTTTTGTTGTTGGTTTAGGTATTTCACCCATGATAGCAGATGAAAATACTTATACACCTTTACATGCAGCCGTTTCATGGAACCATCATTCGATACTAAACTATTTAATTTCAAAAGGTGGGAATATCAATATAACAGATGAAGATGGAGAGTTGAGTTTTTCCTCTTTCCTTCTCAAAAACAATTCATAACAAGATCTTTAATGATAGTAGTATATTGATTCAAGATTTGGGGGTTTTCTTTTGATGATCATATAGTACTCCACTTTTTTCAGTTGAAGATCTTGAAACTGCTAAATATGTGATCGAATTAGGTGGAAATCCATTTCATAGGAATACATCAGGACTAACAGTTCAGTCAACAAGACAAAAACTCTCGATAGAAACCCATGAAAGTGATTTGCAAATCTGATCAAGATGGTATTCCTTTTTTTGAAACGTTTTGTAGGCAGCAGAACATTTAGAAGAAGAGTATCCTGAGATTTCTCAATACCTCCAAACTTTAACCGGAGAACCTATCACAGGATCATCTAGCTCAGCAGGACAGCCGAGCGAAAGGAATTCAGATCCTACAAATTTAATGACCAGTGATTTGTTAGAAAGAGTTAAAGAGATCATGACCGATGCAGAATCGAGAGGCGTAACAGAAAACGATCCAGAAGTGAATGAAAGGTTAAGACAGATTGTCACTGAAACAGTTGAAGGATCAGTCGGGATCGGTAGATTGATCGGTAGTAATGGAAACTCTAATGGGTTTGATTTGCCTCCTTCTATGGGTGCTAATAATTTAGAAACTGTACTGGAAGGTGAAGAAGTGGATGAAGATCAATTGAATTTAGATGATAGTAATAAAAGACCTAGACTTTGATTTTTGATTTCGATTTGTTTTTAAATTTCATTGGTTTACTTATATAGTATGTTTTATATATCGAGATGTGAATGCAAAATGTGAAGGCTATTAATTTTTTCTTAGGTTTTATTGAAGATGTTCATCTTTTTAGTATTACTTCCTGTACATTTTTGTTTAGTTTCATAACTCCTTATAACTAGGTAAAAGGATTTGAAACATGACATATCCCATATAGTTGGTATCTAATATTTACATATTTTGATCAATCGTAAAGTGAGGAACGAAGAGATTGAGAAGTTTGTGGACTTTATCATTTCGAGTGAGCAGATTACAAAGGAGTAAGGAAGTAAATGTGTGTTCGGTACGATTCCAAGACTTATTGCGATGAAGATTGAACAAGTTGTTGAAAGTTTTACAATAAGTCAAAGTCACTGTTATTGAAATCATCATGAGTCAAAAGCAAGAATAATTAGTTTTTGGATTGTCATTTGAATGATGACATGTAGAGATGGTACGAACTCTAATCGATCTGAATATCTTTCGATATGTCGTTTCATCTTAGAAGTATCCACCCAAGTTACGAAATCTTCCATATGCCTATTCACAAGGAAAGCAGGATCTGTAATCACATCTGGACCTACTCTAATATGACCTTGTTCGATATACTGAACAGCCTAAACCCATCCATCCATCCATCCGACCAACCCCTCTGAAATCGATTAGTTTATATAAATTAAATCAAAAAAGAGAGATTTGATCTTACCATTTTGACCGTTTCTGCCATTTTCATTCTACAAACCATAACAGCTAATCTTCTACGACAAAAGGCACTCACAGTGATTTTCTTTTCTATATCACTCATCTTTCCTCCATTCGAATCATCTGTTCTACCATTCCCATCCATCAAACCTAAATCATAAAGTTTGTTTAATAATGATGATTCGTGTTGAGATCTAAATGGATCTTGTGGTGGTAATAATGATAATTTATGTGATAATTTTCGAATTTGTCCACATAATAAATTGTAGGCATGATAATCTTCTCTATTTGAATATCAAATTAAAAAAAATCAAAATCAGCTTTTTGTTTTCTTTATGTTTTTCTTGTTGATGGTGTTTAGAATTTGATATACCTTCTTTGAACATGATAAGTTCTCATCACTTTTGCTTCTCTTAGAGTGGAATCTCTTTTCCATTCTAGAAAATCGACTTTTTTAAGTAACTTTTTTTCGTGATGCTGTTTTTGATTAAGAAGAAGAAGATTAGTTTATGACTAGATAGTGATTAGTTTAGTTGAGATTGGATTGACTTACCTTTAGTTGTCTCATTTCGATTTGAGTTTTTGTTAAATTTGGTGTGGGATGACTTCAGAATCAGAACTTCAGTGCTCGAAGGTTTCCATCAAATTTTAATTCATGTCACGTGACTTGACACTTAAGCACTATGGGTTTCTGACAAGGTTTTGTAGCTTTACCGTTTCATCGAAAAGTCAACTGCAGAACAATCTCATCGAGCTGAACCATCCAACACAATGTCAGCCCAACCACCAGCACCATCAAATGGAAACCCTCAACAATTGAATGTTCAAGATCTCGAACCTGATCAATTGAATAGTGTAAAAGAACAACTTGAACAAGTCAGTCATCTATCTTCATCTCTTCATCTTACCTCATCTCTTGTATCTTTTAGATTTCTCTTGAAAAACTGAGAAAAATCATCAATCAGATTTGATATCCTTCGATCAATGTTCCTGTCCATATATCCAAGGCTTTATCTATTTCAAGTTAACTTATAGACTACATGAAACTTATCATCAACTTTCCTTATCTTTTCTTTATACATCATATTCTTCTTCAAGCATTAGCGCTGATATTAGAACCCCGAAACCCACCCCCAAAAACCCAAAACACACATGAATCTAATCAAACCTTACACAGGAAATCGTTCATTTCACCACCTTGTTTGCTCAATTAAGAAGTGCGACATCAAAATACACGAATGGAATCGAAGCTATTGATGAATTAAAAAATCAATCCAATTCAAAGGAAGATGATCAAGTTTTGGTTCCATTGACGGCTTCTTTATATGTACCTGGAAAATTAAAGGATCGGAATAGAGTCATGGTAGATGTTGGAACGGGTTATATGATTGATCAAGTTTGTCCTGCTTTGTGTTTTTTTTTTTGGATTCTTTTGATTTTCAAATTGAATTCTTCTTTCTGATCAAATTTGAGTTTGTCTTTGAATTTTGGATTTTCTAATTTATATAGCCAGTTCAATCGGCTCGTAAATGTTTAAATCAAAAGGTTTTATCTCTAGGTGTACAACTTGATCAACTTCAAGCTGTGATTGAAACTAAACAAGAAAATGCTGCTTTGGTAAAGGAATTGATTAGGATCAAGACTATGCCTGCTTCTCAATCACCATCACAGTGATTAATTAATTAAACCCTTTCAAGAATCATCAAAATCAAAATTGTAATCCAATCGTAATTTCAATCGATATTGACTCGGATCATGAATCAGATTTTGAATAGCGTATGGTATTGGTTTACATATGTAGAGATTCAAGGTCTTATGCCACGCATGAGAATGTTTCCAACACCTTCCTGCTCTCTGTTGTTTACCCTTCGAGTTCTGGACTATTGATGAAATGTTGAAAGCTCCTATGGCCTGGAGTTGGATTTGAGATGATTGTGCGTAAAAAGTCCCCTGTTATATTTAACTTCAATCAGATCTCCGAATTGGATTGGTTTCCTCTGGTTCTGTAGTTTGTTCAGATCAGTTGTTCATTCATCTACATAAATCTTTCATGAAGGAGTTTGATCTCTAGCAAGATTTGTTAGATCTTCAAGGTAAGAGGAATGCTCTAACAAAAAGAGGCATGAGAATGCGATCAAAGATGACTTGCATCGCTTCAATTTCCAGATGAGGTTCGGGGCACTTCTTAGACATTCAAAGCCTTCCGTTGACGAGAGATTCATATTTAGCTTGGATGGCTGGTAAACGTGATGAATACTTCCAGGATCTTTGATCATGGGTTATAAATCTACAAAACTCCTGTGTTGATGGGTGTTTTCCTAGATTTCCTGCCACATGCAGATACAACTTTTAAAGAAAGTTCGGAGGCATGCACTACCTATCTTGTGTATCTTACTTGACCCGTAAAATCTTATAGCCAGGACTAGTCAAACGTGTTTCATTCCGGCTCTGAATGCTTCTAAACTCAAATCAGTATGAGATGTGTTCAGAAATCATCAGGAAACGGACCCTTGATTCGATGGCTACGTAGAGTAGAAATCATCATAGCAAGCTTTATACTAGCTTGTGGGGGTGCCATGTCAGTATGTGAGCGGATGACTGCGATTGTGATTTTTTTTCTATCAAAATCATCTCGGCTCAACTTTCTTTCTGATTAGGTCAATCGCATGCCACTCAGTGTCCCCGTCCCGTTCAATTTCCTTCAAAGGGATGGAATGGTCCAGACTGGAGACGTTGCCTTTGAGCTCCGAATTGTTGCATGATTTATGACTTATGAGCCTGACCAAAGTTAATTTGGGGAACCGCAAAATTCAAATGATAGAAAACATGCTATTTCCAAGTAAAACCTGTCTCAGTGTTCTAAGCTAAAAGATGATGAATGCTAGTCTTTAGGAAACAACTTCATTGGAATCTCTCCTTGAACCGATGAGATCATAAAGATGTCTGATCAACACAAATCTTAGCCGTACAACATTCCTAGTTCTTACATCAAGATCCTTTATTGTACAGTAGTGCAAAGCTTCGAAGCAAGCACGTCAGTATGAATTCTTTTCGTTTGACGATATTACCTATCCATCGATTCCCCTGCTTGAAAGGCAGATTTGTATCTTTACAGTGGAAGATAGGTAACAAGTTATGTTTCAGACCAATTTGGATACATTTTCAGACAAGATGGGGTATCTTCACCCTGTTGAAAGTCTACAGGATATATAGACCACCTCTCTAGTATTTTCTCTGAGGGGTTCCGCCACTCCCCTATCGACAATTTCTTCTTCACTCTCATTCTCAACTTTCTTTTATACACAAAAGATCAAAGCCATCAATCACTCTCTTTCAAAATGTATCAATTCATTAGTCCTTTCGTGCTAATCGCTCTTGTTCGAACAACGGCTGTTCTGGCCGAAGGGAGTGGTACTAATTACCCACTTCCTCCACCGATTACCATTCCACCTGTTGAAAAAGCAAACATTACGAATTCGAGTACTATTGGGGTGAAGATCATTCCACTGTACTGTAACCAAGCTTTCATGCCACTCCAAGACGAGAACGCGACATTGACTGAGAATCAAAAAGGACCCGCTAACAGTAAGTGCTTGCTTTAACCCAAGAAGATGAAAGACAATACGTAGATTATTCACACTAAAGAGTCTGCTTTAATTACCTGCAGTAACCGAGTGTGCTTGTAAAGCCTATGATACCCCTAGCGGTGCATTCTGTGCCACTAGTTCATGCAAAAACTTTGCTAGTAAGATTATATTCATTTTTCTTAAACATCTTCAAATCCATTTATTATTTAATCATAACTAACATGGTTTGAATCTGATGAACGTTTTGGAATTTTCTTCAGCTTGTCAACAATGTAATTTGATCACGCTTGGTGTTAGTGCTAAGACATCTAACTCTAACAATCTTACTATCCCTTCGGTCGAATGTCGAAACAATTATTTCCTACCTTCTCCAAAAGATCGTGATCAACATGCATGTAAGTATATGTTTTCTTTACAAACTTATCTTTCAATCTTGTTGACTTTGATTGATTATCCTCAGTGTGTACTGATGTTGAGGATCACGCCTTTGCGTGTGAGGGCCCTTGCACGGGAGGAACCTGTAAGTTATCCGGAATATTTGTTGATGGTTTTGATTTACCTGAATCTGATGCGAGTTATCTTGTTCCTGTGAACAGATTGTCAGGAATGCATAAGTATGGACGATCCATATCTTTAAATTCAAGTTCATATGACTTCTTCAATGACATGGTGATGAAAAAGCACCTAATCTGTAAACTCTTGCAACCATCCGTGATTTGAATTTTGATCCAAACGCAAAATATTGCATGTATTTCACCCTACGTAGCTGGCTCGTCACATGACCTTCTGGCTATAAGCAGATGGCATGTAAAGCTTTTTATTCCTGCCAATGTACATCAGTACCTAGTCATAGGATTATCACTTTAGATATTGTACAAAGGAAGCTTTTTTTTGGGATTCTTATACTTATTTGGGATGAATGATTCATCTTGTTTTGAATTCTGGCTTCACATCTTGACTCGGTTGTCATATTTTTGGTTCATTGATTTAAGAATTTAACTTGATTATGAAGTGTACCGGTTACCTAGGGAAACCTAGCGAATAGAGGACTGTAAAGGGAAGAGTTTTTTTAGTGTCTGCTTTAATTGGACATTGTCAAGTCAGCATTCCTTTCACTGCTATGAGAGGGATTAGAGAGTTTTCTTATGACATCTTTTTTCAGCCTAAAGGGATGTCACACTACAAGCCTTGAGAGACATACACGCAAATGTTGGACACATTTGAACCTTATGATTTGCTGGACGTCTGCTTACATATGCAGATCACTCAGATCATCATGCAAACTGTCATGATTGGCTAATTAAGCTAGGCCTCGCGACTACCATGAAGGATTTTGTGAAGGTTGACCCATTCAGGATCCGCTAAAGCTTGTGGAATCAAAGAAAGCTACCTTAAGGGTCTCCTTGACCTGACTTGATCATAAATCATGACGGCTTGTTCTTCCATTTGATGATTAACTCTCTCCATTAAGACTTTGTATGCATGCTTTTAATTGTTACGTGTGGTTGTTAGGGACCAAGATGTCGGATTTGTGCTCTTAACAGCCGAAAGGTCAAAGTCAGAGGTATCAGGAGCGAAGGTTTTGTGTAGTATATGTCTTGGGTTGCCTAGAGCCTATCTCATCACCGGTTGACCTCTTCACGACTGCTCGAGTGGCTCTTCGCTGAACTCCTGGATTTTGTTGCGACATGGTCTGATCGTGTGCTACCTCTGATTGTTTCTTGATTTGGTCCAGCTTACCTACTGCTTCACGGTTGGTCTACGTCGTCAAGCGCTATACCATACATCAAGTAACTCATATTTCGTAGGACACGATGGGCTTGGGAATACTCCTGCTTTCATTATCCGTGTTCTTGGTCTTTGCATTATACTTGTAAGTCTCAAGGTTGCCTGATAATTAAGAGCTCACATTTCCAGATTTGTTGATACCCGCAATTTTCTTTGATACAAAAATAAATAGCACTACAAAGATTTGGGGTTCTCAAGAAAATCAAGCGGATCAGATTCATGATACGACCGGGGCAATCTATTACATAGGTCCAATACACGACCTCAGTAACAATCCCAATTGCATTTACGTTCCAAACTATTCGATTGCACATCCTCCGGCTTATGGCACATCTTCGAAAGGTGTCCAGAGTGAAAATCCCGTGAAATTTGAACCCGACAAGCCTATAAGTTCTTACCCTTTAAAATCGCCAGAGGAAGTCCACGTAACAGAGAAGGATTGCAACCTAGAACCAATTAAAGGAGCTTCTCGTGTACTTGAAAACAAATCCGGAGAAAATGTGAATTCTCAACGCATGCAGACAAATATTGAAGGACGAGCATCGATTTCAACCCCTCAATCAGGAGAATCAAATCCCACAAAAGCCGACTGCGCCGGCTTAACAACGCTTTCCAAAGCTCACCTCAAAGGTACAAATGATAACATAGCAGTCTCACAGAGGTTTAACAAATGTGAAGACCAGGAGCCGAATGAGAAACTTCCATCTTATGATCAACTTTCAATGAACTCTCAAAGCATTTCACACACGCGTCTGTCGTTGAAGCAAGACACCGCTTACTTGGGAAGGCAACGTCCAGACTATCAACCACCATCAACAGTACGAAATGTGGTCAATTTTTAAGGCAGTGGCAGCTTCCATCTGACTGTATCATCTCACCCTGCGCCTTGATGTACGTTAAGATGACATTTTGTAACACTAGATTGTGTAGTTGTAATGCTAAATAGATGTCGTGAATATGAGGTTTTGTTTGGAATTGGACAAACTGTGCTTTTAGCTGCTTGTTACTATTCCACAAGGATGAAAAATTCGTCAGGAAACTATGATCCCCAATGTTTTTGGAGGGGTAGCTGATCACCATTAGGAGTTGAAGAAATTCTTGATTTGAGGCTATAGACATAAAGTCTTCAATCACCCTGAAGGATATTAAGAAAACTGAAAAGCCATGTTAAGATTTGTTGTATCACCTGTAAGTATGTTCATGATCAACTTCAATATCACATCGTTGCTTTGTATATTTACAACTTGTGGTCCTTACAGCTTTGATGAGGTCTCACCCCGGACCTCACGCTGAACCTATATAGATCGTATCTGTGAGAATAGTGATCATCTGCTCAATCTTACTTTGGCCACCACTCAATGATGTGGAAAAAACAGGTACAAATCTTTCAAGTTGAACTTTATTTGTCAGTCGGGCAACATCGATGCAGAGTATAGGTCCAGCTAGTCGACCAAAAAAATGGTAAAAAGATAAGTGAAGTTCAAAAAAATGACACCTTTGATTATCAGGCAGTCTCCCTTTGAAAGTATCAAAATATAAAGTCGATGGTGTAGAGGCGTATCGGCTCTTGTCTTCGATCATCAGCAAAGAATTGGCTTGCCTACGGTCCAAAAGTCGCATTCTCATTACTTTATCTTTGCAAGAACAGCACATCCAATGTGATCCACTGGTTTCCATGGTATGAGAATTAATTATATAACTGGATTATTTGGCTCATTAATTGCAATTATTTGAAAGATTGGTGTTCGCGAAGATAAAATCCGGGTTGAACAAAAATGAAAACAAATAAGTGAGGAAGTTGATTAAGAACATGATTATGATCCATTAAAGCAATTATGTTGACGTAAAGTAAAACTTTAGAGTGTTCATGATGAGGGTGAATCTGCATAAATAACATGAGAGAATTCAGGTGCATTGGTTTTGATCTTCAAGGATTTTGACGAGCAGTGCAATGGCATCGGTCTGGGTCAGATGAGAAACTCGTAGTGTCAGCTATTGGGCACAAGTGATAAGATTGAAGAAAGAAAAAAAAATATTCAAAAACAATGATTCAACGTACCTCCTCGATATATGGGCTATTCCCTCCCCTAGCGGGGAAAAATATTGAGTAGTAGTGACCCGCTGGTAGAGTGGTCGGCGGATGATGGTAGTCTATTCAATGTAGTGAAGGGTGTAATCCATTTTTCAGCTCGCCACTTTCCCCCAACCGGAAAATGATCAAGCAACTTGATCAAAGGGCGAGAAAATTACCCGAAATTTTGGCCAGTACGATGGACGAGGAGGGTACAAGAAGAATCTTGCCAGAAGGTGAGCCTTTGGGGCTGCGAAGAAATACTGGAGAAAACTTTGCATGATCGGTAGGATCTAGGATCCATTGACCGCGTGGTGGATTCGGTTTACCATATGTGAAGCTTTGGTAAAAGAAGTATCTTGCGGAAATTGCGGAACAATCACTGGGTTTTTCCTAGGTTGATTGTATGCATCGTTGATGATCAGTAAACGAAATTATATATGCTTTGATGATATAAGCCGATCACAATGAACCTCGTACAAGGTCACTCACCACTTTAACCAGTGCAATGTCGAGCGGGTCCGTCGTGGATACAATCTGTATGAATTCCTCTCCGGAAGTGGATAATGGTTGTATCATGTGGACAACACGGCCTGTGCTGTCAAGTACTTCAGCTGGCCGAGTGAAATCAATTTTAGTGTTGATGAAGAATGTCTTCGCTCCTATGACTGTAGGCCTCAAATCTGCATATGCTTGAGGTGCAGCCGACGTTGTCAGCGCTAACAGACCGAGCGTTGCACATGAGGCGAGTGTTTTGAACATATTAGTATAGAGAAAGTGATTTGTATGAGTTATTTGAAAAGTGATAGTTTTGGCAGGAAAATGCTTCCACCTTCCCCGCTGACTTGCCAGTATTTATGTAGGTGAAGTGTCAAATCTCCACTCATGGGTTTGTACTCCAACAAAGAAAGATCTGACCCGTTGAGCCTGGAGTGCCACAAGAAGAAAGATGGCTTTCTTCAGCACCCCACCCTACCCCACCGGTAGACTACAGGATCCGGGGGGCGCCTGAGAATTCTCTGAGACTCTGATAAAATGAGAATCACCCCTCATAAGCCATGAGATTATGGGTATGTACAAATCTCGCTTCAGCCGAACTTGACTTTTGGACAAAAGTTACAATTTGACGACGTACTGCTACACACGTGTGACTTCTTCGATTCACACATACCCCTGACCCAAAACACGCCTGTGACATACTACAACCCTGCCTCCGTTGTGATCACCTCAACTCAACTTCACCGACCGATTGCACCCACCTCACCTCAACGACGTTCCTCGCTACGCATTCCACTATGCTACTCTTCGACTTTGTACGTCAGATGTCGGAAACCAGTCCGAATCTAATCACCACCCTCACTGTCACCGATTTCGTACGATTCATCAGCTTGGCCTCCGAGGTAAACCATATTGCTGGCAATACCCCACCTGTGTACCGGAGCCTCATCAGCCTCCGTCGGTCTCGGAGGGATTTAAGTTGGAAACCTCATGTGTTCCACCTCCCCCACCCGTTAACCTTGACTAAGTCCCTCTTCCGACGCGGCCATGTCCGCTCTCAAAGAGGGGCTTATGACTAAAACCCCGGGTTTGGCTTGAGTACAGAAAGATTTTCAAGCACATTTGCTTGAATCCCCAATGTGAGGGCTCAGAGCATCATAAAAACTCATCAAAATTCAACAAGAGCTTCTTGAAGGTCTGCTGTGTCTCCTTGTACCAATTTTAACATGTCGTCAGCTGTAAATTGCCAGGGAATTGGACTCCGAGATCAAGTAATCTTGAATAAGTCAAGCGCGGTTGTAGCCCCTGTGTTGAATAAGGGCCAGATTTACAAGAACTCTACAACTTGACTGTGTCACTTTGTTCAAGTAAATTGATGCACATAGTGACACAAGCGTGTGTACAAGGCTTATAAGAAGCTCTCTTCATTTCATTGTGAGATGAAACAATGTCTAGAGCCCTCACAATATGATTTCAAGAGAATGTACTTGAAAATCCAGCTGTGCTCAAACTACCTGGGGTTTTGGTCATAAGCCACTCTTTGAGAGCGGATATGGCTGCCTGTGTCAGAAGAGGGGCTTAGTTAAGCTTAACCACCTATCAGGTTCTTTTTTCAAAGATCATCCCAAACTTCAGAGGCTATCCAGTTGGTGAGGGACCAAGGGTGAGGGTGGAGGTTAGGATTCTCATCTGAACATGGTCACACTGTGATACATTTAAGTTTCCAGCTTTTCACCACTGTCTGGTGTATCTGCCCTATAACTGCATCCCCCGACTGTACCTAGATCCAATTGTTATCCATCTCAAAACCACTTGTATCCATTTATGCAACACCCACTCTACATACACATGTAGCTTGAAATCTAAAACTCTACAGGTCAATGGACAATGGTACCCAAAGGCACAACAGTACCATCTATTTCCATGTGGACACATATAACTCTCAAAGGGGGAAGCATGCAACTATCCCTATAGCATGGATAGTACTATGTTGGGTGCATATATTCAGGGTCCCAGCAGAAAATTTTCCACTGCTTGCCCTGAATCACATCAACATTTTTTCCTTTCCCCTGTTTTCCAGCAAGCATCAACCTTACCTCTAATCTTGACTATCTAACCCATTGTCTTTTCAGAGTTCTTATTTCTCACATAAACAAAAAACATCTTACCCGCCCACTGACCCTTCTTCAGGAAGGATGAAATACACAATAATTAAGTATAGTTCTTCTAGATCTTTCTTTATTGTTTTCAACTGTTCTAAGTACTAACTATGCAGATATGTCTCACCTGTTGTATTTGAGAGACCAACTGGGAGGGAGATGATGAGCTTTTGCCCAGCCCACCGTGCAGAGCTCCCATCTACGGCACTCATGAGTCCTACCCCCTTAGCTGTCAGCTAGGGGGCCCCCCAAGGCACCTGGGATTTTTTCTCACAAGAGGACTCTAGGTTTGTCTAGACAAACCAGATGAACATGCAATACATTTCATATTAAGATATGTAGAACCTGCAACCCACTCCCCCAGAGAGCTAGACAAGAGAGTGTGTGGATATGTGGTACACTGTGAACATCATTCAACTTCCCTAAGTTGGGAGAGGAAAATGATTGATAGTACAGTTTGTCATAAAAGGATCCAATACTGCACACCTGATCCATAACACCCACACTACATATGTGAAGCAAGCTAACTAAATAGTTGTCTATCATGGACATACAGGTCTGCTCAGTTTTTTGCCCAGCAGAACAAATAAAACACATGTTATACCACATGTAACTTTTTTGACTTTGAAAAAATTGTCCCAAAAATTCACTACATATCATTCTGTAGCTGCTCAGGCAATATTGTTGAAGCTATCTCTTAGTAACAGAAAGGAAGTTACATGCAGTTGAGTTGATGATCAGATTACACCAAAACTTTGATTCAGTGTATGTAGTCAATCTTTTGAATGCTTTTGTCAAACGGGAAAAGTTACAGCATGTATTACATATAAACAACTTACACCACAGGAAACATCAAATGTGAACCACAATTGAGCAAAGTTGCAGTGACTAGGTCCGCAACTTTCTTCCATTGCGGAACTTATTTGCCCCAGCTTTGCCATAGGTTTTCTAGCTTGCCTCAAGTTGCCCTTGAATTGTCCACTACATATGTAACTACTCTACTACATATGTAGTGAAGCTCATGGGCAAAGAAAACCCCCAAGAAGTTGCAAGAGACATCCTTTTCAGTGGACCTACTTAGTTGGTAGTGCAATACTTGAAAGCAAAAGCACTTTAAAGTGGAAAATGAATAAATAAAACAAAAGAGCAGCTCAAGGGAAGTTAGCAAACCCACAGCAAAGCTATGGCAAACAAGATCTGCACTTGAAGAAAGTTGCGGACTTGATCACCACAAGTTTGCTCAATTGGGGTTCACCCTTAATGATTCCCGTGGTGTTATCCTGGTAACCAATCTATTCTAGATTGTATGATTTTGGTCGTTTCATCATCATCAGCTATCACTAATTAAGAGTTTGATTTTGTCCAATGTTGGTTTTCTTTTGCTCTGTATATTGTTCTTGAGATTCTATCCAGCATTGTTTCATCAAACTTTTTTTCAGTTGTTTTCAACAAATCATCATAAACAATTTTGTTTCAAGTGTTGGGATCTCTTTACATCATGCTTTTTTACAAAACATAAGATAGCACATTCATATATTTAACATAAGAAAAAGTCAATAGTATTATGGCTACATAAAAGATATCCTCAAGGCAGTTTCAAGAAATTCAGACCATATCAAAGCATTTTGAAGAGGTATGATTCCTTTTCGACCTGGTTGACATCCCCACAAGAGTATTTTTTTCTCCGAGTCGATCGGAGATATGATCAAGGTCAAAAACACATATATATTCAAAAACCTGTCATCCAGTGAAATAAGCAGGTGGTGGATTTGAGAAAGATTTAAGTTCTGATCTTGGACTATTTTTGAAATCACCTTTCCGACCTATTGTAGAAGGTGGGCGGTAATCAGGTTCAAGTCTCCCAAGATAAGATGTATCCTTTTTCAAAGAGATACGGTTGTTTGGGTTAAATTCTCGACTTCCAGATATGTTCTCGTATTGAGGAAGAAGATTATTTGAATCGTGTCCTGGATGATCAAAGTTAGAGAGTGAATATGTTCTCTTTTGAACGGTATTGAGGTGTGCTTGAGAGGGTGTGCTTGGACTTATACTAATGGGATAAGCATTTTCTTCTTTGGTCGGCGTAGATGGAAATTCGTCGTAAAGATCAAGAGTCGAAGATGATCTTCGTGCGTCCAATTCAACTTCAATTATGTGGTGATCGACTGAAGACTGTGGTTCTTGGTCGCCCGCTGATTCTATCTGTTGGGGAAAGACGAGATGCGCCGGTGGAGTATCAACGCTGGAGGCTACGCTACTGACATTGAGCACTTCATCTTTTGTATCTTGTTGGGACTGAGGTTCTGGTACCACGACTGATGATGATCTAAGTGGATTTTTTTTGGATGTTCGATTCCTGTCTTGTTGATTCTGTGAGAATGCCAACGGGTTTCCACACTCTCGCATCGCGAATCGAGATTCTTGCGGAGAGATACAAGCAGCTGGTGGAAATGATATCGCTGAAGGTTTTGAAGGGTCAGAGTAAGGGGAATCGTGGGCTTGTTCCTTGGGGGGAGAGGTTTGTTCAGTATTCTGAGGTGCTGGTGGTGGTTTCTCCTCTGAAGCGGATAATTTCGAACTGCTGCTCCCATCGACCATTTCATCAAGTCAGTCAATCTCTCAACTTCGCACATCAAAATGAACGAAAGCTTACAGGTAATATACACCCGTAGTGACGACCGCCGCCGAAAGGAAGAAAATCCAGTACATTCTCTTGAATGGAAGCCAGACGAGCGTGATGAGATTTGAGGAATGAAAGATTTGAGTGGATTTTGTAAATGCCTTTCGCATATATTGGGAGGTTTTCAGGCGTCGATCTCTGCGTTTCGTCTCTCTTGACACAACGTCTTTGAAAGAATTCATGGCATCCGGTGCTCTGAGGAAGTCTAGGTCACCGAATAGAAGGTAGTGGTCGTCGAGATTGCGCTTTGGCAAGCTTCGGCATCCGATTTCGAGGAAACAAGTTGTTCACGCGCAACTAGGACATGTGAGCATATCTCAGAAGAAGCTTTAACCTCTCGATCCCCAGACCACAATCATATACATACATACCCAGATCGGTCATGGTCATGGTATGTTGGCAAATCCACATGTTCATTCTTGAAAATTATCTCTGACAAACTAAAACCGTCCCGACTCCGAGTCCCAAGGATCCTAAACTGACTCACTCGCCTTTGAGCTGATCAGTAAATCTCAAAAACGAGTGGACTTCGTATTAAGTTTGCTGATCATCCATGCTTCAAAGAATGAATTGTTTCAGAGATAGCTTCGGTAACAAATTTCAAGACCTTTCAACAATCTCAATCTCAATCATAAACCAAATCAAAGAATCTTTTTTCATTATCATTTATAGGATAGATACAAACTTCAATTGTAAAAAAAACCATCATTAATTTACTTAACATTCTTCAAACCTTGCAAACAAAAACACCCTTTCTACAATTTCATCATGATTCATCAATTTCAATTTTCTTATTTGAATTTAGTATCACCAATCATCAATCATCAACCAAAGTTCAAAGGTTTTTTAAACCTAATTATCTTTCATACAATATACAAAACCCCGCACAAAAAAACTTTGCAAAAAAACCCACAATTTCAAATCCTAATACTGATCCTTTTTTCTCAATTTCTTTTTTTTCTTTCTAGTAAAACGACCTAATCAGTTTTCTTCTTCATGATTAATTTCATATCTATTTTTGTTCCTCTTCTACCTTAGTTTCATCAGAAGATGGTTCTTTTTCTTCTGCTTTCCAATCAATTTCACTACCTACAAAACTTTCTTGCATTTCTTCCGTTGTTTCTCCTTTATCTACACAACTGCCTGTTTCAAGGTTCGTATCTGATGGTGACTCTTCAGTTTCTACTGGTGCAGGTTCAGCTGGTGCAGGTTCATCTGGTGTAGGTTCCGGTGCAGTTTCTTCTGCGGCTTCTGGTGCTTCTGAAGGTGCTGAAGGTGCTGAAGGTTCCACAGTTTCTGGGGTTTCGACAACTTCTGGAGCTTCTACGACTTCTGTAGTTTCTACAACAGCTGGAGCTTCAACAATCTCTTCAATTTCTTTCTCTACTCCGATCCCATTAAACACTTTATTCTTCCAACCACTACCAAGACTAAAATCTCGTTTACCAATCACTTGTTCCAAAGTTTCCGAACTTTCTAAATCAATCTCATTTGAAACTTTTCTTCTAACCCAACCATTCATTCTTTCTACAATCCTTAACCATAATTCGATTAGACTATCAGGTATAAAACTACCGATTGTTTTATAAATCATAACTTGTTTACCAGTAGAAGTAAATGAACCATGATTGATACTAGGAGATTGTAAGATGTTTTTGACTCTTTGAAATAGATTTGAAAGTGGTGTACCATTAAGAGAATGAACAGATAAAGAACTAGTAGGGATCGCAAGAAATCCTAATCTTCTTGATAAAGATGGAGCATAGATCGGATGAAGATGAGCGGGTAAAGTAGGTAAAGCTGAGATTGTACGTGGGAAATGTGAAGGTGGTTTGAAAAGACCGATTCGTTCGTTGATGATTCGGATTTGTTGTTTACTTGGTGAATCACAAATTAAGATTTCTCTTCGTAAAGTGGTCATTAGAGTTTCTAGAGCTTGGTTCACTATTACTGAGGATGAAAGGTAGGGTAATGCCACACTACTCGTCTTCGTAGGAACTAAAGATTGTAGCCAGCAATCAAGAATAGTCAGCTATCTGTTCTGATTATGACTTGGATGTATGCAGAAAATGAAGATGGTTAGGAACTTACATAAAGTCAAGATCACACCATCTTCACCACCAGATTTTTCAATCGAGTTACGCATCATAGGAAGTACTACTTTAACCACTTCTAAACTGATACCAACAGTACTAGCCAAATGTGGGATTAATTCAGTTGTAGGTTCCATAGTTTCAACAGGTCTCAATTCATCAAGATTACTAATTGGAAAACAATTGACCATTCCTACGAGTGCAGAGTGAGATCCATCTCCCATAAAAGCATCACCAGCTGAATGAAGTGGAAATCTTAAACTAAGAGCAGATGCAAGTGATCGAGTAAAAGCAGGTGCAAGTTCAGGTCTAGTAGGATCTAATACAAGAGCTTTAATCCAACCCAATCCATCACGTTCTAATGAACTCACATGAACCGGATCACTCACACTCGCAATCACAATATACCCAACAGATGCAAGTTCAATAGCTAATTGAGATCCAATCGTTCCAGGATCAGCACATAAGACTATGATGGCCTCAAGACGAGTTTTACCACCTGTTGAATATCTAGGTCGAATGATATGACTAGTTTTCTTACGTCTAGTACGTAGGATTCTGGGTAATGTACTACGAAGGTTAGGATGATCTTGAAGAAAATGTTGAAAAGAATCAGATGAAACTAAAAGACGTAAAGCTAAAGTAGACGTAAACCAAACTCCAGCGGTAATGATCAAATTCTTGGGTTTAAAGATTCGATTTAAGATTGAAGGTTGACTTTGTAAATCAGGATTAGACATCATCGGATTGTTGGTCTTGATGATTGGTGATTCATTGGTTGAGGTTGATAAGATATTTGAAAGTAAATCAGATTTAGAACCTAATTCGATTGATTTTTCATAAGCTTGTTTTGAAATAGATTCGATTTGAGTATAAAGTTGATTTGAAGTTTCAATGATTTGTGGCATCAATAAATCAGAAGTAGAATGAAATGAGTCTATCATTTTCGATTCAAGTGCATCTAATATTTCCCAAATCGATTGATCATTTGAATTATTTGAACTCATCGTCGATAATGATAATAGTAATAATAATAATAATGATGATATTGATAATGGAGAGAATGAGATTGGTACAAGTTGTGGAAAGTGTTGGAGTGGTTCTTTGATTTTTATGGGATTTTGAATTTTCTAGATTTGGTGAAAGGGCTATAGACAGCACGTGATCTCGGCAATCTCTATGACATCTCAAGGTATGTGCGCGTCACGGTGCGCGTGGGTTGACAGTGACAGAAACGTTATGTGAAATATTGTTATGTATCAGGACCCAGGAATGCACCTATAGAGGTATGTAACGAGAATCCCGACCGTTTGTTGGCGCGGTTTGCGGGCACATAACACCACATTTACAACAGCTACAGTAGTGCAAAATATGCGTGAGATTGAAGGCTTTCATTTAAGCTAGCTTTCAGCCTCATAGCACCTATACTTCCTGAGTTAAGCGGATGTAACGGTCAAAATAGCCCTAAATTGAACGTTGGGATCAGGCCTTGGAGGTACAATTTTTTTTGCACCAATAGATTTTGCCCCAAGGTGAGTGAAGTTGAGAGACTTGGAGTAGGTTCATTCGATAGCCCTGCTCCATGCGCATCTTTTGAAGTGCTCTGGAACTTGAGACAATGAGTTTTGTGTTGTGTAGAGCCCAAAAACTAAAAAACGTGTTTTGTTACATACCTGTATAGGTGCATTCCTGGGTCCTTATGTATCACCAAAGCTCTCTGACTGGTTTGGCCGGGGGCGGCCCCAGTCCGACTGGTCAAGGGGTTCCAATAACACTCACTTTCACCAAAGTTTTGTTGAGGTGGTCTGTCAACTTCCATTGAACCTTCTTCAGGATTAAGATATGAGATGTCAGTGTTTTCAGTGGATTCATTGTCAGTTGGTAAGTTGTCAGAGTAATAATTAGGCAGTTTGTCTGGTTCAAAGGGATCCATGCTTTCAGAGAGTCCACTGAGCTCAAAAGTGGCAATGTTGGCATTTGTGAGCTCACTCATACCTTTGAGAAAGTCTTGTGCCACCAGGTTGATGATGTGGTACATGCAACCATGGAAACATGAATCATAAGGCCAAAGAACCCCCATGTGTGCATATCAATCACTGATAATCTGGACCATTGTTTGGTTGGATGATGCATTGTCCCCTGTGATAGCAAGCTGATGGCAGACAGCACCCACATGCTCAAGACTCTCCCAATAAATTCTGGCCAGATTGTCCCCAGTATTTTGTCCTTCAATACACTATCTAGGTAAACTGGGCAATGAGAGATGGAGCATTAATTGACAATTGACAGAAGTGAAAACTTGATAAGGTAACATACCTTGGAAGTGAGAACACAGCGGCAAAATTTGCTGAGCCACCGTATACTGCCCCCATGTGTTTAAACCCCATAATTAATCCTTTTGAAGTGTAGGTTCAGCTTTTTTGAAAAATTTGAGCTTTTTTAAAAAAACATACTGATTGTATCTTGCTTTTACCATTCCAAATAGCTCCTCATTCACCTTGAATGATTCTGCATGATTTCCTAGCAAGGTGGTCGCGACAATCCAGCTGAAAGCAATGTTACTTGGCCTCAGACTCAAAGATAACCTTCATTCACCAGATAACAATTGTTCTACAATGCTTTTTGTCAATTCATTTTATAGCAAACCTTCTAAGTTTCACTCTTTGATTTTGAGATCTTGTTTGATGTTTTCAATTTATTAAGCCTTTAGAACCGTTGACTTTCTCTCTTTCTCACATTCATTTCACAGCCGTTGTAATATCTAATGGCAGATTTTTGAACAGATGTGTCGTGGCTGGTTTTTACTCTGGAAGTCCAAAAGTCAAAAAAAAGACAAAAAAATTCCACTTTCAGATTAAAGTGTATTGTTCTTCTTATAAGACGACACAAACTATTTTGCATTTCATCTTTCTTACGTTTTTCCATCTCTCTCTTTCCGGTTATTATCTTTTCAAAATGATTACCGGAGACCCATTTATAATGGCAACGACATCACCTCATCAAGCGTCTTTCCCCATCTTTCAATATATAACAATTCCAATATCATCCATTATATCAACACTAGGGCATAGGCGGGCCCGCCCGCAGAAGTACGTACAACTTTTCCGCTCAAAGCTCCCGGTGCACGGCTCAAGCTCAGTTAAGTTGGCTCAAGCTGCAACTGGAAGAGAGTGGAAACAGTCACAGGTCCCATTGAAGGAAAATTTTATGAAATTATGGTAGTCAAACCTGTGTAAGAAATCTGCAGGACTGACGTGCAAGATCTGTGCAAAAACTGTGCAAGAATTTTTGGCACCAATTTTGCCTAATTTGACGGATCTTGCACGGATCTTGCACGGATCTTGCACAATTCTTGCACGGGTTCGACTAAATACCTTACATACTTTTTGGTTTACATTTTGTACTGGGCTTTGCATGTTTCTATCATAACTGCCATGCGGAGGAGTCTTGTGTTAGCTTAACAAAGCCCTCCCTGCGCAGCCGCATCTCAAGATAGTGCAGGGTAATTAGGGGGTTTCAAGTTACCTTTTTTACGTATTTTTACGCTAAAACAGCTTGCCCATTGTTGTAAAATATGCACAAATCTTATACAGCGGGAAACCTTTTTAGGTGTCCCAATTGGAGGATACATTGGTTTTACACATAATTTTTTCACAAACAACTTGTCCAAATTGATGGATTTTGTGCAACAAACAACCAAACTTGAAACCCCCTATTGTGAATGTGGATGTAACTATACTTTGTACCGGGGCTCAAGATCCATATCACATATCTGCTTCTACACATCTTGTCTTGTTCTGTTTCTAATTCTTTACCTTCTTCACTTTCTGCATCCTCAAGTTAGGACCTCAACAACAACTTCTTGTCCTAAATCAAATCAATCACATCCAAATGTTCCAAGATCATCAACTTCAACTGGTTCTACATGACTCAAACCAGAATTTATCAAACTCTTCATCTTCATCAGCTTCTTCTTCCAACAGTACAACCAATTTATCTCGACTATCACCTACAAATTTATATGGTCATCCAATCACTACATATTCAAATCCATCTAAATCCAATTGACAAAAACCCCATTCTTATTCATTTACAAACACAGCTTCTGGTATACCTAAAGCTTCTTCCAAATCAATAGGTACATTCAATGAAACCTTTCATTTTTATTAAATTCACTATCTAAATCAGATTCCTCAAATTCAAATGATTTGAATTGAGATGATCATTCAAGTATAGAAATTGGTGAAGAGCTGGGTTTTTAAGAAATGATTCATTGGTGTTATTGATGGTGTAGAAGGTTGAAGCGGTAAACCTCAAGCTAATTCAAGTTGGTTTTCAAATAAACTGATGCAACAATTTTTTCTTATCTCACTCCTTCAATCTAGGGACAAACCCTAACCACCTTTCCTGATGGATCTCTATAAAGCAATTGTTCATTTGAATCAAGTAGATATGATGATGCAGAAGATGAACTGTTTAGGAATCATCAATTTTTGGATCCAGTCAAGCTTTTACACATTGCATATGAAAAGAGTTTAATGAATCAAGACACAAAGGAATCATTGGTTTGACTAATGCTTTAGTGGTGATTTTAAGAAGTGATGAATCAAGGATTGCTGATCTAGGAGATCTTTGATGCTTGTTTGTCTACCATTTTGATTGGATAGATCATCAATGAGATTATCTGATACAATTGAATTCATCTGTTTTTTTTGGATTGGATTGGATAGGCTTGTCAGAGGAAATGATGATATTTTTAGGAGGGAAGAACAACATACCTTTGATTATCCAGTCCAAATTGCAACCAACTCAAAATCAACCCCATCAAAGCATGCAGAAAGATATAACATCAAAGTACAAAAAGATGATGTAAGTCAAATACCATCCTGGCACTGATCAAAACCTTTCTTGAAACTTATCTCCTTTCTTGGAATTCTATATTGTGATCCTAAGTTCAGATGGATTAGTAGATAATTTGTTAAATGAAGATGCTTTCAAAGAACTGATCAAATTCATACCTTGTGAACTTGAATCAGCTTCTTAAAGCTTAGCTCTTAGAGCTAAACAGTTTTAGTCAATCAGGTTGCTGTTAGTTCTCCTTTTTCTCAAAGAGCTAATGATTAAGGAATTCATTATGTTCGTGTCAAGAATGATGATATTTCAGTTGTTGTGGCCGTGGTTAGAGATATTTAAACAAAAGTGAGCGTGATGCATTTGGGTTTAGATTTTGGTTTTGGTTTGGTGGGTATAATTTACTGTATGGTAAATTGGGAAAAGATGATGCAAAAGCTTCCGGAAGATGGTGTTATAAGGCTTAATTTGTTATTGATTTGCAAGTTATGTATGTATGTAAGAGAGGACAGAATCAGGGTATACTTTAGATAAGTGGATTGTTGCAGTTGTGAAGAAACATCAAGTTATATTTGAGTATTAGCACAATCATTGTATTGACACCGGCTTCATACATAGATTGAATGTAGAAAGGGGTTCGCAACAGACTAAACGTGACCAAAAGCAAATAGGGATGTCGAGCAAAACCAAGGAGTGTGGTCACAAAGCACTGGAGGTGCTTTTTGAAGGGAGATCAATCCAGAAACGGGAATATCCAAGCGGGAGCCAAAAATTCAACAATGGCATACGGCATCAATACACTTCTTTTGATCGTACTACTACATGGAGACCAAATTGGGGAAAAACAAAAAATTGTCAAACTGCTTATCAAAGGGCGCAAGACATATCCGTGGTGGATGTAACAAAACAGGAAAAGGGGGACCGGATATGAATAGGGAAGGAATACCGGATTATGATTGTCCAACAATAGTAATCACTTCAGGACACTGGCTGTGATCGTCTAAATCAATCAGAATTGGGGTCAAGCAAAAAGTACGAACACCTTTTGAAAGCTCCAACGGCAAATGCATGATTATTGAGCCTGATAATGCACCACGGGAAAAGCAGAGTTACAGCTGCCGTACATGGAAAAGGTTATGAAACAATGGTGGGGAGCTTTTCGGAAAGAACAGCCAAAGATTTTGTGTAGATGTTAAGGCGAAAAGACAAAGGGCAGAGCAGAGAACACCACTTTACCGTAATTTTTGCAATAGTCAATCACAATCCGCATCATGGGTAGTCAAAGATTGCCGACATCTTTTGAATGCGCCACAGGGGCAGGCAGCAAGATTGATCGATGCTGAGAATCCGACACGGAAATGGCAGAGATTCATTTACCATAAATGCATGCATTCAACACACAGAGCCGATAAAGTTGCCCCGATTGCTGAACAACTTACAGTGTGCTATTGAGAACACGATGATAAGGCATTGGGTTCATATACTTCAACGCAGGGCTTTTGAAAAAGCGTGATGTGTAAGCATGGTTACGTGCATACAATGAAACCTGTGATTAAAAGCCGACAGAGTGTCCTTATCTACAATTGATGCTTTTGGTGAACTATTCCGTCAAGGAAGCGGGCAGCAAAACCTATAAATATCGGAGGTGATGGCAGCTAAGGATCAGCATCATTCGATGTTACCCACGGCTACACGCAAGTGAGTCGTAAGTGGGAAACAGAGAGATCCAGTGTTCTTCGAACCGAATGCTTTATACCCAAATGCTGACAGGGTATAAGGCTTCCGGGGGGGGAATTCGGATTTAAGAAGATAAATTATCCTTTTATCCTTTGTTCATCCAAATACAAATTTGTAATCATATGTTATCTGCTTTGTGGTCACAATTTTTTTTATCTTTCCATTGATTATACGCTCATCCCCGGTTTTGATAGTCACCCAAATGTCTAATACTTCTTCAATCGCTCCGGCCGAGACCCCCTTGACTGGCCACATGAACCCTTGTGAGTGCAACTTCCAGTTGGCCTTTTCGCCCTTCTTCAACTGATACCGTTTCTCGTTTGATTATTTTCTTGTTTGATTCTGTTCTTGTTCAATTCTTTTCTCCTTCCATTCTTCTATTGCGTGATGATTTTTCTCCTTCAGTGTTCAAAACGCCAGTGGAATGGGCAGGGGACGAGCGAGTAGCCAGCTGTATACGCCAAGACCCCTTACACTGTGTTGGCACTCCAGCTCGGGATAATTTTGAGAAGAATAACCAGATGACAATCGAAGTTAGATTCAAGATCTATACCGACATGGAGGTCGACTTGAACGCTGCAAATCAGAGCACCCCAAAGGTTGGGGCTGGTAAGAAGGCAGCGAAGTCAGCCAAACTCAATTTAATAGACTCTAGAGCCATTAACAGTCAATACCTCAAATTGAAGATTTGTCTGTTTGGTAAGAGTCTTATCGAATTTGAGGACCTGGTGGCTGGAGCTTGTGAGGTGTATGAGGCTGGTATGAAAAAGATCATTTTGAATAGTTCATTCTTGCCGGACCTGAAGTGGAAAGCCAGTGTTGGCTGATCAAAGTGTGTTCTCACCGATTTTGATCAATGGCAAAGTTTTGTCAAAGCTCTTGAAAAGTCGACCAAAAAAATGGGAGTTGTTTCAATTGAAAATGAAAATGTACAAGTCAAAGCGAAAGATGGTAATAAGGTGAGTTATCTTTCCTACTAATCTCCAATTTCCTCATTCCGTTATTCACTCTACTTACTTTGGGTTCGATAGGCTTTGGCAACTAAGAAGCTCATTGCGGCCACCAACGGAGGTGGGGCAGAAGATCAAGAATCTGAGGTGAGTACATGTTCAATTATCATCATCATTAGTGAAGTGTTCCATAATGATGATGATGCTTCACAGGAATCAAAGCAAGAACGAGAGTTAAAAACTCTGGCTAACCAGATTTTTAGCCAACATGAAATTGACAAGGGTACCAAAGGCCCTGGTAAACTTTTGACTACCCCGTGGGATCCAAATTTTCAATATTGATTGCTTTACCCCGCGGTGTGGATCTGGGCTAAAAGGGTGGTGCGTGATAGATTCCTTTGATTGAATTTGTTCATAAGCAGCAATAAACTGACTATAAACATATTCACACATAGGCCGCCAACATTGCCACCCCCGATATACCTCCAAACACCTTGGAGTTCCGGTACAAAATCAAGAAGAATCAATGGATCCACCCTGACATGGGGTGGGATCACCGTGTCCAACTTTGATTAAAAGGCCGTCCTCGGGGATCCCAGGTGATCAACTCGAATGTTAATTATTACAATCTTAGTGAACCTGTACAGAGCAGGGTTTGATGAAGATTCAGATCTTTGAACTTTGAATCTCTTCAAACAAACCGGACTTCGAGAATACTCACCTTCATTCAAGATTGTATGCGAAAATCTTGGATGAAGGGAGAAGAGCTCAGAAGCGCTCTGACAGGTAATAGAGAAAGAAAAACAAATGGTACTTAGTTTTAACTAGGTTTAAAGTAAGTATAAACATGGTTTTCACGGAGACATGCTTGAGTTGAAATGTGTAAAGGAAAATTGATATCAAACGGTGTTATAAGCATATTGTTTATAATGGATGAAATTACATAATTAGAGAAACAATGAATATGAAAACCGTACACTTCTAACATTAATTCCGTGGTAGGTGTTGGTGGCTCAGGTGTGAAGCACAAACCGGCCCTTTCCCACACCAGCTCCATGCCCGAGATGAAGCCCGACTTGCAGAAGATTGGTGAAAAACGCTACGCGTCCGGCCCAAGTGATTTGATTGACATCAAGCCTGACTTGAAGAAAATCAAGGTGGAACCACGTGAGCTATGTGAGATGATGCTGATATTAGATAGGCTTACTTGCTGACCTTATGATTAATTCTTGTTCCAGAAATCAACAACACCATCAATAACCCAATTGTTGTGTCTAATGACTTTGAAAGCAACTGGGAAAGCTCGGTCAAAATCAGAAGGGGCTCGATTGAGATTGAAAACCCCTCCACCTCTCACTTGGTGGAGTTAGAGTTATTTCTTGCCGACTGCAACATTGCTTCGGAAGACGAACACACTCGAACCGTGCTTAGAGAAGCTGGTATCAAGTCCTTGACTGACTTGATACCGAGCCTCCAACTCACCGAATTGACTTTGACGGCCAAGGGAATGGACCGTCAAGCTGAAGCTTGTTATAATAAGTGTCAGTGGTTTCTTCACCTCGACTCAAATATGGGTTAATACTGATTGATTGACCTGATGAACTTGATTGACTCAGGATCTTATGGATCCAATTCCCCAAAGGAGATTGAATAGTATACAAGATCCGTTACCCAAAATCACCTCCAATTTTTCTTTATATTTGTTGCTAGCAAATTACCAAGTGTCTTGATTTTGTTGATTGAATGCTTGTAAACAGCATAAGACAACTGTTTTACTTGTCTCTCTTGAATGTCGTTTTTTATATTAAAAATTTATACACATCGTTGATTGAATGTTAAGCTTGTAAACAAGACCATCCAAACACTTTGCTTGTTATCTGTTATGTGCTTCCCTTGATACCAATAAAACTTCATTGATCGAAAGGTTGTCAGCAATTCAAAGTTTTTTTGTCCCTTGAGGGATTTCATCTGACCTCGGTCCAACTTGACCAATATTGCTCCATGTGTTAGATGGAGATCCATGAAGACCTCAACAGCAACCCTGTGAAATAACGCAAAGTGTACTAATTAGTACCAATGATTGACTAAGTAGAACACTTGTTCTTGCTTGTATTCATATCCATACTTCCAAGACTAGGATAGTATCAGGGATACTATCCAAATGATGGAATAAATATAAATCACACTTCAGGTTTTCTAATGACCGACCATTAGAAAACTTGACTCCAAAAGAAATCTCATCTGATCACCCAAAAAGAATATCAATTATAAGTATTTTCATTATTATAAGTCACTTGTACAAATCACATAGAACATTTGTTCTTGAAAGATAGAAGCGGATTCAACAACAAACATAACAGCAAATACAGTGAAGCCTGTTGTCTATTCAAACATATCGACAGCTTTTGAACAACTTGGTACAAAGTTGTTCTGTAAACAAATTCATACAGGTTACAAAGATAGATGCTTCCTCACCCGCGACGTTGATCGCACGGTGAAGCGCTCGGGACCTTTTCAAACGCGACTTGAGAGGAGAAAATCCTAACTCAATTGGGTCATATCCGGCGAGCATGTTGGAAGGTAAAGGAGTCGGACTCCGCGTGCTTGACAAAGGGCTGGTATGTTCCCTCCGTGATGGATGGGAGCATTATCCATCACAAGGACTGAATTTCTCGCTGGCCACGGATTCATGGCCGGTAGCTTGGATGAATGAAATGAATAATCAGTGATCCATTGTTACCCAAACAGCACACAGAGAACTTACCAAAGAGTCTTCCAAGAAAGCCTCAAAATCAATCCGTGAGTAGCCACCAGGCTGGATAGCTAAACCCACAAGGCCCCCTAAAGAGATAGCTGGTAACACAGACCATCTCTGGGCCCGAGTGGCTCTTTCCTGCCAGACAGTACGCTCGCCACGAGGCGCACGTGCGTAATCACAGTAGAGATGTCGTTTGTTGACAGCGGTTTTGTCTATAAAGATCACAATGTGTCAGCATGATATAATAAAGAAAGATACAAAACAGGTGAAAATGATCTCACCGGTGAAAACAAGGCAATAGGGATCAATGCCAAAAATTTCCCCAATATATGCTCCACGTCTCTCCTCTGATTGATTAGGATGGATGGCGCAAGCCTTCTTTCTTGTCCATCCTAGGCGCAATCGGACTTCATTGGAAAGTGTCTTGAGCAAGACCACTAATCCAAATCGTTCGGAAATTTTCAGTTGGAGTTCATCTAGAAACAATGTTGGATCATGTTCAAGGGATTCAATAATGTGTTAAGGGGTGGTCTCTGGGGTTCTCAGAGCGGGAGTGAAGGTGCTACCACAGATCTATTGAGATTGTCAGATGAGGAGCATTAGATGACTATGTGTACAACTAAGATATCTACTCGACCTGTGACATGTGGGATCAATGTCAACCGGTCCATACACAAGTGTTGCGTGTACACATTCATAACATAATGAAAGCATGTTGAGCGGGGCCTAAGATTGGGCGAGCCAGGACCCCGGATAGCTTCTATTAAAGGTACCAACCAAAAAGGTATCTTTTTGGTTTGAAATTTCGGCGATGTAAGCGACGAAATAAGTATGTTTTGACCACGTTGGCATTGGATCATAGCGACGTCGGAGGAATGAATGGGAAATTTTGTAGCTTTTCTAGGCCTTCCTAGGCTATTTTTGAGTGTTAAGGACTTGCGAGGATTTTTTTGGCAAATTTTGGTAGTTTTCATTCGGAATGTTACCGACGAAAGAGGTATTCTTGGCCCTCCAGACCCTCAAATTCAGGTATGAAGGACTGAATTTTTGGTGTTTTTTTGTCGGTATGCTTTATAGGAGCTATCCGGGGTCCTGGCGAGCCCCTTGAATCATGTGATGGTCGGGATTCGTAATGACGGCGCGAGTGGTCTGGTATAAATCAAACCATCGCCGGACCGATGTGAGTGAGACGTCGACGCCAAGAGTGGAAACAATGTCATGGAATCACATTCCATGCATAACCATTCGAATCACAACCATCTTGAAGTCGGATGGATAGTTGTTGAAGGGAATCTGTAGAAATGTTCCCGTCAGTATTGACAGGACGTGAGGAAACCACAAAAACATTGAAAACTCATGATTGAGGGCACTGGTGGGTGGAAGAGACTAGACAATTGGTCACTCAAAGGCCTGGGTATGTGCCTGATTGTTGAACCAAGAGAAGATGAATAGATTGGAGGTGATCAAAAACCAAAAAAAAAATCCAAAGAACATAGGACAAAATCAAAACCGGTAAGTGTGGTGATCTGGAGCTGTGACCAGTGAAGGCGGTCAACTTGCCTTCGGGGGTAATTGGGAATGGACAAGGCTGGTGTGGGAAAATTGGTCAAGGTGGTGATACCGACAGGATTGGAGAAGGAGAGGAAGGGGTGAGGGTATTGGTCCGGTTAAGAAAAAGAATATAAAAAAAGAAATAGAAATTCAACCGGCTATCATATGGCACAGTAGGGAGTCACGTGTTTATAGGGAGATAGGAAACTGCATAAAGTTACCTGTCCAGTATCAAACCATATGAAAGGAAGACAATAAAGTTGGTCAATTTCGAAAGGCTTTTTTTGAGTTTTTGACCTTGAATTAAATCCAGCCACAACACATTTTTTCAAAAATCTGCCATTAGATATCACAACGGCTGTAGTTGTTTACAAGGTGGTTTTTGGAGTCTCAATTGAATTGTTCATCAACAGCTATCTAAGATTGCAAACAAAATGCTGAAAATCTTTACAACCAAGAATTCTTTTTTCTCTCGATCTAAAATAATTATTGATTTCTTTATAAAGCAAAATCATCTTGTTCTTTTGTCTAGTTGATCTATACTTTTTCTCCTTCACTTTTCCTTATTTTCTGTCAAGACTTGATAGATCTGTTTTGATTATCATTCCTCCTGTAGTTCTTTGTTCATGAAGATTTGCTTAATTCCCGTATAGCTATTGATATTAATCTCAATAGATGGATGCTTAGGTGTTTCTTGTAAATGGAGGATTTGAGTGCAATCAAATCTGAGAAGTTTCAGTGACTGTAAGATTCTCTCAATAACTTTTACTATTGGCCTAGCTCAAGTAGCGTCCGTTTGCCATTTGGTCATAACACACTTAAAGTGGATATTACCTGTGAGAGTCAGGTAATCAGCTTAATGAAAGCTGAGCACTTGACCAAACTGATATGAGAACAACTGAATGAGAAGAAGAGGTTCAAATAAAATGGTTTGAGTTTGATTTCAATATCCACAACAACTAACTAGACAACAACTTACACCTGTGAGAGTCAGGTAATCAGCTTAATGAAAGCTGAGCACTTGACCGAACTGATATGAGAACAACTGAATGAGAAGAAGAGGTTTGAATAAAATGGTTTGAGTTCGATTTCAATATCCACAACAACTAACTAGACAACAACTTATGTTGAAAGACAATCAAGACTTCAACGTTCTCAGGTCAAGATTCAAAATCAAGAAGATTACCTAATATGATGACGTGAATATGATTATAAATCTTTGTACCTGAATGTCCTGATTTGTCTTTTTATCTCTATTTATAATTGTGTGCGAGTCATACGATCCTGCTCTCTTTCCTCATCTGCTGGAAAGAGAGTAAGTCGATTTTCGAGTTTCATCCACTTCATTATCATAACTAACTTCTTTGGTGTTACTCTATTTTATAGAACTTCCATTCAGATCACTGTCACAAGCTTTAAGCTTATTTCTTATTCGTTTCTCATCTTTAATTTTACCTCCCACGATATAGGTACTTTTACTTTATACTTTACTATTCCATCACAGTGTTGATCTGACTAGTTATCTTTTATTCTTTTCTATTTTGTCTTTTATTGTTTGTTGTAGGTTAGTCAAAGGTCTGCATACCTGAGACTGTGAGGAGAAGAGTGCTTACCTTTACGCACTGGTTATTAGGTTAGTTAAAAGCAATGTATTCTTATCTGCTGGAAAGAGAAACTTCCATTCAGATCACTGTCACGAGCTTTAAGCTTATTTCTTATTTGTTTCTCATCTTTAATTTTACCTCCCATGATATAGGTTAGTCAAAGGTCTGCATACCTGAGACTGTGAGGAGAAGAGTGCTTACCTTTACGCACTGGTTATTAGGTTAGTCAAAGGTCTGCATACCTGAGACTGTGAGGAGAAGAGTGCTTACCTTTACGCACTGGTTATTAGATTTACCCGTGTTCTTATCCATTTTCAACTTACACCTGTGAGAGTCAGGTAATCAGCTTAATGAAAGCTGATCACTTGACCAAACTGATATGAGAACAACTGAATGAGAAGAAGAGGTTTGAATAAAATGGTTTGAGTTCGATAAGGAAAAGAGCTCTTGGTAAACAGAAAACAAGATCCTTTATAACAAAATCAAACATTGACGTCACTCTTACAGTTACAGGTATGATGTATCAAAGAAAGCACTAGAGATTCTATATAAGCCAATGATCACAATCTCAATGAACGTGTGTCTGTGCAGACGTATTCCTTATGGTCAATGCCATCAACACTTCACATTCCAGTCTCACACCATCCTCACATCATGATGAATGATTATGAGTGAATTCAAATGTAGTCTTTCTCATGGGACATGTCTCGTCATTTTTTTTAGCGGTTTTAGCGGAAAGATGAACTGAATTGTAAGACATGTGTTGTAAGAAAGAATAGGTGTTTACACGAGGCACGAAGTGTGGAACAAGTCCATGAAGGCGTGCACTGGAAAAAACGGTAGGAGGATAATTGGGAGAATAAGACGTAATACCGAGGCTTCAGATTCCCAGAAAGAAGAATAAAAGACCCCTTTCGGAATCGAGGCACATGATGGTGCTGAAGCGTCACACGTCATAGAAGCTATGAGGTAATTCGAGACTCCTGAAAGGAGAAGATATAAGTCCTTAGGGAACAGCTGGAGAGTCACCTTTCTCCCGCGACAATTCCCTTTTGACTTTTATCAATTTTCCTACTACTTTCCAAGATTAAACACAACTGATATTTTCCGTGACTAGTCAATCTTATAAAGCTCATTATTGTGTAACTTGGTTAACTATTAGAGTAATCAAAACAATTAAAGATTATCAGAAAATTTTTTGTGTTTTGTGTTTGTTTTGTTTTATCGAACTATATAACCTTTCCTTTCAACCTTTACCATCATAATAACGTTCATATCCTTTAAACTATCTTATCTTAGTCTCAATAATCTTATCTTTCATAATTCTTTGCATTGCATAGTTCTTTTCATCGCATTCACAGCCCTAAATCTATTTCAACTTACAAATGGCAATCACACAAACCAACAGTCGATCCACCAGACGTGCTAGGGGAGACGTAGCCCCTGAAGGAGCTACCGTTATAGATCCACCTTCATCAAACGGCCCGGAGAACAACCAGCTTGGCGAGCTAGAAGGTACGGACGACCCAGAGCTTGAAAGACTGGACGGAGAAGCGATACAAGAACATATGAGAGACGAAATCGCGAGATCGATGGATAGTCAAGGAATTGAAGATATGGAGGAAGGTGAAGGAGATGGTGATGACAAAGGAGACGGCGAAGACGAAGACGACCAAGATCAAGACTTCAACGAGCTAGAGGCCTTAGAGGAGTATGGAAGAGATTCGAGTTCCAACTCGTCATCGACATCATCTAATTCAAGCAGCGATTCCTCAGGAAGCTCAGAAAGCGACTCATCAGGCAGTGATTCATCCGAATCAGAAGATAGCAATTCCTCATCGGATTCTGACTCAGACGGCACAGTTCGGAAAGGTAAGCAGAAAATCCTTGAATTGATTCTGAGAACAACACTGCTATGGAAAAGAGCTCCCACACAATTGAGCGCCCCTACACAAGGGAAGAGACATGTTGAAGTCTACGTAGCGTTACGTTACCCAGATGGTGTCCTCCACTGGAAGCAGGCAGAAAGAAAAACTGTAACCTGACCTTTTTCGGTTTAAATTCCGCTGTTCACAGGCACAGGCAAGAACGAGTCGATTAAAGACCTAAAGCAACGCCTTAAGAAAGCCATTCGCGCGAAGGATGAAGCCAAGTCCAAGTTAGCAAGAGAGAAGAATCCCACTAAAGGTAAAGAAGTGGTGAACAAGCACGGAAAGAAGAAAAATTTGTCAAAAGTAAAGTCATCTTCTTCATTGAAAAAGAGCATAACGAAAGAGAACGGAATTCGCTTCCAAGAAAGAGCGCCTTGCAAATCAACCCTACCCCCATTACAGACCTATTGGGGCGAAGCGATGAAGAACTTATCAGAGAGTGTTCCTTTAACTGTGCTCAACCCTACCTTCGTGAGAAAAGATAAGGAGGAGTGTAGAAGAAATCAGCCATCATCGTCATCCTTGAAATCTAGAAACCGCGGTTTGACCCCTCCGTCAGAATACGCTATGACGTTCAGAGAATGGATAGACGGTATATCTCTTCTTCGAAAGTATCTAAAGAAATCTTACAACTTCGTTCAGATTGCGAAGCAATTGAAGACACACGTAAAGCACGTGAAAGACATCAAATACTCAACTGAGTCTTGGATGGTGGCGTTACGCTACGACATAATGCTGAGAGAACAGCTGTTTGGTCATCAAGCTAAGGGAGTTTCAGTACCCGAGTAAGTTCGAAACTCTGTAAAAAGAAAATACAACAGCATATCAATAGAATAAGCTTTCTGATGTCTCTGATGCATAAACAGTGCAAGTATATATGTGGAAAAGTTTGAGAAGATGGCTAGAGAGAAAGCGTCGATGAGAGGAGAACTGACCTTTGGAGACAACAACCCTTACGCGAAGGGAGCGAGGTTCGAGAATCGAGACCCGGAGACTGGAATCTGGAATGAGTAAGCTTCCTTATCGAAGAACACTCTCCTCAAGAAATTCAAAAAGTAGGAATGCCGTTTGTTGAACATAAAATGATTGTTTACAGGAATGCTACAAGTCAAATCAAAAAACGGAAGTATACACCAGCTACACAGACTTCCGTTTCGACACAAAGACGGCTACCTAGGCAACCCAGAGGACCTCGCCTACCAGACATTGTGGAAATGCTCCCACCACTGCGACAACAACAACCGGTGGCAAGCGGTAGTAGGGGAGGAGCGTACAGAGGAAGAGGAGGAGCGAGTAATGGCAGATCTCGAGCTCGCCAGTAGTGAGTTATGTTTTGGGTCATCTCGATTGAATTAGTACCGATGTCTCCCCCTCCTTTAAGAGCAACTACTGCTATGATAATCGCGCGCACCCCAGCTGTGTTCGAAACCTTCTTGTTGTCCTCCGTCTTTTTACTTCCTTTTTGAATTTTACTTTTCATGACTGTCGTTACCGAACAACCAAGGCAGAAAATGCCGAGGTATTTATAGCATTGAAAGCACGATTTGTAACCTTTCCAAGCGATGTAGAACCTCCCACTACCTTCCCACTACCTTTATGTTACTGGCCCAATCATGTACCTATAAGGAGAAGAGGTTTTAGTTAAGATTGATGAAGTAACGATTTGTGTTTTTCAAAACCCCTTTTTTGATGCAGTGAAAGACACACTACGTCTGTTCGTGATACAGGAGTAGGACACTCGGTAGCTCAGAACTCTGTTAAGATCAAGACGAACGACGCGCATGAAGAAATAATGAGTGTCGACATCAAAGAGGTAGTGATAGAAAGTAAATGGCCAGAAGGACCAACCTGTGTGATGAACATTGAGTTATGGGAAGAAGAGTTGAAGAAATACAATTTATTACCTTGATACGACTTCGTAATAGACGGCTTCAAGAACGGCTTTGACCAGGGTATCCCGGATCATACGATCGGAGATTTACCCTTTTACTGTCCTCCAAACCACCAGTCAGCTGAAGAAGTAAAAGAAAAAATTATGGACAACATAAGAAAAGAAGTGGCAGAGGGTAGAATGTTTGGTCTGTTCACGAAAGAAGAATTACGATCAAGGTTTCCTTTCTTTAGGTCTAGCCCCATGGGGGCCGTAGTGAACGGTGACGGATCCTTCAGACCCATAAACGATCTTTCCTATCCGAAGAACAATCCGAACATACCAAGCGTCAATTCGTTTGTAGATAAAAATGACTTCAAAACGACATGGGACAACTTTTCAACTGTAGCGGAATTCATAGCAGAAATAGAAGTCCCAGTGGAAGTAGGCCTTTTCGACTGGGAAAATGCCTACAGGCAAATCGGTACACTCCCAAGCCAATGGCCTTTCCTTCTCATTTCCTGCTTCCTTGGTTTCCAATACATCGACACATGCATTTCTTTTGGGGGAGTAGGAGGCTGCGGTAGTTTTGGAGGCCCCGCGGATGGATGGAAGGAACTAATAGAAAGACACTTCGATTTGATAAAAGTTTTTAGATGGGTAGATGACAATCTTCTCATAAAAGAAGTGTCAAATACCGTAGATATGAATCAGATTGTCGAGTACAGCTCAGCCTTGGGAGTGAAAACGAACGACACAAAGTTTTCACACTTCTGTGATGAACAGAAATATATTGGTTTTTTATGGAACACAAAAACAAAAGTGGTGTCTTTAACTCCAGCAAAACTACAGACCAGGATCGATCAGCTGTCCGAATATCTAGGAAAAGTCGACTATAGCCTGAAGGAAGTCGAGAAGATGAATGGTAGATTAAATCACGTATCATACATTTTACCACAGTTACGTTGTTACTTGTCGAGTAGCTTTCGATGGCTGGCAGAGTGGCACGACAGGTACGCGAAGCGGAAGATGCCTTCTTTGGTTAGAGGTGATTTGAACATGTGGATGGATGCTCTAGTAAGCTGTCCTAACAGGTATCTATTAAAGAAACGAGAAGTGTCCAACGTAGGTTGGGTAGGTGACGCGTCCACATCCTTTGGGATAGGAGTGGTAGTGGGCAAGGCATGGTCACAATTCAAGCTGCTACCTGGTTGGGAAACCCCACTCGACCAGCCGAAACGGGGTATCGCCTGGTTGGAGACAGTAGCCGTACGTCTAGGGCTACTTACACTTCAGAAGCCACAAAGGTTGGAAAGTAGTCGCTTTCTAGTTTTGACCGATAATACAACTACGGAGGGGGTGCTAAGAAATGAGAAGTCAAGAGACTTTTGGGTGAACCACGAGTGGAAAGAAATAAGCTCGCTACTTTACTCAAATGATTGTCAGCTGGAACAAAGACGTGTAGCGTCTTTAGATAATGCAGCGGACGAATTGTCCAGAGGCATAATAGGTTCAAAGGCATGGTACTTACAAATTCATGTTGATATACCGGAAGACTTGGCACGTTGGTTGAGAAACGCCACAGAAGATGATCAAGTGGAGAGAAGAACGGGACTAGAATAGTAGGATATTGACTAATCTAGCTATGACACTCCCATTTTTGTGACGTCTTGATTTGTAATGTTTGATCCCCCAATTTCTCGCTTGGTAATTTGTATTGTCCAAAGACAAAGTCGTAATGAACAGAGATCAGCCATGAGAATAATCAAAGATCTGCCCAAATGTTTGGCTGACTTCTTTGTAAAACCAAGTGAGAGTGTCGAGAGAGAAAAGGAGGTAACAAACAATTGTTGAGGAAGATCAGGAGGAATTTAAGAAGTAGACATACCTCGGGTGTGAAAGTTTGGTGGTGGTGAGAGAAAGATAGACACTGCGCCTTAAACAAGACCAAAGCAAATAGATCAGAGACGCGGTCTCTTGATACAAAAGAGGGAGCTTGAGGTAGCAACAGGAAAATACGAAAAATCCACCCGACATTGAATCACTAGGAGAGGTAGATATCGCTCTAAAAATCTAATAAGGCACAACCTGACATGAAAAATTTAACGCCCTTCCTTCGCATCAAAGACGAAGAACCTACGAAGTTGTCAGTAACCCAAAGACATATGGTGAAAGGTGGATGGAAACGAAATACGCTTGAATCATACGCATCAGGGGTGAAAAAGTTTAAAGTATTCACACACCAGTTTAGATTGAGAGCTTTCCCAGCATCTCGTTCGACTCTGGAGTACTTTGTGGTATGGGCGGGACACAATTATAACAAGAACGCTAAAAACAAACCGATAAAAGTCGTAACGATTCAGAAATATCTATCAGCAGTTCGTACCTGGCACGATTTTCACGGTCAGCCGTGCATGCCGATGCTTGAAACAAGAGTAAAAAGCATACTACGATCGTCGAAGAGACTCGAAATGTCGGCTCAGCTAACGCGTCAAGATCGAAATCCAGTTTCACCAAAGGATCTCGTCAAACTGCTAGACGACATCGAAGAAAATGAGTTAGACACTGTAGGCTTGAAAGCATTAGTACTCACTGCATACTGGGGATTGGCAAGGATTGGAGAACTGGTTTACAAGACAAGACATTACGATAATTTAGATCTCGGGGCAATCCTAAAATCAGACCTACAATTTCTATCCTGGGGAGGAAGAAGAATGGCAAGAATAACACTTCGTGATGCGAAAACAGCCAGAGGTGATGAACTGCAACATCTAATCTTGAGAGAAACGGGAGGCCGGTTATGCCCTTTCAAGGCTCTAGGAAGCTTGGCACGACGGATGACAGTGGTAAAAGACCCTCGTCTTTTCATGACATGGAGGGAAGGAAGCACTTGCGCTATAACAAGGCCAATTCTCACGCAAGTTCTGCAAAGGGCCTGGGGTAAAGCAGACGGCATAACGGGTCACTCATTCCGAATTGGAGGCGCAACACTCTTAACGAGGGCGGGGGTACCAACGAAGAGCATAAAACTTTTGGGACGATGGAAATCGGGTTGCCATGCCCTGTATCAAAGAGAATGGAGCGAGATGGAATGGCGTAATGCTCAAAAGGTTTTAGCCACATCAGGCTGTCGTCTACCAGATTACGAATGTTGAAACACAGAGGTTGTAAATATCCTTGACTCAATGTGATTAGAAATTTTTCTTTTATTTGTCAGATACCTTTGGCCACATGAGAACCGGAAGGTGTTGGCAAGAGATGGTGAGGCTAGCGACGGTGATGGGGAGAGCCAGAGAGGCTCAGGACCGACACAATCCTGAGTATGGGAAACCCCGGCTCTCCTCTGCTCTCGTCGTTATAAGAGGTACCACTTTTCTACGTTCAATAGAAGGGTAGCAAAACCCTTCTTAGAAAACGTGAAGAATAGGCACCTCTTAAAACTGGTCCTCTCAAACCATCTTGGCTTTGAGAGGGCTTCTAGCCCACAACAAAATCTTCTCTTGCCCAGTAACTAAACTGGGGAAGGGAAGGTTCATATCTCTTGAGATAAGACGAGACACGAGAAAATGGATAGGTGTTTACACGAGGCACGAAGTGTGGAACAAGTCCATGAAGGCGTGCACTGGAAAAAACGGTAGGAGGATAATTGGGAGAATAAGACGTAATACCGAGGCTTCAGATTCCCAGAAAGAAGAATAAAAGACCCCTTTCGGAATCGAGGCACATGATGGTGCTGAAGCGTCACACGTCATAGAAGCTATGAGGTAATTCGAGACTCCTGAAAGGAGAAGATATAAGTCCTTAGGGAACAGCTGGAGAGTCACCTTTCTCCCGCGACAATTCCCTTTTGACTTTTATCAATTTTCCTACTACTTTCCAAGATTAAACACAACTGATATTTTCCGTGACTAGTCAATCTTATAAAGCTCATTATTGTGTAACTTGGTTAACTATTAGAGTAATCAAAACAATTAAAGATTATCAGAAAATTTTTTGTTCCTGCCCACCCACCCTACATAGGAGCAGAAGCCACGAAGCCCCCCAATGGGGGACTCCTTGGGGGAAACCCCGGCTCTCCTCTGCTCTCGTCGTTATAAGAGGTACCACTTTTCTACGTTCAATAGAAGGGTAGCAAAACCCTTCTTAGAAAACGTGAAGAATAGGCACCTCTTAAAACTGGTCCTCTCGAACCATCTTGGCTTCGAGAGGGCTTCTAGCCCACAACAAAATCTTCTCTTGCCCAGTAACTAAACTGGGGAAGGGAAGGTTCATATCTCTTGAGATAAGACGAGACACGAGAAAATGGATCAATTTTCATTCTACAGGTGATTATTGTCAAATTTTGGGAAAAGATTACAATCGGATTGTCTCATTACTTACCAACATCACAAAGATGTTGGTTCAAATGTTGACTTTGTAAACAACCAAGAGATAAGTTGGTAGGGCAGCGGCGGTGGTGTTCATCCTCAATGAATTGAAGTTTCTCAGTGGGACAAAGGTATATATTAGGAATCAGATCCTTTTTATTCCAAACAGGTTTTGGAGATGGAAAGTGGCTATCACTGTCAGACTTGCGGTAGCGCAGATATAGTTGATGACTCAAGTTCAAGTGAAAAGGTACGGTCGAAAATAACTCTTATGTCATCATTTATGACTACGCATCAACAAAGAAAACTAACCAGATCTGATTCTTGTTCTTGAGAGACTTGAGCTCATCCATCCATTTTACCCCGTTTTAACCAAGTGTAGTCTTATCTTGGATACCCAAAACAAGCCATCGACATCCCACAGTAAGAGATCTGAACCGCATTTTTTATTCAATTATTCATTCCTACAACTAGATTCCTACCGCGATAATCTTCCTCGCTAGCTTCAACCAAACAAATCCTTTAAGCTTGAGCAGCTCCCATACATCTACAATCCAAATCTAAAACCAAAAGTATCATTTCATATCTGATCAACACCCAATCTAAAACCTCAAAAACCAAAGTAGAAGAAGCAAAAAAGAAAATCCTCAACTCACCAGTAGTATTTTGATGTTGATGTTTTAAATTCAAAAGTTTTAAATTCATACGATTTTCCTCCTTTAAATCTTTAATCAACAATAATCTTAAACCGATTAATTTTTCATCTAATTTATTTTTAAAATTTAAAAGCTCATTCGATAATTTTAATATTAATTTTGACTTCAACTTTTGATCATTTCCTTTATCAAATGCTTTTACAAAGATAAAAATTGTCCAACAAAGAATTAACATTCCCCATGATAATAAAATTATAAGTGATTTGGTACTTAGTTGTCTATGAATTCATAATGACATCAATGGATCAGTAATCAAAGTTTTGAAGTTGAATTTATCTTAATCTTGAATGGAAAACAATCAACTGAAGAAAATAGACTCGGATCGAAATTGAAAAGTTAACTTACACCGGTCTAAATTCTGTCGAAGCAGGTAAAGTAGTAGACCAATCAGTCGATCCGTTTGATATCGTGCTTCCTAATCCAGAGTTTCCTTCATAGATATCCTGAGATGCGGACAATAGGATAACATGAGGCATCTTTAGACCTAAGAAAGATCTATGTATCGCGTTGAAATATTTAGTAATGTTTTCAAGTTTTTTGATTTTAAGTTGACAAAGAGATCGATGAGTGATGGATATCAAGTTCAATGAGTGAAAAATTAATTCGAAAGATATTTTTCAAAGCTCATCATCACCTGAGGTAAAATAAGAAGAGAGAAAAAAGCTGATGTGATGAATTTCAATTGTTTAATAAACTTTCTTAAAGAATGGAATATCACCTCAACAATTCCTCGGAAAGTTTCTTATTCATATCCTGATCCTCATCGATGCAGCGTAATAAGATTGTATCATATATACCAGAATTGCTTGAAATTAAGCCTAGCTTGGTGAGTTCATCCTTAACAAGGTGAGTTATCGTAATTTCGGAAAAATAAACTGAATAGGTTTTATAGGGATCCAAGTGACATGGTCAGCTAAGGGGTTTTTGAAGATTGATTGGAATAAAGTCGTCGTCCCACGGATACATTTGGTTACATCAGTTTCAGATCAACGCCGTGTAATCAAATGTGTGATTAGACTGAGGTGAGCTCATCGAAAAATCAGCTGCACGAGTCGGCAATTGCTTAGTAGGTAAGCTGTTGATGTTCTCTCTGGACTTCAAGGGTGTCATCCAAGCCGTGTTCCACAAGAAAAAAATCCGAGTGAAGTCCGCCATGGACACCTCGAAGTCAACCCCTATATACTGGAACTTCTGCAGTACTCTGCTCGAATAAATGCGCAACTCCTAGCTCGTGATAACTCTTGCTCGTATATCTGGCAATAGCTATTGGAGTATTTCCTCATCAGAAGCACTTTCTGAGTATGATAAGGCAACTTGGAGCTTGAGAATACAGTAACTTCTTCGTACGGAAATATCTCTTCTAGGAAGTCATATGTTCACCCACTGACAGAATGACAGTCTACATAGTAAAGATGCGATCAGGCTTTATAATTGTGACTGACATCCTGTAGAATGGTGCGCCAATTCATGTTTTCCCCTACAATATGATTTCTTCTCTCTTTTACTCCCCCATGCTTCCTGCATTGGGACCGCAACTGATCCGTTGATGTATCAAAACTCGTAGAATGAGGTAGATCAGATCAGTCATTAGAGTTGATGAATTTAAGAATAAAAATCTCGTATGCTCTTTGATCAATAGCGAAAAAAATGAATGTTCAAAAAAAGGAAACACTATGCCATCACTTTGCGGGAGAAAATATATGACACCAAGATTTTCAAACAATGTAATCATCATACAACAGTTTCTTAAAAGAGATGAACACCGATCCTATAAAATTTAAACTTGCAGAATTCATGTAAACACAAAGTAAAATGCTAACATGATCTTATTAATTTTTTTCTTATCATCGTAGAAGATTAATTTCAAAGTTACCAAAAGAGTTAAAAATTCACCAAAGGCAACATAAAACCGAATAGTAAAAGAAGTGTTATGAAAAAATCATTCTTGACCTGACAGATAGTACTTTGCTCGTGAGACGATAACCTTGACGTGTGATGGAAAGTATCGAAGGACTGCCATGTAGAAGAATGAGAGGAGTAGAACCAGGAGAATATCTAAAGAATCAAAAAAACGCGATCAAGACGTGATTGAAAGTCAGAGATTTGGTAGATCATCTTTCATGTGGTTATTTGAGTGCGAATCAATCGACACCTACGTAGCATCACCACTTCCCACTGTTTTGCAAGTCAAAAACCATGAAGTTGAAAACAATCATCAATTTCGGTCTCACACTTCAAAAGAAGGATGTAGTATCGAATAACTCACAGTTTCTAACATAGACAATGCAAATTCTCCTTGATATCTGATCCATATCTCATGCATAAAAGTACCAAATGATTTATTTTTGATAATATCAAAAGAAGGATGAGTAGTTTTAGGTCGATCTTGTGTGGATGAACCAACTTCTGATTTTGCTAGTTTTGAAGCTGATGATCCAATAGATTGAGGATTGTTTGTGTTGTGTGATGGACTCATTGTCTTTAGTTCATTAGTCGCCAAAGTCGTTCAAGGTTAGGTTGATGATGACAATCAGAAGTGTTCGAATCGTTGAACGAGTTCAGCCAGTTTGGAAAACATGAGACACTCTCTAAACACATGAGTATGGCCTTAAGACCTCACACTATGAGCCTACGCAGCCGGGTAATCGACAAGGGGGACGCGCTGGACTGCGCCACCCTATGACCTTGATTCAAGCAATCCACCTGGAGTCTGGACTGGATTGTTTAGCGGATATACAATAGACCTTTGACCACTCAGCTATACCTGATTCACCAGCAATGGGAAAGTCCTTCTAAGCTAAGTGGTGCATATCAGACATCAAACCTTGGTGGACTGGGTTCTTCTTGCCTGTCATCAAGATCACAGGAGTCCTTTACAAAAGGTCAGATGAGGTATGTTTGGGTTTAGCTTTCATTCCAGTTACCCTGAATCATAATTTGATGCTATTCTTTGACAATATAAATATCTTGGAGTGGCTCTGAGTACAGAATTTCACAAGATTCTCACCTTTTGATAATACTTGAGCCTGCTTGTCAAGTACAATACTTTGGATGGGTTTTGCACCAAGTGAGCACAGAAAGCTACAGAAAGTCTTGATAATTTGATACATACACACAACAATATCACCATGATGGACATATTGTTGAGAGTTTGTGACATATATTCAATACCAACAAGTCCATAGCAAATTCCTTGCCGCCTTCTGATTTTGATGCTCTTTCTTCCCATATCACAATGCCTCTCAAAGCTTGTATAATTCATGTCATTGTTTTTGTCACACCATTCAGGTCAATTATGTGGAAAAATAGGAAACATAGTTCTAAGACATTGAATGCACGCAGGTACATAGATGTTGTTCTTTCCTTCTTGCTTTTTTGTGTATCTATCCTAACTGTCCCTTGCTTCCATGCATATTGTGGAAAAAACATTGACTATCACATATACAAATGTGATCCAAAGGCCTGTCAAGGTGATGCTGTTCCAGGTGAGTTCCTCCAAATCCTTTCTAGTTTTTGATGACCATAATGATTTGTCAGCAATTGTTCTGTGGATGCAACGATGGCAGGTGGTCAAAGTTCTTTTACTATGACAAGATGTTTGATAATTTCAGGGAATATAAATTGAGATATCAATGATCTATTGGCTTATGAATTTGTACAATGGATCCTTTGTGACACCTTACACTTGTGATTGAATAAGATTGCATGACATCATCTATGGTTTCTTTGTATGAAAATCTCTTGTGTGATCTCTTTTTTTCACACTCTTCCTTACCATTAGATTGTTGTTGTCTTTTGTTCAATCAGTGCTCAGTTTCATTGAGCTGTTACCTGAAGCCCACAGGTGTAAGTTATATATTGTTATTAGTTGTTGATGCTGGTAATTGAACTCAAACATTTTTTTCCACAATCTTCTTTACCATTAGATTGCTCACATATTTTTTTGATCAATTCTCAGCTTCATTGAGCTGATTTCCTAATTTCACAAGTTCCAATAACCATCTTAACTATACCACCAAGACACTGGTATCCAAAATTGGTATATTTATGTCTTGGACAGCCGTAATCTAGGTAAGTGAACCTCCTTCATCTTTTAGTCTGCTTTTGTGTCCATTGATTGTCTCAGATAATGCCCCTACTGTCATCACTTTTGGTGATGTGATGTGTTCAGTATGTTACACAAACAAAAGGGGCACCACTTCCATTGACTGACTGGCTGATCAAAGTAGACATATGGGTATTTTCCGTGTATTATCACACACAAGAAAGGCTCAGACTAGTCTCATCAGGACCCAGAAATGACTTTATATATGTGGGTGACAAAGAAAATCCCTGTTTTCTGGTCAGTTTTAAAAAATCCTAAATGATACCCTTTTTGGGCACTGACCTTAAAAAAAGTAAACAAGAACAGGGCTATGGGGGCATCCATAGGTGCATAATATTCATTTATAGCATTTTTTCACAGTGGTCAGGCCTGTGTCTTTATGTATGACAAATTGGTAGTAGAATGTACACCTCCTTGGAGCATGAAGCCTAAGGCATGTATTCAATCATTTTGTCAGAAAATTCTCTACTTCTGGGCTGCAATCTCAACTTTGCTGATTCATCACAGCAGTGGTCAATTAGCCTTCACTGCAAACATTTTTCAACTTCCCCAAGTGGGCAGGAAAAAATGATTGGGAGTATGATTTGTCATGAAATGATCTATCACTCCACACCTGAGCCATAACACCCACACTACATATGTGTAGCAGGCCCAGTGAATAGGTGGTTATCATGTACATACAGTTCTGCTCAGCTATCTGTTCATGACAATAAGTTATTCATATGTAATACATGCTGTAACTTTTTTCAGATTGACAAAAGCATTCAAAAGATTGACTACATACACCGACTTGATGTTTTGGTGTAATCTCATCAACCCAACTGGTTCTGTAGTGTAACAGGGCAGCATTTTACCTGTGGAAGATTAAGGAGTGATGAAGGTGATAACACTGCGGAGTTTGCATGATCACTTTATGGTCCAAGATGTGTTGAAAGGTCTAAAATGTTTGCATTTAGTCTATTTTAGTCTATATCACATCCCAAATCAACTTGTATTGCTCTCTACAATCAGCAGCCATCCAGTGGTCCATCCCTTGATATTGAGCTCTTAACTTATGTTCAAGGCCTAGAGTTCACCATGTTCAGAGTTTGAAGACTGTGCAGTGTGCTCGGAAGAGACTGCAGGGTTCTCACTGACTCCAAAGAGCTTCGCAAGACCTACAAAAGGTGTAAGATCAAATATCGCATCTTAGTAAAAAAACTACATATCCAAAAGATCAAGAAAGCTTACCCTTCCTGAATTCTCCCGTGACTTGCGCGGGAAGAACTACGCTGTACTCGATGAACAAATCTCCGTGGCCCATGGCTTGATGGCGAGGCATTCCTTCACCATCCATGACTTGCACAAAGCCTGAAAAAATCGTTTCTCAGTTTGAGTTGAAGAAGAGCTAGTCAAATATACCATTCGACGTACCATTTTGTGTCACGCCCTCTCGAGTGAGTGTGATATTGTGACCGTCTAAATGTGTCAATTTGCGTGTGAATCCAAGTAAGGCCTACAAAAGGATGTTGTTGAGAGTCGTAAGTGGATTTTTTCGCAAGTCAGGTCAAAAAAACGAGAAATAGTCAATTCTGCTTGAACTTACCTCATCTAGCCTCAAAGTTTCTTTCCAATACAAATTTTCCTGCTTTCGCCTGAAGCCACCGTCAGTCTGCTTGCGAGTCCTAATCCTCAGAACAACATCTCCTGCTGCATGATCCGGACTCTCGTCCGCCTCTCCTTCAAAGGTCTCTTCGTATCCATCGGGTATACCTCGATCGAGATCGATGGTGAGCGAATTGACTGCTTCTGTGGTTTTCTCCCCTTTACATTTTGTGCAACGATGGGCGATCTTCTTGCCTGCTCCACCACAGGCGTCGCATTGCATCTGAACTTGCTGGAAGATACCAGGTCCAAGCTGATGACGAACGATTCGTGCGCCATGACCTCCGCATACGTCACATTCCTGCACGTCAGAGGGTTTCCGGGCTCCAGTGCCCTTACAAAGCGGACATAGTACTTGTCTCTTGATTTCAAAGTCAATTGATCGACCAATATAAATCTAGACGCCAAAAAAAGCACGGTCAGCAGGAATGCAACAGATATGCTCATGAGTTGCAAAGCAAAATAAAGTGAAGTTACATCTTCCAATTCCACCTCCATCTCTGAAACCATTGTTGGTCCTTTCCGCTGACCTCCTTGCCTCTGTTGACCACCACCACCACCACCGAAGAATCGACTGAAAATGTCGAATGGGTCTCCCCCACCACCACCCTGGGCTTGATGCCGTTTCAGACCCTCCTCCCCGTATTTGTCATAAATTGATCGCTTCTCAGGATCTGAAAGGATTTCATAGGCGTTCCCAACTTCCAGAAACTTTTGTTCTGCGTCTTTGTTTCCTGGATTTTTGTCCGGATGCCACCGTTTACTCAATTTCTATGGAAAAATTGGAAAACATGACTTCGTCAGATCCCCAGGTTTCATGGAGTCAAATTGACAAGATATGGACATACTCGATAAGCTCGCTTGATTTCCTTTTCATTTGCATTTCGATTCACACCGAGGGATTTATAAGGGTCGGTAGCCAAAGAGGATGTAACGAGGATAATGACCAGCAGTAAAACAATGGATTGAAGCGAGGTGGCAGCGAGTATAATGCGCATCGTGATGCTCGCAAGTTACGTGAGATTGAAGATCTTGAATATGTCTTGAGGTTGGAGATATCGTGGAGGGGTGATTGATCGAGGAGTGAGACCACTAATGCCAGAATGTGATGAAGAGGATCGTGGGTGTGGTGATACTTGTATGTAAATACATATGTAGAATTTTGCCACTCCTGATTCCACGTTGTCATCGTTGTACTCGATCACACGGTATCACCCGGCCACGGTCCTTTGAACTTTTGCAGACTCGCAGAGGCTATACCTTTCCTTCGGGTGCAAAGGTGATTTTCAGAACAGCAAATGCTTATTATTCAAGTACCTCAGCATTGGATGTTAGGAACATGTGCACAACATCTTTTGGGAATACACCAGTCCACTCCGACAATTTGCATCATCTGAGCGCCAATAAGTCAATATGAGGATGTGAGCTAACATGAGAAGACATTTTTGATGAAGATGTGTTTTGATAAGAACTTGGAATCTGCAGTTTATTGCTATGTAGTCCTTTTCTTTTTTTCTTGGTAATATGATTCTTGCAGAGCAACTAGTAGTTGACAAGTGTTGCAATTGTATACTTTAGTGCATTCATTGGGTATTTGCTTGGGGTTGAGTCACACTACCTTTGTTGACTCAACCATCAAAGATGATTTCTGAGAATACATCTGAGCTAAAGAGGAATCACTTACCAACTGCATGATAATCTACTGTACAATGTAAGGGTGTGCAAAACAATTGGGTGTTTTTGTCACACACATAAAGTAGTGTGCAAAAATTGTTGGAAAAGACCACAATACAGGCAGGTGTTGTAATAATGTTCAAAGCACTTGTTTGGCTGCATCAGCTAGGTTATACTTGATCTGAGGATATGAGGATGTGTAATAAAATTAATATAATATGAACAACTTTGTCTGTCAGGTAAAGTTGTGTTCATCAGTGAGGAAAGCGGGAGAAGCAAAAAACTACATAAGATGACTTAATCTGTGGAATCTCCATGTCAGGATTTTACAATAGTTGCAAGCACCTCTGCAAGGCACATGGATGTGGTTGCACAGAGTGGGATTTGTTAGGCTAGGATATTCAAGCACTTCTTGCCTTCTTCTCTGAAAACTTCCACACCATTGTGTTCCTTTGATCAGACAACTTGATATCCATTAGTCTCTGTGTTGCACTACAGAGATCATGTGATTGCAATGTCACAATTAATGTTTGTCATTCATGTCTCTATCATTTGTCTTGATTACAAGTAGCAACTGTGTAAATTGCTAGGAACACTGTATGATTAACCTATCAATATAGTGCCACATGGTAACACTCTTCTTCAGTAGCTCAGGTATGTAGACCTTTGCTAACCTCAAATGATAAACAAAAAACCATAAAGATAAAAACATTGTGAGATAGATTGATATAGTTATACCTAAAGGTTGAGGAGGAATTAAGTTAAAAAGTGAGGAAATTATATGTAAGCTTGAAGGCTCTGATAAAAGATCTAAAGAAAGTTCTAACACATTTGTTGATTCATCAGTAATAATCTTATAACAGTAATTTCTAAGAGAAAAACTTACTCTCTTCCCAAAAGATAAGGAAAGAGAGACAACTTTGCAGGACACAAACAGATACATATACTGAGCAATGATTTGGGAAAAACATATTGGGATAGATCTGCGATAACATAAGTGGAAATCATAAATCTTGTCTGAGAACAAACACCATACATATCAGGACTACAGTATTGATTGTATTTCAACAAACTGAACATAACTACAGAGTCAATTGTGCTCTCTACCTCATGCCAAGTCAGATAGCACATGTTTGAGGGGGCCTAATGATGTAGACCCTCTGGCTAGGGTGGTTCTCTGCTACCAAACCTTTGGAATTGACATCCAGGGCCTACAGAAAGCCTTCCTGTTAAGGCACAGATTGGTTCTGAAACTTCAGAATCTATACTACACCTGGTGCAAAGTCATGTTGCAATTATGGGTTGCAACATCTTGGCACTTGCCACATACTCAGTGACTGCACATGACTACAAAAATGTGACAGGATGTTGCAACTTTGAGATGTGACATGACATTGCACCAAGTGTTACCCCTGTCATTGGACATCAGTATGTCACATAGGCTCAACCATCAATCTGTGACATTAGAGGCATATTGGTCAATTTTTTTTCCCCAATTGATACTTGTCATTCTATCTCTCATTGTGCATCTCCTGTTCTCTGTTTAGCTTCTTTTTCATCCAATCTAGGTCTTCCATTGCTTCCCACATTTCCCAAGTGTCTGCTGCTTAGTTGGGAAAGTACCTGCATATATATAATTGGTACACTTATATTCCCACCTTCCAGCTTTAACTATTTTGGCTATAGGTTGCTCATTGTTCCAACTCAAGATAGCACCTCTGACTCTGAAGGAGGGGCCAGATAGCTGATTATCATGGTCTCATGATGGGCTCTATATTCTTCGGTAGATGTTCATGGCTTATGTTTTGATTAGGGACATGTGTTGACTTGGATTGTTCAAGTACATGGGGATGGTATCTGATGAGGCTGCCCCTTAATTTTGGTGAATCTCAACCAAGAGACACAAGATGCGAATATAGTCTAGGATGGACAATAATTAGTGCTGGTGGTGTAGCCACACTGCTGGCAAAGATGCCTCGGATTGTAAAATCTAAGGTATGCTTGGGTATACACTCCCTCGGACTGCATGTCTGAGGAATTGATCCAAGGCTTTCTTTGCCTTTGAAGCTTGCCTTGGATCATTTACTCGAACATCGCATCCAAGGCTATTGCCTTCCAAGGATACCTTGGATTTTCCAATCCGAGGCATCTTTGTTGGCAGTGCCATGGAGGTCATCAGGTTTGGCCATTTTTGTGTTATAGATAGCAATTTTCATGAATTTGTAGTGTTCTGAGAAAAGTATATCTTTGATCAAGACTTATCTTTTATCCTTATTGTCTGATACCAGCTTGACTAACCTGGGCATATCCCAAAACACAGTTAACACAATGGCTAGAGCCAGCTGATTATGTCCACAACACTGCAAACATCAAACAACGTTCCTTCAATTGAGCTTGAGAAAATGATTAGAAATAGGATTGGTGATGAATCATTGGCACACCTGAGCCACAGCACCCACACTACATATGTGTGGTAGCAAGGGGAAATTGGGAGCTATCAGGTACATACAGAGATTCTCAGATATTGGCTCATCTGGATGAGTAAACCATATGTATTACCTGCTGTAATGGTTTTCAGTATTGACAAAAGCATTCCAAAAATTGACTACATACACCTCTGTAGCCACTGAGGCAATGTTGTGGAAGCCATTTGATAGTAACAGAAAGGGTGTTACATGAAGTTTAGTTAATGTAATCACACCAAAGCAATGAGTCAGTGTATGTAGTCAATTTTTGGAATGCTTTTGTTGCATTGAAAAAAAATACAGAAGGTAATACATATGGTTTAATCATCCAGATGATCCAATATCCGAGCATCTCTGTATGTACATGATAGCTCCCAATTTCCCCATGCTACTGCGCATATGTAGCACTGCCAGCATTAAAGAGGTTCCCAGATGGGAATATGGGTCCTAGTGATCACATTCCCATCCTGCTACTGTTACACAGTTCCATGAATATTTCCTGAGTAGCCATTGTGATATATGTAGTCAATATTTTGAGATGTGTGGCTCAATCTGAACAAAGTTACAGCATGTATTACACATGAACTTCTTATCTAGATGAGCAGAAAACTGAGCGGACCTGTATGTAGCTGATAGCTAAGGATTTACTCAGATGTTTGCACATATGTAGTGTATGCTTTATGGCTCAGATGTGCAGTGCAAGATGATTTGATGCACCATTCTTCTCTCAATGATATTCCCAGCCTAGGTCATGTTCCGACCAGGGAACATATTTAATGCTGGCAGTGTAGTGTGGGCGCTGTGACTCAAGTGTTCAGCAATCAATGCTTTATCACCAATTCTACTTCTAATCATTTTCCTGTGCTCAATTGAAGGGAAGTTGTTTAATGTTTGCAGTGTAACTGTTTGTGAAGGCCTTTAGAAATTCTGCCATGTAACACAATCTGGCCAGCCTTTTCTTGGCCTTTGTGTTACTTTTGACCACATTGGCAACACACACATATTTCAAATGTCTTTTTACCATCGTGTTAAGGTTGGTTATGCAAGAGGTTATAAGAACAATACCTGTTATGTATTTGGTGAGTGTCCCAATGTAGACTTTATGGCTTCTAATTTCTTCACTAGGAGTAATATCACCATCATATAACACATCAACAGGTTTGCCTGCCCATAAAATAAAAGGATATAGGCTTCCAGATGATAATGGTAAGATGTATATCTGTTTTAACCCTTGTGCTTCAGCAAACCTTTCTCACTTTGAGACAGCTGACAAGTAGCTTTCTAGGTTCAATTGTCTTTGTCCACTTAGAAGTGCCTGTTGGATGGGGATTGATCTACAAGTTTTGAACAAGGCTTTGTTGCCCAAAGAATGTAATAATATCTCTTTTTTTCATTTTACCAAGTGTTCCTTTTTAGCAACAGAGACAAGTCAGTTGATAAGTTGATTGCCAATTTGCATTGCAGATACCAGGTATCTGTTCCTTTGCAAGATAGGCTGTCTGCCAGGTTGTTCTCTGAGGCAACTCAGTCAATTGATAGGTCGCATGTAACCAGGTTACTTTATGGATTATTTCTAGAGGGTATGATGGCCCAAGGCTCGTAGAAATCAATGTTGGGGTGCTCAGCAATAGAACCAGTGATGCTCAAGTTTGGTCTTTAGACTACACAACTAATCACCTACTCAAGGATCCTCTCTATAGGATTTCAAGTATAATGTGGTTCTGATTTTGTGATGTGTTTAAAGATGTGGGACAAATCAAGGGAAGAAGGAGAAGTTTATATACTCACAAGGGCATGCATCAACTTGTGGTTGTTGTGTGACTCTTGTCTCAATGCTTGGGTTAGGTTTACTATGTATTTAATACATTACGTACATGTTTTTAAGTGGCTCTTGACACTGAGCCTTGAGATGTAACTTATGGCTTTCACCAATGTTATGTTATTACATGTGATGTTGTTAGCCCATGGTCCTGTAATCAGGGCTCAGGGCTCAGCCTGAGCCCCAACCCGGAAAACACGGGTAATGGCCTACCCGCACCCCAAACCAATATTCAATGAGTCCCCCCGTGCCCAAACCCTACCCCGACCCAATCAAAACCCGGCTCTCAAATGCCCCCCGACCCCTATTCTGAAGGCCTAAAACCCGCGGGTAGCCGGGGATCCCTGTGGTCAACATTGGGGGTTGGAGGTCAGGTGGTGGGCGCGGCACGTTTGGCGCGTCAAAGGGTGCGCCGGGTGCGTCATATATTTCTCAAAACAGGGGGTGGCGCGCCCATACGCAAGACTTGGATGGTCTGAAGCGTAGGAGGTCTTCTCGGGCCTAATCTTGGGCTAGAGGAAGCCTATGAAATTGTAATTCTGGTCCGTTTAACTTTCAAGGCGGAGAAATCCCTACAGATGAGCTCATCTGACTCAGGAGACGCTTAAACTAGTTCTGGAACAAAAACTTTCAGTGATTCTTATCTTGAAAGTGTGGTCATACTGACTTGAAACAGCTTTTCTCACATCCCCATTTGTGTTTGAGCTTCATCACAGCCTTGATTGCTGTTTCTGTGAAGATTTTCTCATGTTTTTAATGGTTTTTTGCTTCAAAGGCGCGCCCACACGCCCCCTGCTATTTGGGCGCGTCCCAGACAATGGATTCTGCGCCTGGGCGCGCCCACCACCTGAGTTGGAGGGCTATGCAACCCCCGCCCCCGAACCCTACGGGCACCCCGATGTATTGGGGGCGCAAAAAGCCTGACCAAACCCGCACCCCAAGGGTTCGGGGCTCAGGCTGACTCAGGGCTGACACTACTGATGGCAAAAAGAAAGCCAAACCACACATTATTGGCCTCCAGCTGCCCCCACAGGTTATGAGCCAGGCATCCCAAGCCCGCTCATGACGGAGACCTTTGTGCCTGGGATCACAACATGTGGGGGCAAGTGGAGCTCAACGAAGCGGGAGTCAGCCTGGTTCAGCAGGAATCAAACCCACAACCATAACAAGTGCACCACTTTGGCATGCGTCAGCAACTGCAAACACCACCCGGGCTTGGGATCCGACTACTCGTGTTAAGTTTGATTCATGAGATCCTTCATTAGGACGCTTCTTTATGACTAAACATAAAGACAATCTCTCATCAATTCCGTTATGTATCCAACAAAAATTGGCTCTTGCTGAAGAGTGTCCAGATGGTCAAGATGGGTCAAGATAGCGATCATACATAAGTCAACTCCATACTTTCTTACAGCCAAGCCATGTGTCGAATTTGCCCCAACATAAAGGCTGTTTACTACTCTTTTTGAGGGTAAATCTCATTATTTCTTCCAGGCAAAGAATCAGGCAAAGAAGAAAGGAGGTAATTTTTTAGCTATAACATGAACTTCGGGCGTGTTCACTTAAGGAATTTCTGACCAGAAATCACATTCTGTAAATTTTTTAATGCAAAAATGAAACATGCACCACCAAATAGACACTTTAAATTTTGCAGAATGTGATTTCTCACCAGAAATTGCTTAAGTGAACGGGCCCTTCATGTTTCTCAAATAACGCTTTTGCTGTTGGGTGGTCCGGCCTTGAGCGTCCAGGTTCCGTGGGGCCGGGTGCGGGGCGAGTATCTGCTTCCGTGGGACCATGGTGGCATTTGCTGGGGGCAAATTTTGTAACCAAATTTTTTTTACCCAGAGCGTCGGTCTTAGGAAAGATCTTGAGACCAACCATTCATCAAACAAGATATTCAGTATGAATTCAGACTCCAACCCAGACAAACCACCTACACAAGACGACCTCACCGAGCTCAAGTCGAACACTACCAAACTCATCAATCTCGCCATCACCCATGATATCCTCCGATTCGGTAACTTCACCCTCAAATCTGGTCGTTCCTCGCCTTATTTCTACAACGCAGGCTTATATAATTCAGGATTGCTACTCAATGCTATCGGTCTCTCCTATGCCATGAAGATCATGTCACTCAAATCTGTCCTTCAATTCGATGTTCTGTTTGGTCCTGCCTACAAGGGTATTCCGCTTGCGACGATCACAGCCGTAGAATTAGCTCGACTTGACCCACTTACATATGGATCTGTGGGTGTGGCTTACAACCGAAAAGAAGCCAAAACTCATGGTGAAGGTGGTCAAATAGTCGGAGTTCCCCTCAAGAACAAACGTGTTCTCATCCTGGATGACGTGATCACTGCTGGTACCGCCATACGACAGTCCATCGATCTGATTAAAGAGAATGAGGGTAGCTTTGTGGGCGTTGTGGTTAATTTGGATCGACAAGAAAAGGCACCAGATTCCGAGATGAGCGCTATTCAACTTCTTGAAGCCGAACATGGTGTCGGAGTCTATCCGGTTATCAATCTGACTGACATCATCGAAGCCATGAAGTCTACGGGAGGTCTAGAAGAACACCTTGAGTCAATGGAAGCATACCGAAAAAAGTGGGGGATCGATCAAAATTAATCGTGCGCGGGCTCGGATTCGGTGTACATAATCCTTTTTTGCAAGTTTCTCTTTGCGCTGGGTGATCCTTTAGAATTCAATCACCGCTCTCTGTATACCATGAGCAGTGTAGGGTGTGGGTTTTTGAAACAATTTCATAGAAATCGGATAACACATATAAGCTTGCTCATAAAGGTCCGCAAGCGTCAAGCACGCCAGCAAGCTGCACTTGATGATTTGTTCATACGAGAGAGATTCTTAACTTGAGATATCTTGCTTTGTGTTGAGATATGAATCTGACAATCTTACAAGATTTTGCAGCTTTTTCTGATTCCGCTGAACGGCCACATCGAGTCAGAGTTGCTCAGCCAGAAAAGGGCTTGCATCAGTGAGAAGTTACCCAAGAGGGCCACTTCAATTACCTAACATGGCCGTCATCCTCCTCCTCATCTCTAACTTCTGATCCTCTTTGTGTCAGAGATGATCTTCTTGGCACCCAGTCAGCGCTGGAAATTGCTGGTCTTTTTTATGATTGGAAGTGAGCGGGAGTGTTCTCTTGAGGCAAATAGAGCCAGAAGTGGAGATAACATATCATCATATAACCAGTTCTTGACATTTTTTTGTTCTTGATCTACGAATCCGATGCAAGAGCAAAGGGAAATCGAAGTATGCCGAGCCTTGTGCGAATACAAGGTGAATGCATACCCGGCCCGATCGGGCAGCCCGGAGAGGAACCGAGCTCGACTTTATCCGACATGGCAAGCAGGTCTGAATGGACCGCTCCGTCATTGGACTTCCCTATCAAGTCGCGCACTTTTCCCCTTTCAGCGTCACCTCACCTCATTCACTAACATTGACTTAAGATGACAAGTACTATCGAGGACGCAGAAAAATGGGCAAATGATGGGATCGGAGCTTTATCTATCTCTCTCGGTAACTTCAAAATCTATCTGTTTCGCGAGGCTTTATTAACTGACATTGACCTTATGGATCTTAGTGCGATCGACCGATCAAACCGCTCAACTTGGTAAAACGGAACAAAACTTAGTGGCATGCTTTCATCCTAAATTCGTTTACCCTATCTTTGGTCAAGAAGAGACGATCTATGGATACCAGGATTTGGACATACAGGTAAACTCCTACACTCATTGACGCGTCATGACGCGTGTATATCGACATCACAATTTACGAGAGGAGATCTAACATCATGATTCGATATTGGTAGCTACAATTCGATTCTTCTTCACTCAAGAACTACCTATCAATTCAATACAAAGCCAAACTACCAGAGTCATCACCCGTTAAACCTGATGAAATTGAAGAAACACTTTACAAATTCATTCCACCAGATTATACCAAATCTGAAGAAACATTTAAAAAAGAAATTGAAGAAACTTTTGAAAAGGGTTTTATTCCACCAGGTGAAAAGATTTCATCTTATCGACCTAATCATTCTAAAGGAAAAGGGAAATCAAATCCAACTCAAAAATTAGAACCATGGGTAAAATGTGATTCAGAAGAAGATGAAAATGAAGAAGAAGTGGTTTATGAATTATGGGCTGCAAATTGGAAAACACCTGGCTTTCGAGAGTATCATCGTCGAATGCAAGTCTTTACACTACTTTATATTGAAGGAGGCAGCTATCTTGAAGAAGATGATCATCGATGGGAATTTGTGGTCTTGTAAGTCAAACGTGGTTTCTGAATTTGAAAGCTTTCTAAATCATTCGGTGTAAATTTTGGACACTACTTAGGTATGAACGTCGAAAGCGTAGAACAGCCAATTCTGAACGACGTTACGATTATCATTTTTGTGGATACGTCACACTCTACTCATTTTACCACTACCCATCTTCAATACGATTGCGACTCTCTCAATTCATCATCTTACCACCTTATCAGTCTTGTGGTCATGGTTGTTAGTAAACAAATGCAAAAAAATTCTTCCTCATGAATGAGTCATACTGATGGTTGAAAAATGCGATAGCAATGTTATATTCTCAGATATTTCAATACCTATTAAAACGAACTGAAGTGGCCGAATTAACCATCGAAGATCCTTCCGAGGCATTTGAAGATATGAGAGATAAAGAAGACTTGAAGTTATTGATGAAACATAATGTCTTTGACTTGGAACTTTCGAAATTGATTCCAGTTGACCGAGAATGGTATTTGGCCACTAAGGAAAAGTGGAAATTGGCGGACGTGAGCTATTCCTCTCAGTTTATTCACAAAACATTTTTCATTGACTCATGAACTAAATTTTACGTATGATCCGCCAGCGTCAATTTTCAAGATTACTTGAAATTGCCTTGAAGATAAGACTAAGTCTCGAAGAAACTGATCCCAAGGTCGAACGAGCCTACCGAATTGCAGTTAAAGAAAGATTATATCGGTAAGTCTTTCTGATATTCAGCAAGCTCTATATTTCCAAACGTGTTCCTGAAATCTTGCTTATATGGGTTAAAAAACAGCTTTAATTACGATAGTCTTGTAAATATTCCCAAAGAGGAACGTCGAGAACGTTTACAGCAAACTTTTGAGGGAGTTATGGAAGATTATGATCGGATCATCTCAGGAGAAAGAAGGGTAATTGATTGATCGAGTTTTATTCAAAACGTCGATTGATTCGTTGATTTGATTTGGATCGCAATCATGAACTTAAAAATTGATTTGAAAAGTTTGTTGAAAATGCTTGGAGATTGGCATGATTGTATATATATAGAATTTACATGTCATGCATGGAAAGATTGTTATTGGAACTTTACATTAGTCTTTGTTTTCTTCAGTGGCAATTGCGTGGCTATGGTGATATTCACTATGCAATTTGTGAGCCTGTAGAGGTATTAGCACAAATATGATCTCACATATGATCTCACAGTGTTGAATCAAATCAAGCAACTCAGTGTCCTCATGAGGCTCTGGGCACGAGGTGATGAAATGGACCAATGGCTTATGAAGTGTGTAAACAGCGACATTCTTCCAGAAAATTGTGAGACTATATCAAAGAACTCGAGCGTTGACCTGTAGCAAGGTAAGGTTGACTTTGCTAGCGGGGCGTGGGGGCTTTGCGAAGTAAACACTTGCGTCAAAAAATGTTACAAGAAAATCCACAGAACGATGTGAATTTCAAGGTACTGAAAACTGATACAACCAGATCAAGCGAAATTATAGTCAGGTGAGGTCTACTACTCTGAACAAATCATCAAAAGGACCACAAACGATAAAACCAAAAAAAGATAAGATGAGAATGATAAAAGAAAATTGATTCTAATACACACAACCAGGTTATATGAGAAGATGAGAATGATAAGTGAGAAAACCACCAGCGGAGGTATATATATAAAATGATAAGTGTAATGGCGAACATCAAGCCAAAAAAACTTTCACCGCAAGGGAGAAGTATGTTACAATTGTGTTATTGTGCTAATAAGCTTCGGTCAACGGATATGTATAAGACGAAAAGGAAGAAGTAAAGTAAGTTGGTTTTATGGGTTGTGGAACCTATGATTGAACAAAGCCCCATTGGATGGGTAATACACCAGTAGCTTGAGATCCGAGGGCATCGTATGCACCGGTAGAAAGCTATGGTCATGAAGAAATAGTCAGGACGGTGTTGTTGACGGATAGAAGTGTGCGAAGTGACTTACATCGAGAGATGTGGAAGATGGACACCCAGGACACATGTCTTGGACTTTGGCAATGACGGTTTTACCATTGGCGGTGTTTTTGATCATGACTTGTTTGCCACAATGTTTTCCTTCCGCATACATGTCTGTAGGTAAAGCAACCAGCGGAGTGTTGTCGGAGTTGACATTTCCACAAGCACCAGCTGCTCCTTCCTAGAAGTCGTGAAAATACATGTTAACTTTCTATGGATCACATGGATAGACGAGAGAGGAGAAAAATAGACATACCTGGTAAAAGTATGTACCCTTTGCGTCACCATCTGAACCGAAGACTTGTGAAACACCTGATAAGCTACCGGCTGAACTGGCATCGTGCTGGGTAGAGGCTGAGTCATCTGAAGATTTTTTTGTGGAAGCGTCGTCAGATTTTTGCTTTGAGGCAGTAGCGGCATCGTCGGCAGCTTTCTTGGCGGCGGCATCGCTAGCGGCTTTTTGGGCGGCAGCGGCAGCGGCAGCTTGCTGAGAGGCGGCATCGTCAGCGAGTTTCTTGGCAGCAGCCTCAGCAGCGGCTTTCTGAGCGGCGGCATCGTCAGATACTTGTTTGGCGACTGCGTCGGTGGCCTTCTCAGTCTGAGAAGTCAAGTTGGAAATGGGTACATTGGTGGCATCTTTGAGGAGAGCCTTCGAAACTGTAGGTGCTGTTGCCATCTTCGAAGAACTGTTGTCGCTGGGAGACATGTCTTGGGAAGAGCTGTTTTCACTGGACGACATATCTTGAGTCGAATGGTCTGTAACGACAGGGGCTGCCAGTGCTGATGAGGTGCCGTTTCCTTGGCTCTTGTATTGCTCGTTGAGAATTTGAACTTTCTTTTGGGCTTGTAAGAGATCCTTGAGCTGGTCAGGCGTGGGAGGCTCAGAAGCAGAGCGGTTCTGAGAAAAGCATCAAGCACGAGAATGTGCAAAATTAGCTATGAACGTGAGGGCACTTTGAAGACAGAAACATACCTCAGTGGGCTTCATAGGCTCTACGGTACCGTTGGTGACATATACTGGTGTTCCGACGCCAGAGCTGATTTCACCTCGGTAGTTGGTGGACTTCAAGATATAGTTGTGGGCAGCGAGCATGCTAAAGAAAGCGTGTACAGAGAAGTGTGAATAAATATGATAAATGAGCCGTGAATGTAGAGATGAAAGAAAAATACCTCTGTGGAGATAGGTGACATTGGACTGGGATCTTGGAGAGATCATCAGATTTCATGCGGGGGTGACAGCATGCTTCAAAAAATTTGTCATCGATGGTCTTCTTTTGATGACACCCAATCGATAAAAATCGGAAATGGTATTGGTCATAATCCTCCAAAGAGTCGGTTGACCAGTCTTGAGGTGGAGCATGTGCCACGAATGTGAAACGCCGGTGCAATTTGACCGATGTGCTGCATAGATAGAGGAGTCAGATACTTGCTGCTGCTTGAGTGATAAAAAATGATAAGACTAACGGTAAGGTTCGGGCCTCAGAAGGCAAGGTGAGGGCGGCGATCCAGATGAAAGGAACCAATGTTAAGATTGACATGACCATGATGAAATGGAGATGTGAATGCGAGAACTGTCTTTTGAATATAAAATTGGACTGGTGTGCAATGAAGCGATGAAAAAGCAAAGGCTAATGATCCACTCGAAAAGAGGGGGACGCTTGAAGTAAGTTGAAGGTACAAAGGATGGTAAACGGGTAAAGAATGGTAAGGCTTTCGAAAAGTGAGTGGCTCGGACTCTTGCAAAAAGAATATAAGCGCTAGAACTATTTGGATATGTTGAAGAATGTGTAAAGACGGTGTTGGTTGAAGCGCAAAGACCAAGAAAGCAAGGTTGGATTTTATAAGAACAAAGTGATAGAGGCACGGTAAGGAACTAAGAAGCCAAGAGAATGATAATTGAGAAGCAGTCCAGTTGATAACTTCACTAATGATAAAATACTCTTAATTATTCATGAGGGGTAATTGGGGTAAATGAAGTTAAATGCGCTTGGTCAGTTGAAACCATACAAAGTACTACATCATAACTCTCCTGATTTAGTCAGATGTTGGGCGAAGTAGATATTCATACTACTGGTAAATCATTTTCTTCGGCGAGTTGAAAATGTCACCTGTGAGGAGACCTGACTGCAATAATATACATAGCTTATTAGTTTAGACCGTTGGTCTTGCTAATAGTTGATGATTAAAGCATATATCTTGCTAATCCGGTTCCTTTCATACCACAAAGCTATCGAGTCATCGATCACAAGTGTTCAAATATGTGGCAAGGCAAACGTTGGATGACACACAGGTGAGCTAGCCCTGAGGAGGTTTGAAAAGTTACACTCATCATTCAGATCGGTCTGCCAGTTCTCCGAATTAGATTGGTTCAAAGATGGTCAAGACTTAAGAAATTGAGAAGAGTGTGAGCAACTCAGCCCCGCTTCCAACAGGCATCAGGCATGCAAGAAGCCCCGGTAAATGTCTGAAGGGCTCGCATGATCTGCTCACACTAGCCGATGACCTTGATCTTTTCATCAAGGTGGACTCGCCGATCTGAAATTCGCGCAGCAAAGGGGACGTCTAGATTAACACAAGCGCCACCAAACCGCGGTCGGTCTCGGCGGGGGGACTTGGTTAAGTGAGAGAGAATGTGGACTCTGGAGTCGACCGATGAAGTTCCGTAATTGCCATGGAAGTGCAAAGAGGACCGTCGGATCAGAGCTACATTGGTCAGCTCAGGTTCAGAGACAAGATCGTAATCACAAACAACAGATCGGGATATGGATCTTGAGATGATGATCCATACATGTCTCGTCATCAGATCCTCAACATCAGTCTGAGGAAAGCCTTTGATGTAATTGAGTACAAAGACCAAGTCAGGCGTGCGTGTGCAAAGTTTGGGGGATGGCACGTCGAGTATTGGCAAGGCCTTGAACCACAACTACTTGACCATGCTTTTGTTCGCAATGCTCGTCTGGGCTTCTTTGAAAAGTGTCTCCAGTGAAAATGAACATGACGGTACGAGCTGTAGAATCCTGACGCAGGCGTAAGCTGTGTCGATTGAACTTGTCTTCTTCTTACTCGATCAGAAAGCTCGTGCCCCTCAAGGACATCATGAGCCAGGTAGACATAGGGATCAATATCTGAATTTCTCCGACCATAGCTTCAAGATATGACTAGGGCTATGGAGAACGAGCCGGCGGAGCCTGAATCCAATTGTATTCCGTCCAAAGCGGTTGCACATAAAAAGCCTTCGACACTTCGATTTTGAATGAGCTACCCATTGCAAACCTTGACCAAAAACTTGTGAGTGACGAGGAAGTGGAGTAAGGATTTATTGTGATACAAAATCTTCATGGTGTATGTATTTTGTAAAATCTTCTTGCTCCAATGGGACATTAAATTCATCATCTATTTTTTCATGTTGATCGGTCTCACTCAGGTAGATGTATTAAGCCCTTCCTCGTCGAGTGACCAGCCCAAAAAATTAAGCTTGTGTAAGTTGATGGATCAGTGCAAGTGCTCAGCAAGAGAAAGATTTCCTTTCGAGTTGCTTGGGTAATTTCTCATGAGTCAAGGATGTGTATTGCTCGGAGGCGTATGCAAAAAAGAAATATAGCATAGTATGTCAAAGTTTTTCTGCTCCGAGGGCGGGCTGCAGACACACTATCCCGGATTGAAGGGTAATGTCTCTAACATAGATTGTGCTTGCGGTACGGTCAAAGTGAAAAGATCAACATAAGACCAAATCTAACAAGGGGCTACCACCAATTTATTCCTAATCCGATTTAACACTTGAATCTACACCCAGGTCAGTCCTACAATCTAGTTAGTCAACAAACTGATTGAAGATTACACCATGTGAGCGAGGAAAATTGGGGCTAGAATAAAATTAAGTTCGTCAGTCAGACCGGCTTACTTCTCATTCAAGTTCTTCAACCTCGAGGTAGCTTTCGATTCGCGTCCGTCATTATTCCCTTCCAAAATAGATAGAGATTTTTCCACTAACACACGGCTTGTTGCCAAACTTTGGATCCCTATAACATGAGAATATTGCACATTGTAGCGCAAATCAGTTTGCTCTCAAGACGCTGGTCGATTCATAAGAAATTATAACCTTCAAGTGGCTTGACATCTATTTTCTCTTCTTGTTTCTCGCCTTCAATATTTATACTTTCAAATCACCATATATTCACCTTTTCATCCACTTCAGTACCCACGCTCCTTTACACACATCAGACGAACCTCGAATCAAATCTCTTCATTGTTTGGATAAAATGACAACGTGCGCTTCCTTGACTCTTTCTCGATACTTCTCACGCAGTCTTCAAAAGATCCTGACATTGCTTCCTACCTTTATGGCCACCGAAATCTATGATTGATAGGCGCACAAATCACATAGTCCCAGTGAGTTCTGTGACCATCAGTTCTATAACTGCTACGGCTACAGACATTGCTTCGATATCACCCACAATCTCTTCAGACAGCATAATCCCTTCCAACCGTCCGCAGCCTTTTGGCTCTTCAATTTCTGGTGATTTCGGAACAAAAACAACTTTGGGCCTACCGGTGAACAGTATACAGCTTGTCTTTGGACCCACCACTCCCACTGCGACCGCCACACCTACCGAAGATCCTACCTCTGAATCCCACTTTGGACCAGTGGCAATTGCATTGGTTGCTTTGGGAGTGCTGTTAGGCCTTATAGGACTGTTAGCCATAGTCTTAGTGTTGAAAGTCGGAAAAGGTCGCCGTCGAGACGCACTTGACTTTGGAAATGGATCATCAAACAAACCACCTTTCTTGGACCCAGCATCATTGTGTGAAACTCCTGATGAGTTGCAGGCTAAAAAACATCACCTTCGACCATCCACATCACGCCGTGGCTCTTACTTCTCCAACTCCCATAGAGTTTCCTCGGTCATCTCAAGCCCAGCCCAATCGTTTGATATCATGCGAGTTTCGGCTCGCTACGTTCTCGAACCACGCAGGTCAACCCGGATCACTTTAACCAAAGATGGTCATTCATTCGAACCCCCATATCGACTTTCAAGTGATACTTGCATGGTTTTGGATCCATTAATGATGCAGAATCTGCGTGATCCACCAACCCCCTCTAAGCATCTATCTTTCACGTCAAATGAACATCCCCTACCTGACATAACGGCACATAACTCACCAGTAAGGCATTCTAACCTACCATTACCTCGGCCTAAGCCAGCCATCTTGAAAAATACGAGTAGAGATAGTCATCATTCGATGCCCGACATGTCCCTTGCTTCTGGACAAACAGTCTTCGGAATATCTCAAGACCTTCCAAGTCCATCTTCTGAACGTTCCCGAGATACTAGGGCCCAATCAAAAGGTGTGTTGATACCCTCAGACTTTTCCACCCATTACGATTCTGTAGTCAAGCCAGTCAAAGAAAAAAACAGTACTTGCTAAAAAATCTGACATTTGATCTTATCATCAGATGCTTTATAAAACCCCCCACCATGTCAACATCATCCTCGCCCTCGTATTCCTGAGGCGTTTCACCCAGATACAATATTTGCATATAATATACTCTTCAACCTTATGGACATGTCATCTATCAAGCAACTATGCTACTTCCATCATGTATAACCATTAAACCAGAGCGGGTCGTTAAAGTTTTCATTATCCCCCTCCTGTAGATTTTGCCTTTGTTGTAGCATCTAATACTTGAAAGCATTTGAAATGCTGATAGTGGAAATTCATCACAAACAAGTTTGAACGTATAAGTATAAATTACTATCCTCGCCTTATTTGAGAATTGATGCAATACACATCCATGAAGTTATACCCTCAGACTGGCAGGTTTCATCATCCCACTCTGTAACGTCAATCTCAAAGCAACAGTAGACCTCCAAATAATTTTTATAAGTGTTCCAGTCTTATTCAAAAGGAGTGATGTTCAACGGAAGATATCCGCTCCGAACGCTCCAGATCCACGAGCTTTTCTATACAAAATATTTCGAAAACATATCACCACACCAATGTCTCTCATTAACTTTCTTGGCCCTTGAGCCTCTTTGAACATTAGAACCCAATGACACTACAAAGTCGCACATTCCCTTCACCATGCACATTTTGGCCACATTGTGGAAGATGAATAGAATCCACTCATCAGATTCTTCTCAATGCTCAATAGGGCCCAGCTCTGTCCTGTGGACAGCACGTCGAGATCCTTTTGCGGGGGCAACTTGTAGATCATCTGCAAAGGGAAAACCTAACATGTGAATGTGGCTCACAGGTAGACTTCGGAGTTCCCACAAGATATCCCCATTTTCTTCTTCTTCACAAGTACTATCCAAGTTGAAGAAAACTCATTTCACTGCACACGTGACCTATGATCAATTACTGAAAGTTATTATCTGCCATCAAGAGGTATCGTGTGCAAGGCATCAACCATGCATGTTTTCCGCGAGTTCAGGCGTAATGCCAAATGTTTACCGTTTGAAACATGATCATGCATCATACCTCCAGGGTTCAAACCCTTTCCAGGAAGAGCTTGATTGCATTATTGTCACAGTGACATCTGGGCACGACGATAAGACTAGGAAGTTAAGTACAAATAATGCCAATCACGATCGGCATGATGGCCACCTCTACCTGTGTCTGTTGGAGCCGTGTCCTTAGGCTCATAAGCAGGCTGTCATCAAAGCTTCTGGTAGAGCGCAGTCTTCATCCGGAACAAGAAATTATAGTTGCCAAATTGACGTCTGACTCTGGGTACTGATAATCATCTCTTTCAAAATTGCTCAGAATCAGATCATTCCACCAAAACGGAAGTCCGTTCCCCACTTTGAATGTCTTTGACATGAAAATTATGTTCATCTAGAGCGCAACTCGGTTTACTGCTAAGAACCTGGTCGCTTCATAAGAAATCAGTACCTTCAAGCGGCTTGACTCTATCATCCTTGGTTTTTTCTCGCTTTCGAAGCTCTATACGGATATCCATTTTCAACCCGCCATATACAATCATTGTCCACTTCACCAGATATCGCACTCGTGCTCCTTTAACATCAGACATAGCTCCAATCAAATTTGGCTCATTTTTCGGGATACAATGACAACGTGCGTTATCCTGCATCTGTCTCGATACGCCTCGTCCAGACTTTGACATGTAAAATTTTCTGACACCGCTTTCCATCTCTTAGTTATCTTACTTCTTCGACCAGCAGACACGCAAAACAAACAGTCTCAGTGAGCTCTGCGAGCGTTAGTTCTGTGACTCCTACGGCTACACACATTGCTTCGACGTCACCCACAACATCTTCACACCCTACGATTCCTTCCAACCGCCCGACTTCCTATAGCATTCCAGTTTCTGGTTCTCTTGGAACAAAAACAAGCTTGGGTCTACCGGTGAACAGTATACAGATTGTTTTTGGACCCGCCACTCCCACTGCGACTGCCAAATCTACCAAAGATCTCACCTCCGCATCCCACTTTGGACCAGTAGCGATAACATTCCTTGTTTTGGGGGTGTTGTTGGCCCTTATAGGACTGTCGGTCATAGTCTTATTGTTGAGGATCCAAAAAAGTCGCCGTCGGGACGCACACGACTTTTCAGATGTATCATCAAACAATCCAGCATCGGAACCAGCATCGTTATATGAAGCATCGGAACCAGCATCGTTATACGAAAACCCTAATGAGTTACAAGTGGACAGAACTTCCTTTCGCGCATCAACACCACGCCAAGTTTTCTATCTTGCAGACTGTAATAGAGCTTCCTCATTCATTTCAAGCCCAGCTCAATCCTTCGATATCACGCGACTTTCGACTCGCTACGTACACAAATCAGCGAGATCAAGTGCGATGACTTTAAGAGTAGATGGCCCTGTATATGAACCTTCGTATCGACTTTCAAGTGATACCTGTATGGTCATGGATCCCTTGATGATGAAAAAAACCATTCCTCCACAAAACGCCTCCAATCACTCATCCTTCATGTCAGATAATTCCCTTTATGGCACACTAGCACATCGCTCAGCAGCAAGGGTTTCTATCCCACCATTACCTCAGGCTCGGCCTAAGCTATCCATGATAAAGCACTTAAACCAGGGAATTCGTCGTTCTATATCCAACATGTCACATGCTTCTACACGAAAAGTTTCTGGAATAGCTCAAGATATTCCAGCTCTTCCCGCTGAAGTTTTCCAAGATAGGCCATGATACAAAGGTATGTTGATATCCCCTGACTTTTTTATGGATCAAAAATTTCCAGTCAATTTTTGGAACTTGACAAAACTCCCACTGTTACCCCAAAGGCTGAAGTCTGGTGGCTTTATTATCAGATGCTCTACACTCACGTGACTCTACACAGATCTCGCATCATCTCATCGACTTACAAGGACTCTTGAGGTGGTACATCCATTTACAATTTTAATTGCTATGGATATGTCATTCACCACATACATAACTAGGCAACTGTTATCAATTCTAATTATATACCCAGCCTCAGGCCAGGTTATCAAGCTTTTTGATCATGCCCCCCCCGTATATTTCATCTTTCATGTAGCATTGGATTTTTGAAACATTTGAAATGTTCCTTATCTAATTTGTAGTGGGATTCCATCATACTAAACACCCTTTGACAACATACATGGATATCACTAATCTCACCTTATCTGAGAGATCATACAATACTTACAGATGAAGCAATGTAGCAAGATTGACTGAGCCATATAGGTTTAAGTAGCATACTCAGTAATATAACAACAAGAGTGAAGTTGCCAATGAAAGCTACCTCGTGTTACAACAAATCATCTTCAATACAAGGTTGTAAAAGCTTCAGATACCAAGTCAGAAGCATTCCTTCAGTATATACAATTTAGTCTTAATGCACAAAGAGTCTACTAATGAGGTTCTTATCAGTGATGAAGCGTCCTTAACCCCTTCCCAGGCGCAAATTGTCAGGAATATTATTTTTCAAAAGCTGCTTCTAGATTATATACACCTAGGAAGCATGTGGTATATGATAGAAGTGATGAGCAGTTATACTTGTGAGATTTCAACAGATACCTTCTTGTGTTTATTTCACAAGTGTTGAAAGGCTTGAGCGAATCCCAATCTATCATAGCACATGTATCCACTTGTGAGACACCACCAATGGCTAAAGGCAAAGGTTCTCTTGGCATCAGCGGTGATGTAACTTTGAGAAGGTAGCAATCATGCTTGGAGCCATGAGTTTGTGTACAAGGGAGATCTGACCTGACAAATCAGGTCCAGGAAATTACCTTTGGGCACGAAATCACCGACATGATGCTTCGTTCTCTACAGTGTCCAATCCATTTCCAGGGAAAATTCAAGTACATTAATATCACATGTGCATCTGGGCACGATGATAAGACTACAGAGTTCATGTATACAAATCCTCCCAATCATGATCGGCATCCTGGCCACCTTTACTTGTGTCGGTTGGGGCCGTGTTCTTAGTAGCGCCTTCTACGACTGTTGGTAATGAAGATAGGTTGTTGGTGGCGAGCTCCTGCAGAACGGTGGGGGCTGTCTCTTTCTCATAATCTTTCATTAAAGCTTCATCTTCAGCAGCTTCTCCATCCGGATCAGGCACAAAAAGTGGTGTCTCGTTGGTTGCCGGTAAAGTGGGCTCCTCTACACCAGTTGGCAATGGTGGCAAGTTGTTGGCGGAGGGCTCCGGCGGAGCCGCAGGAGCTGACGATCTGAGTGTGTCTTCCTCCTGTTGTCTCATTATAGCTTCTTCTTCAGCAAACTCTTCATCTGGATCGGGCACAAACAGCGGTTGAGGGATTGGATTAGTGACTGATAAAGTGGCTTGTTCTACACCAGTTGACGATGTCGACAAGTTGTTGGTAGAGGGATCCCGGGGAAAAGTAGGAGCTGTTGTCCTGCGCTCAGCTTCGTCCTGTTCTCTCATCAGAGCTTCTTCTTCGGCAAACTCGTCCTCCGGATCAGGCACAAAAAGTGGTCGAGAAACTGAAGCCTGGTTGGTTACTGGTGCAGAGGCTGGAACGTCCATCTCTTGAAGCAGTCTATCAAAATCTTCATCTTGGTCCATGTCAAAGTCGTCTGTTCCGTCTTCAGGTCGCCTGAATAGAGGCCGAGTTGCTGATTGATTAGGAGAAGCAGGTTGCTGAGTCGGTTCCACCCTTTCAACAGCTGAATCCTTGTCCACTTGCACTTCGTTGGATGTCGTTTTTCGCTTTTTTGAGCTTTGAAAAGCTTCTCCCCGCCATTCATTCAGAGCTGACTAGAAAGGACAAGTCACAAGATCAGGGGATCCTGATTGATTGCAGTGAGACATACACAAGACTGATAGGAAGATATTTATATACCTGCAATGGGCGCTTATGACACAGCTTTTCAATCGTATCGATTGCGTCTCGGAATTTCGCTTTGGGATAAAGTAAATGTGCCCACATTCTGTACATCTTGAGAACCCGGCCAAGATCTTCTTTCTAGCCATTGATAAAAGAGTTGTAAGGAAAGTCGTCGAACACAGCATCAGAGAACATCATCCATTTGGGCTCCATTCCAAGGGTATTCTTCGCAAGTGGATCGAGCATTCAAGCTTACTTCAGATCCCTTAGGGCCAGCTTTGAAAGCTTTGGCAAGGGGAATCAGTTTTTGAAACCCGTCGGGATGATTCAATAAACGATCTTCGTCAAGTTTGACAGTCGGACGTCGAATCCTAGTAGATTTTGTACCATCTCCATCTCCGCCTGCCAGAGGATCATCTCCACTTGGAGCTGCAAAGGGATTGACGCGTTGAATCGATTTTTGAGCCAGAGAAGCAGCCATTGCCTCATGATCTATCTATCCAAATGTAAAGTCGTTTCAGTATCATGTTATTTGCAAGTTCCTTTGGAAGTATATGAGAGTGACCGACTGGTGCAGGTAAAGCAAATTCATCGGCATCATCAAGATTTTCGAAAAGAGCGTCAATGTTATCATCTTCGTCATCAAGGCCATCTCCCAAAAATCGAGGTGCGTCCCGTCTCGATGAACCTTCCTCCTGACCCTCGATTTGAATATCTGATGACATTGTATATTTGATCGTTCAAAGGTTTGATGAATCTTGATGCGCTGGTGAAGTTTGATGATTCACTTCGAAGTTCGCAGGCAGAGCCTAGCAAGAGCGCGTATGGTATGGCCACCAGCCCGGCCAAACGCGGGTCATATGTTGAAAAATAACCCCGTCTCTTTGTGTCGGGGTGTGGCCGACAGCGACGGCTGAGGACCGATGGTGAGTCTCGACTCTCAGCTCCGGGCACAAATCTCCTTCATCAAGCTTCGTCACTTTCGTATGTGGTTTCAGTTGATTCCATCGATCAGTTAAGCAAATTATCCACACTCGCAAAATGGCTACAACCAAACTCGACTTTATTCTCGACACACTTCAGGACATCAGCTCAGTATCATTCGGCTCCTTCATGGTAGTACATCTTACCGCTCCAATATCAGCCTTTATTTCAGCCGGCGAACCAACTGCATCCAGTATTCAACTTCTAGGCCGAGTCTGGTATCAAGATTCAAAAACTCGTGAAATTCTTATTGTTTGGGGAAGTCTTGGCGTTCATATAATTGTTGGGATAGTCAAAAGGATCACACGGGTTGGTCGTCTAAGACAATTACGTGGTGACCTCGAACGTTCGGCCAAAGAATCAGAGCAAGTCACTGAAGGAACCCTCAGCCCAAGCGAGCGACGTACACTTTCCAAACGTAGTCTTTACCTACGTCTACGAGAATATATGCCACGAACTTGGCATGCTCTGACAGCATACATAACTTTACCTTTACTGGCCGATCACATTCTTAGCCATCGTCTACGCCCTGCTACACCAGTCTCTTACCTCTTCGTATCTTATCATCTACAAATGAAACCTATCTTATCAAGCCTTAAGTACAGCCTCTTGGTCTCTTTTGCCACATTCCATACCCTTGTCGGATTCAATCAGTTATGGAGCAAGTATCGTCCAGGTCATTCTAAAAAACGACGTTCCATCCAGGCCTCAGAAAGATCTTGGACTACGGGTCTCGGTTGGTTAGGTGTTGTTAGTGCAGTTGGATTAGGAGTGAGAAGTGTCTCTCGAGAGCCAGTGCCTAGTTGGTTAGCAAGACGTTATGCCGCCATCCTGGGCTGAATTGCGATACTCTGTCATGTCAGGACCAAGTTTGTGATCGTTGGATGCGAATGATAATCATGCTTGAGTTTGTCTGATATATTAAGCGCCATCTTGTGTTCTCCTTGTAGGTCATCCATTTCTTACTCTTGCTCATACTGAATTATTTTCGAGTAAGTTGACATATCGAAGATGCATCTTTGGGCTGTGAATTTCTAAGGTTCATTTTCCGCCCGATCTTCTGATCATCTTTATGATCACTTTGTAAAAAATTCGCTGTTTTTGTTTTTGTTTTCAAAGGTATAGACGAGGGTGTCTAAAGCATCAATTTAAGAACGTGGAAACAGATTTGTACTCCCAGTCTTACGAGTGAATGAGCAAGATTGCATGGTTTCTTAGCTGTATTTCCTCCAAGATTATTATCACTCAAAGCATTATAGCACTCTCAAAAACAAAGACTCATCGTGTGAAGCAAAAGGCCTTTCGACACTTGTGAACCAGTGAAGAGTTAAAGTCACAGGAATGTGAATGCTTTACTTGGCCATAAGGTATCCGGCCCATTATTTTTAGTGATTGGCCACTTTTTTGCAGTTTCCTCATATTTATATCTGCTATCTTGGATATAGATCCAGAAATCCAAGCGCATAAAAATAGTTTAGAAGCACGGAGGATTCCACTCAATCATGCCTGCAGGTAGCTACCCCATAGGCTAAGAAGGGCTCTGAAAGATAGACTGGCACAGGTACCATTTGCTACTGGATACAAGATTTGGTAAGCAAAAGGAAATCTCTGGCATTGTTGTGGGAAATGAGTTTTGGAAAATAAATTCCTCAGTATAAAGCAAATTCTCTGATGTTGAGTGATGTGGCACCTGCAAAAAATGATAACATCACAAGAGCACCAGATTAATGAAACAAAAATGTTATACAGCTATTTCGAAAATAAAAGTGGTTGTTGTGTTTTCTTTTTTTTTTTTCATATCCGCGGGTAATTTATTTTACCCAATTGGGCTATCAATCCGGATTGGGAGCAGTATAGCCTGCTCCAGCCTCCAGGGCTTCGTGTTCCAAATCCAAATTCTACTCGCAAGCACTTCCTCCAAGCCCCCACCGCACCACATCTCACAAAATATGCCAGTTGGACGAAAACAAGAATGCCACGATACAGTGCCGACATCAAAGTGCAGGCTATCACTCTAATGTCCGAAGGTATGAGTCGACCAGCAGTCAAACGTCATTTGCGATCTTCAGTACACGTGGACACCCTCACCAAATGGAAACATCTATACGAATCTACTCTAGCTGTAGTTCGCAGCGCATCAGATTACGAGAAACGTGGACGTCCCCTCACATTCACAGATGAAGAACGTGAATTCATGGCCGACTTGATCTCCGCTGACCCAACACTTTATCTTGATGAAGTCCAAGAATTAGTGTACAACGAAACCGGCCTGCATACGAACCTGTCAACTATTTCCGATGATCTTATTGATCGTCTCAACTTGACTCGGAAGAAGGTTCAAACCGTCCATCCAGCTCAATGTCCGGTCAAGAGGGCAGCTTACATTAACTCGATTGCCAATCTAGATGCTGATATGCTTGTATTTGCAGGCGAGTTTGTTGATTTTCACCTCTCTCATTCACCTCTTTTTCACTAACGTGGTCTTACATATTAGACAAAAGCGCTGTTGCTGCACGAGAGGTATATAGGCAATATGGACGAGCAATCCGAGGATATCGTACTACACCCCAAAAACAAACTCGTGCGGGAATCCGGTACTCTCTTTTGCCAGCTGTCTGTTTGGATGGACTGTTAGCTGTCTCGTGTCAGGAGGGTAGTTACCTTCGTGATGATTTTGAAGACTTTCTTGAATTCAATCTGGTACGTCTATTTGAACATTTTTGAGTCATCATTTCAAAGATTTTGGAGTTATCATCACTTGCTGACTGGCATCTGTCTCAGTTGCCAAAAATGAATCCATATCCATCTTCAAATTCGGTTCTGATCATCGATAATGCCCGTATTCATCACGGAGGGAGAATCGAGGAGCTGTGTGAAGAGCGTGGGATCCGCTTGATCTACCTTCCACCTTACTCGCCTGATTTTAATCCTATCGAGAAAGCGTTCAGTGCTTTGAAGGCTTATTTTCGTCGCACTCAATTTTTACAAGGTTTGATGCCAGAAGAAATGATCGAGGCTATTGAAGAAGCTGTTCGATTCATATTTACTCGGGAGCTAATGGTTCCTCTCTACAACTCTTCTTGGCTTTTATGAAAGTCTGTGTTCATTTGATTGATCGGTCCGACTCAAATCTTTGAAACATTCAAAAGAGGTCACACATTATTTGATCTTATCATCAGCTTCACCCACTACATCGATAAAATCTAAAACTAAGTCAAACAATGCTTTTCCATCTTTCTCTCAAGTCTATCAACTCGAGAACCACTCTTTTCATGTCTTCTTCCAAATCAAAATCAAGTCTTTCAAAATGTAGTGATTTTAAATCGACCGGTCAACTTTCATCTTTCTCTCAAGTCTATCAACTCGAGAACCACTCTTTTCATGTCTTCTTCCAAATCAAAATCAAGTCTTTCAAAATGTACTGAATTTAAATCGATCGGTCAACTTTCATCTTTCTCTCAAGTCAATCAACTTGATCAACCACTCTTTTCATGTCTTCTTCAGAATCAAAATCAAGTCTTTCAAATGTACTGAATTTAACGTAAATTTAATCGATTGGTCAACTTTTCTTATAATCGATTGGTCAACTTTTCTTATAATCGATTGGTCAACTTTTCTTATTTGATTGTTTCCTTGAATCTTTGCAATTCTGTATGACTTTGGTAGAAATCTGTACTCAATTCATCAATTGGCCCGAGTCAATTTTTCTGATTGTGTTTCTTTCCTTGATTTTTCTACTTCTTCATCCACTATAAAGTATGTAATGAAGAAAAGTTTACTTCGGTTTACTCATGATGAAAGCCAAACAATAATAAACAACTTTTTTATTTGTTTTTCTAAGATTTCTAGATGAATTTCTAAATGGAAACTATCAGTCGATACTATTGACAATGAAATCAAGACAAACTATTGACATTGAAATTGAGAAGTAAACAAAAACTGAAATGAGACAAATGGAAAACTGAGACAAAAAGTTCATTCATTGAGATCACATGGATACAGACAACTGGAGACCGAGACAAAGAGTTACTAATAGGGATGAAAAAGCAGAGACAAAATACTCATCTATTGAGGTCAGATTGATACAACAAACTGAAGACCGATCAGAGAGACCAAGTAGAGTCGCTATTGATACTTGTACATAGTGAATTTCAGATAGATCATAAAGTTGTCATCTTTGATCGCACCCAATCCCATCGTAAATCTTCCAAAGTAAAATCCAAGAAGAACAAACAGTTGCTTTCGCTTTCAAACACTTGAGAAGCCTTCACAAAGTCTCTATTATCAGGAAATTCCTTTTGACCTTCAGACATGAAGATAGGCATTGCTTTTTTTCGGAAGGGAAAAGGTTCTTGTACTGCAGCGGGGTAGGAAGTGTTTGCTGGAACAGGAAGTCGAGATACTCTAGCCTGAAGGATCTCGGCTTCTTGTTTTTTGTATTCATCTATGGAGATCCACTTCCAGCCTTTTCGACGTGGTGGCATCACAAGGCTCACACCTGGAACTTCATTCACCTGAAACAGGGGATTTAGTAATTCATATGAACCAGGATACAAAAATCACGTACAATATCTTGAGCCCAGATTTTAATCATGTTTGTATTCAACCTCTGCAATTCATCTTTGTTTTCTGGATTGATCACTCGAATTGAGCTTTCACCATTAGCTTCACTCTTTGTGAAGCGTGTAGTGAGGTCTTGAATTGCCTTCAGAAGACGAGCCTCGTTCGAATCATCAAGATCGTTCTATGATGGGACAGCAGACATTCAGCTGCATTCGAAATCAAATTTTTGAATAACTTACAGGTGTGGCCTGCCTATGATGGGCTCCTTGGGCTCGGCTTTGCTTGAGTCGAGCAAGATTTCGAGCTACTTTTTCGGCCTGCAGATTGATTTGTCAAAACCAACCCCAATCACAATGATTAAAAAGGACTCACATTGTTCTCCTTTGCCTTTTTAGTCTTTGGATTTGCCTGTACAAAATTCAAATGCATGGATTGCTTCGGGCACTCGAGGCAAGCTGTAATGAAATTGTTATAAGCAGCCTCAGACATGATTTCAAACTCGTTTTTCTTGAGGAAGCTCTTGTGGGCATGGATCCAACCAGTAACTTTCAGATCGCCCTCTGAGAGTGCGAAGTTAAGGGCTTCGGAGATATTTGCCTCGAGTAAATCACATTGACTGAATATCAAAGAACGGAAAAGTTCGAGATCGGTATCATCATTTACTGATACTCGAATCTCCCAATCATTCTTGAGGGGGGTGTAGGTGGGCCAAATCGGTCCTGAAGCCTTTGTTGACCTCTTGGCCCGTGATCGGCTAGATTGAGCGTCTTCGTTAGGTTCATCTGGTACAAAGACCTCAACGTGCACTTTGAAAGCCAGCTCAGTGGTTTTCAAAGATGAGAAATCTGAAGATGAAGAGTCAAACTTGATATCTACAGGGAGAATAATCAACAAGACATACCTTCACAGTCAACCGAGACACCATTGAAACCCAAGTCCTGAGATGTTCCATTCAAAACAGGTGGAGGCGGCAAATCTGAAGACAAAGTGTCAAACTGAATATCTACAGGGAGAATAAACAACAAGACATACCTTCACAATCAACTTCAATAACATTTGAACCTAAGACCCCAGATCTTCCATTCAAATGAGGTGGAGAGAAAGAAAAAGAGGTTGATGGTTGTGATGTTGGAAATGGGGTTGAGCTGGTCTGACTGAACCCTTGATAAGGGAGATGCCCAGGTGCATGCAATGTTGGTGCTTCTCGAGTCAAATCTTGAGCCGGATGGAAGAAGCTTGAAGATGTACCACTATACGAACCACGAGACTGTTGAGCAGTGTTGAAGTTGATGGTTCTTTGATATGGGTGTGATTGATTAAAACTTCGAAAAGACTGTGAATTGTGAGAAGCAGGCATGTTGAGAATGGGCCAATTGTGTGTGGATGGATGTGGCGCTGGCTTCAAGCAAGCAATCCAGTTCAACTGAGCTCGACACTGCCATCAGCCTTTCCCGCGGTTTTCCCGCAGGATTGGAAACCGCGGAAATGAAAAAAATAAAAAAATAAAACACGACAACCACTTTTATTTTCGAAATTGCTGTAAATAATCATGGCATCACAACATTCTTATATGATCAGGAGGAACTTGTTTAAAATATTTGATATCTCCCATGAGATTGATTCCATTGATGAGGATTTGAAGAATTAAAATTGTTGAGGTGAAGAGAGGTGACTTTCAGTCAATTTCATCTCGCAACTTGCACTTGTTTGATCTCTACTATACCTCTCCCACTTTTTTGCTCTTTACCACTTCCAGTCTTCACATCTCTGAAACTCTTACTTGTAAAAAAACTATTTGTTCTTCATAAATATACTGCTGGCTGGAACAAATCCCAAGTGTGAGCCAAGATCCAAAATGGACATTTTTGTGCGCAGTACATATCTGAGGTTGGATGATGTTCATAGGATTTCAATTGTGCTATTCTTGGCCGCGACGAGTATTATCAGGAGAATATACAACCTAAGGGCTCTGATGATTGGAGCCGCAGTTCGCAATGAAGTGATTAAATAGTTTCATCCTGAACGCATACGCCAAAACCAGAAACACCTTCCTGGCAGTGGAGTGCTCTTTCAATGCGCGCGATCCAATGATCATGTTCTCCACCTCAGCTCATTCATTGATGAGACTTTCAATCCAATCATCAGATCAGGGGTTCTACGCAGCTGTTACTCCTGTGGCGGTGAAGGTGTTCTGAACCTCAAGGTTGTCAGAGGTCTCGCATCCCGCAATCCCTACGGATTTTATGGTACTCAAACGCCTTGCTCAGCATCCAATTATTACTTGAACAGGCCTGAAAGTTCTGATTCACTTCAATGAGGCAATATTACAATTCATGAAGATGTCCTTCAGGATCGCCATATCGTTGACGGGCAAGTCGAAGCTTCTGTATGCTCCAGCAGCCTGCTGGTCATTCATTGCGATCGAGAAGCTCGTGGCTGTAAAAGTGGAGCAGGTTTTCAATTTTCTTTTTCTTTTTCAGATCATTCTCTCCGGTAGCCTATCACTATCCGTTATCTACCTCCAAAGTTCAGATCAGAGAGAAAGAATCTCTCATTTGTCTTGGTATATATTGTTTCTTTTCAATTTGATCACATTCGTCTCATCTCCACGCAGAGCTTCGGCTTTTCATTCGCTACGATTTTTTCCGACACTCATTTCTGATTCTTTCTAAGCGGTACGATAAGCGATTTCAACAAAATGGCCTCTAAACCAAAGGCGCCTAGACGGGAGTCGCGATTTCTTTCCACACTTGCCAAATTTCTTTATATGATGATCATTTTCTGTTTGCCGTGTCAAGCTGCAAAGAGTAGATTGGAAAAAAGGATGAGTCCAGGTCCCAGAAGGCTTCCAATCCATCTGGAAAAACGAATGACACAAGTAGACCATATAACCCAACCCTTGTTACACAACGATCTAGTTGGACAACATGATCGTGCTCAATTTCCCGAACATTACGCCACTGCAAAAAAGGCAGTAAGCTAACTGTTTCTCATTTATATATATATCACTATATATAGAAATCCTTGGCTAAAGGATTTCATACAATAATTTCTCATTTCAGGCTCAAACTGGTATTGAAAAACATGATCCACATAAAATAAAGTCGGATCTGGTTGCGTGGCACGCTCCGGAAACATACGTGAGTTTTCTTAAGATCGTAAACCACCTGAGTTGTATTCTCATTTCACACAAGCATTGCAGAGATATAAAACCCAATCCGGTAATCCTACAACTGGAAGTCGCATGTCTCCCACTGACGCGCAGAGCGTCTCAGTGGACGAGGTGCGAAGGTGTGTTCAGCACAACTTTTTAAAGCTCTCAGCTGATCCGGCATAACTGACACGTCCGAAAAAATAATCTGGTTTTCTATTACCGAATCAAGTGAACAACGTCGCTACCTCCCTGAGTGGCTCGCAGACAATCCAAAGGATTTAGAAGCATTTCGAGATTGGTTAGCGAAGAGATTCAGTCGCAAATTCAAACAGTCTGAATTACGAAAATTCACCAATGCGTATGTTAAGATCCATAGATCGAATGCTTCACAACTACAACAAATGGTCCTAAAATTGACTCATCTTTTAAATTTGTAGTCGTGATCAGGAAGATTATGATAAGATTGATGTTTATATGACTTCAGCAAGAAAGAAATGGATGTACAAACGACCTCAAAATCCATACGGGCCACCTCAAAGTCCATACAAGGACCCTCATTATTACTTCAATAAGTGGTGGAACATTCGAAATCGAAGGATTGAATGCTATGGAAATTATTGGAAGTTATTCAAGGTTGGACTTGGGGAAGCCTTAACAGCAGCTAGAAAGAACATTAAATATCTCTTCCGTCGACTTGAATGGTTTTTGAGAAAGGGGAAATGAAAGATTGTTATCAGATATTTTTTGGGGTTTCCGTGTGGCACTGGTGGGTCTTGTGATGATTGAGATCTTGATGTATGACTACTATTTGGGACATCTATCTCTTGCTGATCTCATCTCACTCTTACTGATGTGGTTATATTTTTGTAATCTCTTATGATCAGTTTGTAGTGACTGCTAACTTCTAAGTGTATAAGAAGACAACGCTCTCTTAGACTTTTTGTCACCTTTCTTTTTTTCCTCATCTCATTTCCTATCTGTCACTTTGAGCAGGTTTACTGTGATGCCCATGGCCATAGTGATTTATATCACTCTAGTTATACTAGCTAGGCTTCCCTTCAGTTTATTGTCATTTATTGTATTTGCTCTTGTGTTGATCATGATGATATCAAACTTGCCGTTTCCTATCTGTCACTTCGAGCAGGTTTGCTCTGATCCTTATGGCCATAGTGATTTACATCACTTTAGTTATACTAACTAGACTTCCCTTCAGTCTTTTCTCACAATCACATTGGTGATGAGCTAGAGCACTGCACTGCGTTGAAGCTCAGTCTATGCACAAGATCTCTATCATGTTTTATGACAATTCCAACTCATGTTTATGCATTGCTGAGTTGAGCTGAGTATCTGGCTATACCATCTATTTAGATTTAGCCTCACATAACTGAATATCACACTCAAAATCTTCTCTAAACCAATCAATCAAACAATAAGTTACTCATATACTCAATCGATTTTCAATTATCAAAAGAACAAAGATACTAATACAAAAAGGAAAAATCAGATTTTTTGAAAAAAAGATAAGAAATTTCCACCATTCAAATATAAATGAAAGTGTCGGCAAGAAGGAGAGAATCTGATGATCATCTTAACATGAAATAAGGATAGTCAAAAAGAATAACATCATTTCGAATGGAGGAGCAGAAACAATTGATCCAATCGATTTAGCAGAAGACCCAGTCGTAGACTAAGAAAACGACAATGATAAAAATCGTAAGCTTGGTGAAACGTAATCCAAGGAGATCATAACCAAAGTGAAGACTAACCGAGTTATTAGAATTGATCGGCACAGTATTACTAGTACTGTTCGTAGTCGGATTGTTAACATTAGAAGAATTAGCCGGACTGATCACAGAAGTAGGGATCGTAATTCCAATAGAAGCACAAGTCTAAGCCAAACAAAATGAATCAATAAATCCAAAATAAGTAATCTGATGTAAACGCGTTTGAGTTTGGAAACCAAAGCGTTTCTTACTTTAACACCCCAAGCAGTAGCAGCAGCTGAATCGGCTACCGAACAATCCGTTCCATAACATTTCGTAGAAGCAGTAAGAAAAGTTTCACTTTTACAAAGACAAGCGAAGTCGGTCTAATTGAGAAAAGCAAGTACAAGGTTCATAATGAGTATGGTAAACTTGATTATGATAAGAAAGAGATTGTAAATAGATGGATTTACCTGAGAACAACCTCCACTATTAGTCGTAAGTGATGTAACTAAACAAGATTGACCACAACCTGGTAAACCACTTAAATCTTGTCGTTTTTGAAGATCAATACCCAATCCGATATTTACGAAAAGAGAACCGATGAAGATTAGATTCAAAAGCTTAAACATGACTTTATTTTCTGAGACGAAGATATGATGGAATCTATGAATAGGTTTGAGGTGACGATGATGATGGATGATGGGTGATGGGTGATGGTAATTGAGGATGGTAAAATGGTAAAACGGTAAAAGATAAGGCAATCCAAACTAAACTCCACTTTTTCTTGATTACCAAATTTGTAAAATTAAAATCTTTTAATCCAAAAAGTGAAATCAAAGTTCAAGGAACCACCCCAAAGTATTTTTTAACTTTTAAATTCGGTACACACATACAAAAAGATATATCCTATCCTATAAACAAAAAAACAAGATATCTTACACAGGTAATCAATCTAAAGAATTAAACCTTCTACATATTTCCTTTTTCGATTCTTTCACTTTTTTAGATGCAGAAATTGAAGTGTAAAAGGATACAAACAAAAACCTTACAATCCAATCATCACTTGGTTTGCATTTATTTATGTATTTGGTCAAATCAATTTCTTCAAAAAAAGAGGTTTGGCGCTCACTTTTAATTGCAACCTTATCGAGTGAATTCATCAAGGAGGGGCGATGTGCATGAGCTGATGAAGTATAGTTTCCAAGCCCGCATCAGGTGTTAAATTTACATGTTACCCAGCTCAACTTTCAAGCCTACCTTTTCTTTACTGCCAACTTACGACTCCATATCTCCATCAGACTCCCGTCGGCTTCATTGGATGCTGAATATGGTATGAAAATCTTGACTTGTCATTAAGCAACCTCTTTTGTCTGAATAAATATCCGAATTGAACGTAGTATATTTAATCTTAAGGCAATTCACCCCATTCTTTCAACATTCAAAGACACTGAGCTCCAACATAGACATAACATCACCATACATTTTTGCCCAACTTATACCTGGTAAGCAGAATGTGAATGGATTGCAGTAGGGTGAATATCAAGCTATACAGATTCAAGACATGATCACATATCAATTGAAGATGCATTACAATCTACATGTGTACTTAAGATAGCGAGAACGAGGTTGATCATCCAACGGAAGACTAGATCAAGCTCCCACTCTATCAAATTAATATATATACATATCCAATATTTTTTTGATCTCATTGAATCTTCAAGTTATTTCATAATGGTCTTGATACGCCCTATCGATCTCAAAGACAAAAGGTTGAATTCATGGGCCAAATTCGAGATCCTATTCAAAATTAGAAACCTTGATAGACTCTAATTGGATCGAAGATAATAGGTATTTTTTTGCCAAGGACCAAGGAAGCGAAACCTTGATTTGTGGAGATGACTGGAACGATTTTTACCCAAGATTAATAAGATCTCCCGAGAAAAGAAGTACGAATGCTTTAAGCCCTATCAGACCGTTTCTCATAAGCTAAAGTACAAAAGAAACAAAAACAAAAAAGAATCAGTCACAATTTTCATCCCATTGTGTAGAAAACGAAAATCGATTCGAAAAAAAAACACCGACGATTGTATTGTAGTAATTTTTCAATAAGATCCACATGAGTCAAAACCATTCGACGACAACAATATCTCTTCAAACCTAAAGCGTCCATCGCGTCACTATAATTGATCAAGAGAGAAAAAAAGAAGAAGAAATGTTAAGTGTTTGGATTGAGAATGAAGCTGAGAGTCAAGAAAAAAGACGACTAACCCTTCTGAAACTCCACTTTGTAAGATTTGAAGGTATTGATCCCATACGTTTCCTACCACTTTGCCACATGTAAAACATCTGACTGGAATAATCTTAATGTTGAATGATCGAGATGCATTGAAGTTTTGTTGAATTTGGAAGCAATGGTTAATTTGTGTTGATCATCATGAGGTTCGACAGAGAGTACGTGAGATGCTGAAGTGAATGAACTGACCATTTTTGAAAAATTTGTCAAAGTTTGAGTTGACGATTGCGTGGAGACACGAGTTGAAATCGATATTTGAAGTTTTTTGATTGGTGCAAGTCTTGACAATTAAGTACTTAGTCTTAGTCTACGGTATCGGCTGGTTTTGAAACTGACTTGAGTGTATGCAGCCTTTGCCCTGATGTGTTGTTGCTAAAATTCATAATCTAAGTTTGTTGACCGTTGATCGTTTTATGTACCAGCAACATCCTAAATTGCTTCTCATCACACGAAACCCTCGTCTCATCAGTTAATAATTATATTCTGTTAGTTCCTGCACTCATTACCACTCAGTCTCGAACAACATCAAGGTAGCATCTCAGAGCTTGCCTGTCACTCTTCGATTCAAATTCCGCGAGCTTTCTGGTATCACGATGAAGGTAAGTTTCTTAAAGATCAGCTTCAATCAATCAATACTTCAGTTTTTAGATGAGCTCATAATCAATTCGATTTGACTTTCAAAAATCAGTTCGGAAAACAAATCCAATCTCAACAAATTCCGACTTGGTCGGTAGCTTACCTAGATTATAAAGGACTTAAAAAAGTTTGTAAACCAAATTCTCTTTTTTTTCATTTCTATCTTCTCTTCTTTTTAAGTTTAAAATGATGAGGGACGCGCCTCAACCTTGAAGAAATTGTCCGACAGATTATTAATTCTCTTGCCAAAGGACGCCCAGCAGATGCTGCTCTCCTTGCAGCCGGCGTCAGTCCCGATTTGAATAAGAATCATCTCATCTCACGTCAAGATCATCAACCTCAACCTTTGGTGATCAATGGAGAGTTTAGTGAACCGGATGCGGAAAGTAATCTGAAGGCTCATAAGGCTGCTTTCTTCTTCAAATTGGAGAGAGAGCTCGAAAAGGTTAGATCATTCTTCAATGTTTCCAAGGAGAATATGAGCATCTATCTAACCTTGCTACTTGATTTGATTAAAGATTAACGCATTTTATTTGCAAAAAGAAGCAGATCTCAAAGTAAGACTTCGAACATTAATCGATAAACGAAAGATTGTACAACTTTCTAGAACACGAAAGATGACAAAAACCAATTCAAGTTTTACAACACTTTATGAAGGATTTCGAAATTTTGAAAAAGATTTAAGAAAACTTCAAACGTTTGTTGAAATCAATCAAACTGGATTCCGAAAGATATTAAAAAAATGGGATAAAAGATCTAAATCTACTACCAAAGAACTTTATTTAGCTCGTCAAGTTGAAGTTCAACCGGTTTTCAATCGGGAGTGTATTGCGGAATTAAATGATGTAGCAGCTGCTAATGTTCTAGAGCTTGAAGAGCTATTGATTGATTCTGATGATCACGACTCGCGGCATTGGTCGAGCAATCCTAGCGCTGATGGAATCCCAAGTGATCGGATCATTCCGTTGATTTCAAATCATGAAACAGATGTCGAAATGGATGTGATCGAGTTTGAGGAATTTGAGACTAGTCTTACTAAAGCTGTCCAAGATAATAATCGCGATCAAGTTCAAGAGCTCCTTCGAAATCTTCATGTACCTTCATCACCAGTTGATCAATCTGCACCTATTCGCAATCGGATCAGTCGTATACTTTGGAAAGCGGCACTGCATGAAGAAGATTCTCCTTCCGATGCTACATGTCCCGCAGGAAAAGCCAACAGGATGTCAATCTTGACGCCTTCCTCCGCAATGATGGATCAAGAACTCATTCCATCTTCCAGGCTTGACTTTTCGTTTGTGGATGACATCAGTGGAAGATCCTGCTTACATGAAGCCGCTAGTGTCGGTCGTACTCGTCTCATCCGTCAAGCTGTCGATCATAAGGTCTCAGTCTTGAACATTGATGTCTATGGTCGTCAACCGTTGCATTATGCTGCTATGAATGGACACGCTGCAGCTTGTAATCTTCTTCTCAGTTGTGGTGCCAATGCATACTCATCTGATCACGATGGATATACACCTCTGATTTACGCCGTCACCAAGGGCCACACCGAATGTGTCCGTACTTTGCTCGATAGTGGGGTTACCGTCGACCCGAAACAGCATGCCGACTTCGTTCCATTATCGCTCGCTTGCCAGTATGGCCATCAAGAAATCGCTGTCATGATGCTCAAGCGTGGCGCCCAGATCTTGGCCAATCATGAAGGAATGTGGCCTCAGCATCTTGCGGCTCGTGAAGGTCATGCCGATCTGTTACATCTGTTGGTTGATTCAGGTGCAAATGTTAATGAACTCGATAAATTCAATCAATGGACACCACTTTTTCATGCTGCTAGTGAAGGGCATAGTGTTTGTGTAAAGGTTTTGATCGAAGCACAATCCAATTGTCAAATGTTGGATGAAAGTCGAAAACCCCCAATTCACTACGCTGCATGGCGAGGCCATATTGATTGCGTCAATCTTTTACTTGCTGAAGGCTGTATCGGTCCAAAATCAATTTGTGCTAAGCCCGATGTTGATACCTCACCTTGGAGTATCAATCGAACAGGCCAATCTGCTCCACAGGACGGGTATAAGTCGGGTAGTAGTTTCATGACAGGGGCATCCTCCGAGCTTCAAGGCAACGATCTTGATGTTGATCTGATACCAGATTTGTCATTACCTCCACCGATCATGCCATTCCGGATTTATGGTCACAACTACTTGGACAAGAAGGCACTCATCCAATTATCTCTTGGTCATCCCAATACGTCACGTAACCTTCGTCCTGTTGTTCAACTCTACGGCCAGCCCGAGCTTACTTCACTGAAATTAGTGATTAGTAATCGAGCTGACCCATCTTCAGCTGTTCATAGCACGATCTTACCACTTGATTATGAACATGAATCGTTTGCATTTCATACTGATGCTCTTGATCAATTTGCTCTCGAGTTTGATTTGTTTCCTACTTTTGGAACACGGATCATGGGTAAGGCAGCAGCCCTTCCGTCTACGTTCAGGGATTCATGGAACCATAAATCATATGTGTTACCACTCTTGGACAAACATCTCAAAGTGATTGGCGAGGTAGCCTTTGAGTTGAATGTGATCAGCCCTTTCCAAGGCGTTCAACTTTCGCTTGGTGGACGAGTCGAAACTTATTGGAAAGCTACATCTAATGTATCAGGTGTTGGAACAGGGACAGCAGGAGTCAACCCCTCTTCTATCGAATCTCCAGTCACTTCGCCAGCCGGTACCCCTTCGACGCCTCATCCTACCACTGCCTTTGTTACATCTTCATCACTATCGGGTGAATATGTTCGTGTAATAGTCCAAGTCACTCGCGATGGTGTACCAGTGGTTTATCCTAAAGCTACTTTATCACTGGGAGGTTTAGATGTTCAAATTTGTGCTTTGACGAGTGAACAATTCAATACGTTAGCTATCCAACTCAAATGTACTCTTGATGATATCATACCAGATGTACAGGAAGATTTGACTGCTGCAAGATGGCATACACTTATTGGACAATCAATGGCGTGTTTAAAGGACGTCTTGATTCGTATGCCAGCAAGATTTGGACTTAACCTTGAGATCGAAAGTGGAAAGATTGGTAACCGAGGTGGTATGATTGGAGCTACAATAGGTTATTGTAATGGTTTAGATCTCGATACACTTGTGGACGCTGTACTAAAGACGATTTATGAAGCTGCTGAAACGAATGATCGAACTGGTTCAACAAAGTTAAGGAGAAGATTAGTCCTTTCTTCATTGGATCCATCTGTATGTACAGCCTTGAATTGGAAACAACCTAATTGTGAGTATATTTTTTCGGACATGTTGATCACACTAAGCTGACAAATTTTATGATGAAATCTCTTTGTTTAGATGCCGTCTTCTTTGCTTCATTTTGTGGAGTAGCTGGTTTGAGCTCTGATGGACAATCATTATTAGCTACTAATAGAGAACTAGATGATCGAAGATGTTCAAGTATGATAGAAGCCACCAGATTTGCCAAAGCCAATAATTTACTAGGTGTTATGTTTGATGCTACTTTACTTGTCAGTCTTTTTTTTACATTCTTGATTTTATTTATTACAATGAAACTTATTGATGGGTTTTTCTTTTTGCTTTGATAGTTACGAGTTCCTTCGGTTGTTCAAGGAACTAAAGAACTTGGACTTTTACTTACTACTTTTGGACATGAAAGTGTGATGGGAGCTGATGGACATTTATCTGATGAAGGTGTTTTAAAATATACTATGAATGATAGTTTTGAAAGTGTGGGTTAAACAACAGACATGCAAAACAAGAAAGGAAAGATACATATACACGTCACATATGGTTACTTATGTTGGTTTTTTGATGGATGTTTGAAAGTTTTGTGTAGAAAGTTAAGGTTCTTAGAATAAAAAAACTGTTGGAGGAAAAAAACACAATCATGTACTAGATTGGTTCCTTTAATTTGTTTCTATGGGGTTATCTTTTTTATGGGTTTCACAACAACAACAACCACAAAAAACAATCATTTTTTGGCTTCTTTACACATTTTTTTTTTGGTTTCTTACATTTTGTGGATTCGGTTTTCTTTTTTTTCATTTGTTTTGTAGTATTATTTAAGCTATTTTTATTTTGTGATAAATTTGTAGATTTTGTTTAAATTTGAGTGTTTCTAAATTCTAGAAAAAAAAACAAAAAGATTAAATAGATTGGGTCTTGAAAGTCAAGAGTGATGAAGACAGTTGATGAAAAAGATTGTAATAAATCTAAAATATGATTTGCATACAATTGTTTCCTGCTGACTGGTGTCTGCAGTGAGTTGCACGGAGGACATCAGCTACTTATATAGCCGTCAAGGAAAAGCAGTGGCCAGGACTGTTATTTACCTTTGACTCCTTGATAAGATACAGATTATGTTTACATTGTCCTGGTGTTTGGAGTTGTGCAGTAAAGGAGAGTGCGAAAATGACTTGCCATACAATTTTTCTGTCCAATACTCGGGATCAAGCAAGATCATTCTAAGAGTCCAGGATCAAAGTCTCTTCCTCCTTGGCAACTTTCTTGGCTAAGGAAACTGACACTGACCATTGCTAATTGAATGATTCATTGTAAGCTGCCACAACCTGGAGACCTAAACTTACCAAGTTATCACCAACAGAATCTTGTGACAGATAGGCGTCCTCAAGTCAAAGAAAATCGAGCAGGGTCCAAGTTGTACTCACGCGGAATCCCCCCCGGAATCCGGATATATGAGCGAGTTGCGCATAAACATCATAAACTACATGCACCGCTGAGCCACTGCTTAACTTGAAACAAGGGGCGCTAAATAAATGAACAATTCGGAAGGGTCAAGCTTCAATTCAAACGCACTCTTCTTTGGTGGACTTGAGGACCCTTATCCCTATTGAGTACCACGCCACCAAGAATCTGCAAGCACCGCCAGGTGAACAGAAAGATCTTAAATAGACCGCTTCTACCGTCACCGCTGGATTCCCATCACCTACCAATTCTTTTTTCCTTAACATACCCAAAGATGTCCTCAAAAGGTTTTATCAAGGTTTTTGTCTTGTGTATGATTCTCTCATTACCTGCTTTGATAACAGCGCGCAATAAGCCTGGTATCGCGGCGGTATGTAACTACGGATTTGCTTCGCGCGATTCGGGCGAGACCTCAGGTGAGTGATTTTCATTGCATTCTAGTTTCTTGCATAAATTTCAGATCTAAGTGTTTCTGTTTCTGCTTTGACACAGTTTGTCAGCAGGTAGACGGTGGCTCCTCAAGTGGAAAGTTTTTTGGATTTTTTTGTCAACCTAACAGTTGCGGTGGAGATGGTAAAGTTGCACCACTAGCTCTAGTATTTATACAAACACGCATGATGATTTACACCTAATTGTTCTGTGATCATTACATCGGTAGGTGATATTGTGATTAATATGACTGGTTGTCAACTCCAAAGCGAAGTTTCGAAGAACCTACCTGGTACTCTTCAACAGTGCAAAGCGTATGGTCCAGCCCCTCGCAAGATTAATAATAGGAATGCCTATTGTAAGTACACCTTTTCTTTCTCTCTCTATTGCTCATCCCTTGATCACATCTTTTTCTCAACCAAATCCATGACATCTTCTTTTCACGTATATGTTCAGCTTGCACGAGTATTAAGAATGATATGTATTACTGTCCCCGTGACGTGGGTGTTTCGCCCTACGTATGTAAGTAAAATCTTTCTTTCTTATCATCGCCGAAGTTCAGATATGATTTCTAATCACTTGTCTTTATTGTTCATTCTTTTGATAGCTTGTACGGATTGTCAGCCAATTTAGTAAGCCTGATTGTATCAGTCCCGGTCACAAAAGACTACAAAGAATTTGGGAAATACTATATACATTAAAGAATTTGTAAATATTGAGATCCGATCGACACAAACATGCACGTCATTCTATATGTTTGTAGCTGATTCAATCCAATCATCATACATACATGTATATGGAGAAGTATCTCTTGTTTACCTGTCTTTGGTTCCTTACCTATAAAGTGTTGAGTGCAATCAACTTTACTACAGAGTTAGTGTATACTACCAGCCTTATTTTCAGTGACACATCTTTGGGTTGGTTGCCTTGCTCTTTCGATCTAGGATCAGGCGGATTTCTAGTACCGAAATTTTACCATCTAGCAGATTTTGACCCTGTTTGATCACTTTACTTGGATATTGTTTGATTTGTGACAAAACACTGACCTGCATTTGGCTTTGACTATCATTACATCACACTTGTAATCAAAGAGTGGATAAAACAATTGTTCAGTCAATGTCTAGTGTCCATTTGTTGCTGGTTTACCCTTATGATCAAAGCATCATCAACACATATTTGCTTATTGACTTGCAGTCAACTTAACTGAGTCCCACTACTTCTTGAGCAAGCCTTGATGAGCAGGGGAACTTGTTCATTTTTGTGGTGCAGTCTCAGAGCTTGCAAGATTGAAGGAACCAGAATCTTTTCTTTGGGGAAGTAACCACTTATATCACTTACAGACTCTGTATACGTTTACTAGATTGGCTACTCATATCATAAGCTGTTATACAATCATCTTGCAAAACAAAAGAGAGTTATTCCATCACACAGTGCTATAAGGACGTGAAATTATGAACCAGCTTACTTTTGTCTTGCAGCTTGCCTGGCTATTCTGCATGAGACTAACTTATTGCAAATGAATTTTCTCCACTACATATTTGAGACAGTTGATATGCAAACTTCATTGGATTTACTGATGAATTGTATTTACATTTAAAAACATTCTAACGTCAGTTTGAAAAAGAGACGAATTTTTACATACGTATGTACAAGAATACGAGATTACATTAAATAATAATCTTTTACAACCTTCAAAAAAGATATAATGATTTATGAGAAATTTTAAAAATGGTAAGCACGATAACCTAAGCATTTGATTGAAGTGTTTGTTAACATTTGATTGTTTTTTTTCGTTTCGATAAATTAATGACTAAAAAAAGAAAATATGATTAATCCATTTCTTCAGATCAAATGTAAAACCTTTTTCTTTGTTTTAATTTGATTTATCTGATTTAGTATTAATGATTCCAGTTAAGAATCCAGTAGCAATACCAAAACTTGCACCACCTGGAATTAAACTTAAAACTTTTAAAATTCCACGATGAGCAAAAAAAGTTGAAATGATTAAAGAACCCAAGCTACCACCGATAATTGAAAAATCCTTTTTTCACAAAAAAAAAAAAACAAGAACCAATCCAAAATCAATATTAATGAAATCATCAATACTGAGAAAAAAAAAACTTGGACATACATTTAACCTAACTCTTTCATGAGTTTGTTCTACACGTGGAATCGGTCTTAATGTTGCATTTGCAATTCCAAGACTACCACCAATTCCAAAAGTCAAAACTCCATTTAATCTAAAATATCCTGTGATTGAATTCTTTCTTAATAATAATACAAAGGGTGAAACGATTGATAAAAGTTGTAAACCTACAATGAAGCGGAAAAAATAAATCAGTAAAACATTCTTTTCGTTAATGACTTTGTATTCGTTTTTGTTTAAATTACATATTTGATTGGTTTAGAGAAAAACTTACCAGGTAAAACTGAGTATAGTGTGATTTGATTTGATTTGGTGGTTGGTGATTTGATGGTTTTTGAAGTTTCTTTTTCTGAATCCATCATTCGCTTTGAGTAGACAGAACGAAACGCGTCAATCTAAAGTTTGTATTCTTGAGAAAACAAGATTTGGGAATTCTTGTAGATCTTTAAATATCAAAACCTTTCGAAACAAAACCTCCAAATTTTGAGTGCGGGGTCCGATTTGAAGTTTAATATTTTGCTTCACACATTCAAAAGAACTCACATCAAAATGATGTTGATCAAGACATCAGACTTGAAGATCTGAGCTCCATTGGGCTAATCTTTGGAACTCAAAAATTATAATCTTCAGCCCAAAACTCCGTTTTTCTTGATCAAAATGAAGTTTTTGGCTTCTACACAAACTTGATTGTATTTCATAATCTCTACAACAACTTCAGAATTAGTGATTTCATTCTTATCATGATCAACCAGATGCAAAAGAAAAGATCAAAAATAAATTATTTACATTCTATTAAATAATAGGTTTACAAGTATAAAAAGAAAACATTTTAAAAATAAAGAAAACAGATAAACTAAAACAAATTACAAAACTTTCACTTGGAATTGAATTTTCATCAATCAACTCAAACAAGATAAACACTTTACCAAATCAAATGTCTAACACCTCTAGTAACCCGTGCCAATAAACTTGTCATCTTTTCAACTTCTTCTAAACTTAAAATACATTCTACGAAAATCTTATCTTGAAACCTTTCTACATCAATCGATTCAATCATCTTCAAAATCTCTAAACTGATCTCTTCACAACTCTTTTCATTTTGATGATCACTACTACTCGATCTAATCACTTTAAAGGAAATTATTCTTTCTACTATTGTTTCTTTCAACTCGTTTGTTCTTTGGTTTCCCAATTCCGTCGCTTTCTGGCTTCGCCCCATCATATCGTAATGGATCACAAATCCATAATTTTCTTTTTCATCTTTTTCACTTTCTTCTAAACATGAAGTAATATAAACACCTGTACATAAATGTAAAATCATCATAAAATGACCAAACATCTATCAGTTGGCTTTGTTTTACATGAAACTTTGAGATTTGATCGTTTACCTCTTTGAATCTTGATGATATCATCCAATCCGATCCTCGTAAACTCTTCTACCTATGAGTATACCCACATCAAACGATAAACCCCATCAACATGCGTTCAGGATAAATTTAGCGAGATCTTATGGATGACTTTACCTACTTTTTGTAATCCATAATCGTAATTGACCACATAAATAGCTTTATTACTCAACAATACAACTCGCTCAATAAGTCCTTCACTACATTGTTTTGTATTAGGTTGTAAAGGTGTTAATAAACTCCAACCAGATATTTTAGATTCTCCTTCAGGTAAAACATATTGAGATGCTGTATCAACTGTTTCACAAAAAAAAGCAACATCACATCAAAAACACATCATTCAAGTAAGATCTAGGGGAGGAAAAAAACTTACTAGCAATCGATCTAACTTTTGAAAGTCGAAGTAATTGACCTGGATCAGTGACATTCAAACTATCTTGAAATTGTGAAAAAGTGGCATGGTTAACCCCAAGCGCACTAAAGAACCAAGAAAAATCAATCAAATCCAACTCATCATGTCTTTATGAGATCTTTCAAGGCTTACTAATCAAGCACAGTCTGTTTAAAGAAATCCGTCATAGAATTCAGCCACATCCTTGCCACCGAATTAGTAGCATCATTGACGATCCCTCTCCAATCCCTCTTACCGGTCCTACGTCCCACCAAAAAGAAAACCACCAAGATTCAACTTTAAAGAAAGAGGCCCACAAGAACTTCAATCAATCAACACAAACCTAACAAAATCACCTTTAAGAGCTGATGTACCAGCATACTGTTTACTAATCTGATCACCATTATTGGCCCACATCTCATTAAACGAAACATCCATTCCACCATCTGAATTTGGTGAATTTGAAGGATGATCAGGTAAACCAAGATGAATGAGAAATTGGTTTAAGATTTCTTTTGAAAACCTAGCTTGAACTACATTTGTTCGATCTAAACAATCAATACAAGATGTTCTAATCACACCAGTTTGAAGTTTACCATCTGATGAGAAATAACTGTCAAAAGAAAACCATTGAAAATCAATCTAGCTTAGAAGAAAGCCAAAAAGGATGAGATAAGTTTTTAAAAAAATAAAGAACTTACCCATGTTTGAGTAATTCATCTAATGATTCATCCATCAAATTAGATATCTTTTCATAATGCATTCCTTTACATTCTTTATGAAAATCCCATCCAAGATATTTAATGTTGGATCTCAAATCGGTTGTGGAGGGTTGTTGATTAAGAACTTCAACTTGATGTTCATATTCATTAACCAATTTACCTTCGTTTCCCGTTTTTTCTGCTAAACAAACTATCAATATATCACCATATCGATGAGTTTGTGTAATAAAATGTTTTCGAAGTGCATCTATAACAAAAGCCCAGGACCAGCACCAGAAAGGTTAAGTCATCAATCGAAAATCAAGATTATCAAAACAAATGAAAAACGTTTGAAGAAGATCGATTTACCCAAGTTTTCAATTTGAGTTCCTTCAAGTACAGGTGGAGGTTTAAGTGCCCAAGGAGTTTGATTCCAAAATAATGGAATACTACCTCTGATCTGTACAAAACTCCAAAGTTGATCTTGATGAGGATCCTTAAAAAGATGAGATCCCATCAAGCATTCCGTTTCCACAAAATTAGCCGTCGAACCATTCAAATCGATCCCACGACGTTGATAACGTAATCCGTGTCGTTCGATCGATCTTCTGGAAATGATGCCAAATTCGATCGGATGTAAATCGTTGACTTCAACTTGAGAATCTGTGGCTTTTGAAGTTGAGGATCGGATTGGAATCGGGAAATAAATGGTAGTCGATTCTACATAACCTTGTATGATCACATATATAAGTGAGTTTAACTGTTTTAAAAGTTTGAATTTGATAAACGTTTTTGGAAGAAATACGCACATTAGTCCTAGATTTTGATGGTATATTTAGGAAATTCGACTAACACCAGCTTGAATAAATGGTTCAATCATATGATGATTCCACCAAAATCTTCGATCGGCTTGTTGATAGAGATATTGAGCAGCTTGCGGATCTTGCGCTAATTCCTGATCCTGTATTGTCACCATAACACATGTTCATCAGCCAAACATTCTTTCAAGCGAGTTGATTGATTTTTGCAACGCACCGTCTGTTTTGAATCTCCTGCTATACCGGAAGATGATGATATAGCCACATCAGAGCTTACACTCTCTCTTTGAGAAGATTTCGATTGTGCTTGTAATCGATGAGTGAGATCCCAATCTAAGGCGTAATACATCCCACCATGAGATAACTCAGCACATAACTCTTTCATAATCTTAAGATCAAGTGTTAGACGAGCAGCTGAGTCATGAGTCTTGCTTTCAACTTTGGAGTCTTCTTGAGATGGGCTTGTAACGGTTATAGGAGTGTTCGGCACAGGATCCGAACTTAGTAAAGGAGTGACTGGAATTGAAGCTGATGGTTTATCATGTTCTGGAACGGTTAAAAGGTCCTCTTTTGATACCTGAACTGACACAGAACGACTTGCACGATTAGGTTTAGGTTTCCAAAAAAGTCGTCCTAAGCTAATCTTACGAGCTGAGGCTGTAGAAGGAATAATATGATCTTTAGATAAACTGTCGATGAGTACGGGTGGTGGATCTTCATCAGCTTCTGGAGGACTAGGACTTGAAGTTTCAGGATCTGAACTTTCATCACTTTCACTCGGAAGATCCACTAAAAGGTTTTGATTGATCGTGTTGGATGGAGATGTGAAATCGACTGGAGATTTCCGCTTAAGATAATCTTTTAAGATTAACGTGGCTTTCCTATGATTTAATGGTAAGGCTATTACATGTTTTATGTTATAGATTTTTTTATTTTGAAAAGCTTTGAATGAACCTGAAATTGATTGAGATGAGATCAAAATCAAATATGAATCTGTTAAAATCAAACAGAATAAGTTGAGATCATGAGGATCAGATCAAATAATACGGGTTATCTCAATCTAAAAGATCTTTTGAAGAAAACATGACTCACCATGAAACAATTTAAGAATTCCAACTAATCCATCAAATTCAGCTTTGATTAACGAAGAATCAGATGATAAAGAGCTTGAGGGTTCATTCCATTTCTCGATGACTTCTAATGCCGATTGAGGATGATACTCGAAACTAGCTACCTTGGCGGGTTCGGTTTCTTTCAGTCGACCAGGTTTGATAATTATATTTTGGGATGTAAGATATATTGAGATATGACGAGGTAAGATTGACAAGGTTTCGGTTTGATTTGATGATGTGGGAAGTGATGCCATCGTTTGAATGGTTCAGGTTGATCGATTGTGTTTTGGAAATTGAATCTTCTGGAACATTGATTGAGAATGATCCTGAACAGCGAGGTGGCTCTGGGACCTGGGTGGTGATGTGTTCTGATGTTGTATCTGGTTGGTTCTTGACTTGGATTGAATTAGTTGTTGATCGACCCTTTCTGAATATGAATCTGTACTACCACTCGGTCTTCAGACTCTGACTGGCCGGGGCCCTGATCAAACACACCGAGCTGAAGCTTGCAACGGTCAACCCAATCATGATGGAGAATGAGACACAACACATTTGGCTTGTACTCAAAGACTTTGTTTTCATATACACTTTGGCCTCTACTTGATCAAGTCTTAGAAAGAATAGAAAAACATGCTACATCAAAAGAGAAGAGGCATTGTCTATTTCATTTGGATCTTACAAATGCAAAGTGAAGAGATCAACCCACATAAATAAATTGTAAAGTGGTAGCTGATCATCAGCTCACAATGCAGTGTGACACAATTGAAGGCCAAAAGACTCCCATGAAAAATGACTCACATTTTCCAAGTAAAAGATAATCTTTCAAGCCAGAAGATTCTTGACTTGAGAACCCAAGAAAACTTGATCTGTTTTGGAAAAATCTATTGTTTGATTTAGAAAGTAAAGAAAACTTCAAGAATCAAGATCACGAAATATATACTGCTTTGATGATTATATTGGACCTGTTTTAGGAGAAAATTAGAATTGAAAAAGAGATCAAAGAAGCTACTCAAGTTAGGTTCATGATCAAGCCAAAGTTTCAAGAGCGCAGAATTGACTTCAGTTGGTTTTTGGGGTTGATCATATACCTTAATGAGGTAAGAAACATACATTAAATAAGAATCATCAACTAGGAAGACTTCAAATATTAAAACAACAGACAATTTCATAGAATGATTATAAAGCAGATGATTTGATCTAATTCTGAGGTAGATAAGATATCAAAAACTTGGGAACCCGTTCAATTTCGAAACAATTTTTTGAAATCTTTTGATAAAAGATGTTTTACCGGTCATGATCAGACAAGTCAATGAGTTTTTTGAGGCAGGTCAATGAGGTTTTCACAAGATGGTTAAGATCAGGGTTTTGATTTCAAAGAAATTTATTCAAAAAGAACATGAAATGAAAAAGGATAGAGAATTTCATTACAAGTGGATTTGATGTTCATGCATTGCAGAAAACCGACTGACTATCGCTCTTTTCCTGCAGATGTACTGGCCCATCATCCTTAGGTTTTAGTGAAAAAGTCTGAAGTGATGTCATTACAAGTCAGAAAGTGAATAGAAAAGCGATTTATGTATCTTGACGGTTTTAGATGGAACGAAAGTAAATCATGATGAATCTAGAAATCTTGAATTCTTTGAATGAATCCTTTAAAGATATCGAGCATATAAGAGGTAAAGATTTCTTTATAACAAAGTCAGTCTCTTAATCATAGAAAGCCGAAGTTTCGATCGAATTTATTTAAGTTCAGATCAGATCAGATATAAAGAAAGCATATCCTAAAGAAATAGATCGATACAAAACCTCATCAAAGAAGACAAAAACAAATAATTATATATCTAGCCTGTATTTAACCCTTGTCATAGTTCGGGCTAACGAGTCGGATGGAGTTGGAGTTGGAGTTGGAGCTAGAGCTGGAGTTATCGGTTCGAGGGTCTAATCCTCATGAGTCATGACCAACCAAAAAGTTCGCACTAGTGGTAATGTATGTACCCCAGCCTTTTCTCCTCGATCCTTCGCATATCTCTAGGGCAAAAGCTCTTTCCCAAATCTCTTTTTTCTTTGGCAGGCAATGCACTCTTTAAATCTCACAAACTTGTTGTTCTGGAAATACGTACCATCTTCAAAGTTAATGCAAACTTTACAAAATAGAATCCTTGGCAGATTCGATTCATATCATCATCATCTTTATAAAGTGCATCTAAAGCAAGTCTAAGATCCAGTATGCGATGATATATGTATGTGAATCAGATATCTTACCGTTGAAGTGATGTAGAAATCTAATCTGATTTCATCGAATAAGAATAAGACTTCATTTCTTTGATGATCATGAAGATGATGCGTAGTTTCTAATGTACAAGTCTCATCTATAGTACACTTTATGTAATACTTGATCAAGACTGTTTTCAAGATTTGTATTTCTTTTAAGATCGCTTTGGTTAAAGTCGAATTCCGGGAAAAAAAAATCTAGCTTTGAATTCGTTATAAAAACCTCACCTTTTCTTCTTCCTTGGGTCCCATCATCCACTCACTCACTCAGTCTATCAAACCTGATCATCTCTATTTAAAACCGCTTCATCCAGCCAACCACTTAATTTTCAAACAAAATGCAATTCTTTAACCGATTTTCATTTCTTTCAACTTTACTTTCCATAACCGTCTTTTCCAAATTAACAAGTTCTACCATAACCTTTAAATGCGAGAATACCGAGACCCAAAAGAAATCATATCTAATAGGAATCTGTGCTTCTGGTTCTGCTGAATCTACTTATCCAAACAAGTACATAAGAGTACGAAATGGTATATTTCTTCATCTACTTCTTCTTTCCAAACTCCAAACAAGAAAAGAAAACAAAAGATCATTAATTTCATTTTTTTTTATTTGCTTTAGCTATAAATGCTACTTATACTTCTACTCAAAATCAGTTTATTTGTAACCAAGATTACCCAACTTGGTGGGCTTATTGTTGTGCAACATCTCTAGTAAGTTTATACCCTTTTTTCATTTTTTTTTATTTCAATGATTTTAATCCAGAAATTAACTTTTCTGGGATCCTTTTTGTACTTTTTTTGATTTTTTTTTTTGAATTGAATTAGCCTACAGGTTCACAAACAGCCAAAGATTGTATACTTGCTCAACTTATTCAAAGCTCTGAGTCTTAACCGTCTTGTAAACCCAATTCATCCCAAAAATTGAAACCCTTTGTTCTCTTTGTAATACGATCAATCAGAGTACACTATCCATTCCATTTTTTTTGAACCTTTTCTAATTCTTCACGCGCTTTACAAATCTCTCAACTTGTAACCCAAAACCAAAACCCCCCCCCCCAAACACAATCCTTTCTTTCCTTTCTCATTTTTCTAAACAAATCAACATAGTAGTAGTATGTAGTAGATTGTAGTGGAAAGGTTTTTCAATGTATATACATAGTATCTTGTACTACATAAAGTGATCTGAATGACCCATCTGTTCTAACTTCTGGTTCTTATAACCTCGTAATATCAATCAATTCGTTTCAAATGCAAAACTTGATCAAATTCCAAACCAAACCTACTCAGGTCTTCAACATATTCCTTTATCAATTTCTATTGAAGCTTGAGTTCTATTGCTTTAAGTAGGTATCGTGATCAATACAAATCATCTCACCAACCAACTAATCTAAGCCTATTCTGATTCACATCCATCAAATCAAAGTCCAAATCACCAACACAAACCAAAAAAACACAAACCCATAGCAGACTTAAACCTCTTACTCTGTTCATCTTTTCAAAGATCTATTCCAACCAAAGACCCGCACTGAGTACCTCACCATCATGTAAGATTCCAAAAGAGTTTATAAATCATCAAAAAGAATCAATCTCTTTCATAGTAAGAACTCAGTCTTTTCCCAAAAAACAATGCTGATGAAATCGTTCCATAAATTATCACAGTTTAATTAAAACTTTTAATTTTTTTGAATTTCGTTTTCATACACTACCTACACTCAAAAAAAATACACGAAAACTTTTTGGCCATCATTTTTATTTCACTTCTCCCCTTCCCCCTCCATCTTTCATCTTTCATCTCTTCATCTTTAATTATTTTGATGTTTTTGATGTTTTTGATGTTTTGATGTTTTTGATTTTCTTGATGGTTCGATGTTTCGATGTTTTGATGTTCTTGATCCTTTATTTTTTGATCTTTTAATGTTTTTGACCTTTTATTCTTGGAACATTTTTTGATGTATCAACGTATCAATTCTTCAATTCTTCAATTCTTTTGATCCTTTGATTACTTTGATGTTTTTTTGATTTTTCCGTATACATATATTCCAGATTCTTGATTTTAAGTTTCCCTTCAATTCCCATTGGACATAATCCTTCTCTTAATAAACTCTCGAAGAGCAGTATGTCCATCTAAACTCACAAAGAATTTCTTTAATTCTGGATTCTCCCATAAGATAATATCAATCTGTTTTGAATAATTAATAACGATTTCGTAATCAGAAACAGATTTAAAATCTTCATAAAGATAACCTTTTTTCAAAAAAAAACCAAAAAAAGTCAAAAGTCAAGAAACAATACGTCAACTCAATTGGTTTGTGTTTTATTTGGTTCAGATCAAAAATCTTACCTTCTTGATCCCTAACCCTATTCTTTTCAAGTTCCCACAACCTAATCTGATCCACAACAGTATTAGGCAAAATAGGTTTCAATAACTTCATCTGAGAATGTGAATGGAATTCCAAATAAGATATAATCTGATCAGCTCGAATCCCATTCTTAAAAGCCATCTTAATACTTTCTCGTGTGATCGATCCGATGACCAGGTTCGGAAACCTTGATTTAAAACTTATAAACAGATTCAAGATCGCGATTTGTAATGGATTACCTAACCCCCCCCAAAAAAAAGAATCATGGCTTAGTTTGTTGGATTTTTTTGATGGAAAAGTGAATGGGAAATGGATTACTGGTATAGGCGTAGATTCGGTAATTGGTTTCTAGGATTAAAAACTCGTTGGGGTCTGATGATGATTGGTCTGATGGGTTTGAAACGATCGGTGGTGCAGTAGAAGTAAGTGTAGTGACTAATCTAGTAGGATAAAACGTTTTAGACTTGTCGAAAAGAAACCCCCCCAACACAAAAAACCAACATTCATCAGAATGGAATTTGATTGAAAGAAAAAGTTGAAAATGATGATGAAAGAAGAACTTACTTGAGTTAAATAAACTAAACCGTAGTCTACTAAATCATTTAAGACCTGAACTTGAGTATCCGAGAAATTCTTCATAGAGTATTCCTGCACCAACCAAAAAAGAAACACCATAAGATTCCCCAAAACGCATTCAAAGATCTGGGAAGAAAAAGGTTTTCTAAAAAAGAAAAAAGGTATGACTAAACTTTACCTAATTCTAAACTACCCAACATAAACAAACAAGAAAGCACATCCACAATATCCAAATCATTAGCCTAAACCCCCCAAAAATCATCCCCATCAGATCTTAAACCAATCACCCATATTATTAGTGTTCTGAGGAAAAAAACAACTTACTTCTGCCATCTTGAGGTATTGTAATAAGAGTTCCCATAATTGAGTATTGATATCATCTAACAAGAACTGAAACCCAACAGAAGTGATCTTAGAATTCCTATCAAACCCCCCCCCCCCAAAAAATCAAAAAAATCAACAAAATCAGGTTTTTTTTTATAGAAACTTGGAATAGACGAATGGAAAGATTACAAACTGAGAAGAAATCAAACCACTAAAAGTAAGTAAAGTGATGATCTTTGAACTAGGTCTGTTTGACCAATTAGATCCTACCATAAAATGTAAAATCGTCTAACCCCCCCAAAAAAAACTTAATCAATTTGGAAGTTTTCCTTGTTTGTGAGTGAGTGGTTTGGTGACTGACTTCCCAATTTTGTTTGGCATATTGGTCTAGAGTAAGAAGATCAACTTTTGATGAAGTTTTACATGGTAATCCAAACGATTTATGATCCCCACTTAAAACCACCCAAAGAAACAGTTCATTAGTTTGGGTTTGAGGGGTTTGGGGTTGGGATTGGATTTTAATTACCCTCCGGTTAGGGCTAGTTGAAAGTTTTGTTTGAAGGTGGGATGTAGGGTGAGGTTTGATGAATGGATTAGATGGAGATGAATTAGTTTGGCTAGAGTGCTGTCTAGTTGTCTAAACCCGAAAAGAAAACAAAAGATGGTCAGTTTTTAGGATGATCAGTGATATAGTTAGTTTTGAATGAGAAACAATAATCACGATTGAGAGCTTTGATTAGATTCAAATTTAATTGAAGTAGACCAAAGTTTAAGTTGAGTGAGATTAAAAGAATGAATAGAAGACCAAAGTGAATTTAAAATCAAATGTCTTGCTAAGGAAGGTAATAATCTAAAGATTGATAAACAACTTGAAGGTGATTCGTATAATCTAGAAAGAGTTTGTTCTGGTAAATCGTGTAGGAATTCGGATAAACTTGAACTGATTTCGTTTTGATCTTTCTTTTCCATCTTTTGGATTATCGAATAACAAATCGAATGAACTGAAGGTTGTGTGATGCTGAGCTGATTGGTTTAGTCGATCGACTTAAGTTAAGTCAGCTTAAGTTACCAAGTCAGCTTAAGTTATGTGTTACCATCCATTGAGAATGTGTGATTTGTGATTGGTGACTTGATTGGCTTAGAATGATGATTCGAAGTATTCTGAATGAACCTATTGGCTTACCAATCTCAGATTTCACTAAGAATCATTTCATTATCATTCAATCAACCAAATACTCATAAGTTCTTATCATCAACTTACCAATCCAATCAATCTTTCATTCATCAATCAACTCATTTCAAACTAATCTCATTCCATCCATCAACCATCATCATCTCAAACCAACAACAAAACTTCAAATCTTTATCTTCTTGTTTCTCACCACAAGATCAACTCATTGCAAATCTCAAAAAAAATCAAAGATTATCTAAACTGAAAAAACCTAGGTATCAATTACGATTATCATTCTCTTTGAAAATCAAAACCACTCATTCATCTGCTGTCGTTCGAAAGAGTTTGAGAAAGAAGTTTGTGGCGGCTCTTAGGTTGATCTTACAGTATGGTGTTCAACCTATTCATGGTCATCCAAACTTATTGACTATTAATTTGGATTTAGCTAAACCTGAGAATTGGTTATTGAAAGGTAATCTTGATTATCTATCCATATCTATTTCGAGAATCAAATTAACTGATCTTGTGTGGTTTTTCCTTTAGATTATTATTACGTGGTTCATCCTTATGTTTCTTTACATCTACTTACTATTCCTCAATTAGTTCCATTCATTCAAACTGCTTTGGTTTCGATCCTTCATCAAGCCAAACAACAACAATCAGCTGAACATAGTCATAGAGCTCCTCAGAAATTAATCTGTCAAAACAAAATCATTCCTCAAGCACAGTATTCTTCGGTTTCTCAATTTAAACCTCAGTATTCTTCGATTTCTCAAAGTGAACCACACGGTCGTTTGGGAATTCATCAATTTAAACCAAATGATCAATCAAAACCTCATCAATCAAAACCTCATCAACCAAAACCTCATCAAACCAAACCAAACCAACCCACCAAAAATCCTGAAAAACATCAAAATTAAAAAAACACTCATGCTCCAAAAAACCGATTTTTTCTATACATAAATATAGAAACCCGTTCGAATTGGAATTCATAGATTCGGTTTTAACAAATGGATTTCATAGATCTACACCTTGAGAATTTTTAGCGGATGGGTTTGTGTATGAATAAAAACCCTTTTTTGGATAGAACACAGGGTTTTGAGCCAAGTTAAAGAAAAGGTTTGTATGTGAGTTGAATCAAATTTAGGTTTTATTCTTTTTTGAGGTTGAGGTTTAGCTGGAAAGGAATGGTTGGAGGGGGTTTGGAAAGTGTTTGATGCTTGAGGTTGTACGAGTTGATGGATTTGGAAACATGAAAATGTTGTGATGGTGTACATGGTATAAGGTCTTTTTCTCTAAGAAGGATTCTTGGTTGAAGAAATAGAAATGAATGGGTTAAGGTTTTGTACATGGAAGGGTGATTTAGGTTTGGAAAGTAAGGATGTAGAAAATCAAAGATGACGATGATGATGGAAATGATGGAAATGATGAAGGAAATGTGGGTATGGTTTTGTGTAAGTGGTTTGGATAGATCAAAAATGGAAAATGAGCAAAAAAAAAAATGAAAAATAAGATAGATGATCAATATTTCATGAAGAAAGAGACAGACCTAAATCCTATATATTTACAAATTTCCAATGAGATTTTTTTTTCCACAACCAATTTCATCAAGATATTATACAACTTGAAAGATTCAAGTGGGTTTATATGATGCTTTGACTTTGGTTAGTTTTGTTGCATACATATGTACTCAAGTCAAACACTTCTATTTCTTTTCTATGCTGACTTGATGTAATTGGATGTATTTTTTCTGACTGAAAGAAAAATTTATGGGTCTGATCATTTAGTACATAGTAAGTTGATCAAGAAGCAGAGATGAAAGTACATCATCCTCATTACTCAAGTTTATTTTCAGTATATCATTTGGTTTACAGTCTTGATTTAAGCTTGATGTTGAAATTGATCTTTGAAAAAATTTTCATTAGGCAATACTTATAGGTAGGCCTTCATTTATCTTGCTCTGGACTTTGCAGAAGTGGATTAAATCTTTGATGAGAATCTCTCAGCTCCATTCTTTGATATCATTCTTGTGTAAGGTGGTATTTATCTGGCTGGCGCAGTTATCAGAGCGGTGATGCAGTGCGGCGCCCGCTCGCTGAGGTTAGATCATACAGGCTCAGCTTTAATTGATGAGCTTGATCAAATCAGATTTCCTCTTTACCTTGTCTTTGAACGAGAGAATTTCATTCAAACATGCCTATGTATGGGAGTCATGATCATATCCAACTTGATCTTACACACATATCATCGGCAATCGATCAACGATCATTGAAAATATGATGTTTTTCTCCATAACATCTCCGGTATTGCTCAACTAAAGTCCTAGTAGAAGTTCATGGCACCTCTTGATCCAATGAGCAAGACTGAAAAGCTTTCATTCATTAAAAGAAGAATGGGATTTCAATAACTCATAAAAGTTAAACGGTCTTTGAGCATTCGACCTCATTCGACACAGTAACCCAGACTAAATCTTAAACTGGTGACAGTGGGCTTCCGTTTCGGCTCCAATCTGATTCTCACTAGTTTACTCAATTATTCATCACAAATCCGGCTCAAAAACTCAAGATGATACATGCAAGAATCCATGTAAGGTATCAACTTAAAACTTTGACTGTAAATATGCTAAAGTCCATCAAATCCCACCAAGACGTTCGATGAGACTTCAATAACCTCTCTTAAGCTCATCATCGATCTGCGTTTTTTTCTCTTTAGTCTGTGTGATAAAATGTAAAAGGAACAGCCGTAGTTGGAGTCGTAGTATGTAAAGGAATCAGCAGGGAACCGTACCGGTGAGGATCAAACTGGTTCTCATACTCATACGACTCATTCCGAGTTCATGTTCAGATTCATTTACGACTTATAATCGGAAATCTGAACCTCTTACAATTTTTAGTGAAGAAGAGATTTCTTTGTTGAAGAAAAGAATCTTGAGCCTTTAACTCGTTTTTTGTAAATTGATCAACTTTTTCAGTGGATTTTATTTAAATCTTTCATTCATCTTCTTTCCTTGGTTCTTAACTTATATAAAGATTTTAAATCAGATAGAAAGCTAAAACTTACCATTTTTATTCCTTATAAACTTTGAAGGAAAAATGAGGTATCTATCAAAATCAATCTTACTTCTCAAGATCTCATGTATCTTAGCTGGACCTACATCCACTCAACTTACAACCCTAAACCAAGAACCTAGTAAAGATAATACGATTCGAGATGACAGTCGAGGAGGTATAAGCAGTACATTTGATGTCGCACTCCATAATCCTACCTTGGCGATATCCACCATCGGAGCTCAAATCGAAATCAATTGTCCAGCAGCTACTCTATGGAATCAACAATACACCTTAAACTCAACCGAGACACCAGATCCAGATGAAGTAGAAGAGAAATGGATCGTTTCTTACTTACAATCACATCCAGATCAAACCCTTTGGGAATTGTTTACTCATACACTTTATAATGATATTCATAAATGGGCAACCGGTGAAGATCCTATCGAATCTGGTGCAGATGCTGTCGTTCATTTCGTTTCGGATGTCGTTCAAAATTTTATTTTAATGATTTGGGCGGCATTTAAATGGGTGGTTAAGTTTCCTTTTCAACCAAAAACTGAATGGAAACAGGTAAATTTTCATTTTTGTTAAACTTTTCTTATTAGCTCTGAATGGTTTCAATTCTTGAACTGATGGATTGATTGTTGACGTTTTTAGGTCAAAGGGTTTGCCAATGAGCTTTGGGATGGTAAAGATCACATTTAATATCTATTTTTTGATTTTCTCATTTGACTAATCTTGATTTGTGTATTTTTCTTCAAAAGGTTCTAAACTTGCTGGAGGTCTCTTTATGGATAACGCCATCAATGGTCTCAAGACGATCGTAGGAGGTCTTATGTTACATTTACTTTTACATCCAGCAGAGTTCACAGCCGAAAGTATTTTACTGGTGGGTGCTGGGTTTCAAGTGATTCATGGTTTGATACATGGAATGCAAGCAATTGGTTTGTCACCTCTTCCTTTTGAAAAACTTTATAAATCAAAAAAACTTCACATTATCTGATCATTGATCATATTTTGTTTTTGAATTGAATTTGATAGCTGGAAGTCTTCCACCCATCGTTGGAAACTCAGTTATGAGTGTCTTAATCTTCATTCACATCTTGGACGATCCACTCTTAATCTTAACACCAATCTTAACCAACACAGCACAATCAGTTCAAGCCATCGGTCATGCAGGTGTGACGATAGAAGAACCTGAAGATAATGGAGGATTTACTTCGAATGATGGATCAAGTTCATTAACTTTACCATCAGATTATCGAATCCCAGTTTCAAACACATGTCAATTACTTTCACCTGATTTAGCTGCACCACCATTAACGTATGAAGAATTATGTTTAACTAAAGATCCGAAAAATCTTAGAAAAATCGTCTTTGGCACTACCAAATCATCAGTTGAAATGAATCGTATCGAAAGATTAGAAGCTTATAAACATGTTCGAAAGTTTTGGTGTTGTTATGGTAAAGGATCTAAAGTGGAATTACCATTAGGAGTATTAGATGATCTACCTGGTCGGGAGATTTGGGAAGGTAAATCTTATTGGAATTCGATTGATGATTGTGATTCGATTTATAATTCGACTAGTTCTTTACCTGTACCTGATAGACTTACACTTGGTCTTTAAAATCTTTTCTTTTTCTGTTTCTTCCTTTTCTTTTGCTTGTTTATTACATTATTACATTATAGACTTAGATACCCCCTTTTGAAAACTTGAAATATGACCTATGATCATAATCTCAGCGGTCTTGCAAGAGTAAGAGTACATGAACTGTAACATACTCTACATGCTGGTTCCCAGAGATCACTGACCTGAAGGTGCACCCATGGAGTATGGTGTGGTTACAAATCCATTCAACCACACTTCAAAGTCTCCTTTCATACCTTTTGATCCACCTCAATCCAATTGAAATACCAACCTAATCAACTGTTTGTGAAATTGGCAATGGGAGGATTGAGATAAGGATTCTGGCCTGTATCTTCCTTACCATCATCAAAATTTGTTGACACTCTTAATCATCAGGCTTGCTTTGACAATCAGGCACTTTTGGAAGAAAAATGCAAAGAAGAAATCCAAAAGGGACAATATTTGTAGGAGTTTTCAACCTTGCTTCCAGGAATGAAGGCTATCCCTTTGCTAATGACTTCAAAAAAGGGACTTACAAAAACCAGGGTATGTGTGAATATGAGTGCTGGAAAACCTTCTCCTAGCAATTTAATCAATGAAGATAATATAAAAGTATTGTATGTTGCTTTTATCGTTGAACTCAAGAAGAAGCATGGAAATGTGACCATCTATAAGTCCAATGTAGAAGAAGAGTTTAGCACCATTCTTCTCCATATTCAATATCAAGTGTCTCACATTCCAGGATTTTCCAATTCATGTATGTTATCTCATACATTGATTGCTTCAGTCAGAAGAAAATTTCATGCTTTATCAGTATTCTCTCTTAAAGTTGGTCCAGTTCCAGTTCCAGGTTCTGGTGGAGTGGAAATCAATCTACAAGACTTCATCAACCCTTCTTTATTATGGTATTGTACAGAATAAGTAAACCTTCACAGAAAATTAACATTGCTCAGATAAAAGCTCTAGCAAAGAAAGGCCAAGATGACTGTTGTGTAATTAGCTATTATCCAGAAGTATAAGTATGGTTTCCATAGTTTTTATGGTTTCTGTCTTCAATTCAATTGTATATTTTGATCAGATTTCAAAACACTTTGTGGTCACTTTGCTTACAAGGGTTTAGAGATTTCCCCTAGATATCTTCAAGTTTGATCAATAGGTATCACATCTACTTTTGATTGAAAATTTCCCAAGAAATCAGTCCAAATCAGGAAAGAAAATAGTGAAAGGTTGCATCAGATTCATGCTATATTCAAAGCCAGTTAATTAAAAAGAATATTTCACTACCCCCTAAAATGAGTATGCAGTATCAAATTTGAGTCTTGCTCATGACAACAGGTTGTTTTTAGCATTACTCAGTGTTGGATTTGGAGGTTTGCATTGTTCAGGAGAGCTTACTGTGCCAGACTATAAGAATATTAGATTCAAGAATGGTCATTCAACAAATCTCTTTCAGAATTTCTTTGTGTGATAAATCATTCAATACTCTTTTCTGCATTCAAAAGGAAATCTTAGTTTCACTGGATTACCTGTCATTATCCAACATTTCACAAGATATCCTGTTTGTCATGTTATACATATAAAATCTTATCTTTTTTCTAAAGATTTGCTCTTTCTTACAAAGTCAGAGTTGTTCTTAACCCCAGATGGTAGTCTTCTGACGAGAACTTGGTTTTTATCACATTTTCACAAGATTTTTGACAAGAAGTTTTCCAGACATTCTCTTAGATTGGGTGGCTGTGATGGCCCAATCAGGGGCTAATTTGGAATATATACCAAGTGCTAGTCACTGGTCTTCAGAAGCTTTTCAAATTTACATTCAAGGGCATGTGGCACTAAGATAATTACCAGCATCTCAGAGCCATGTCATTGTATGTAATACTCATATTGGTGCTCCTGTGTCTTCATTGAAGGTGTATTTTTCTTGCAAAAGTATTCATTATTGTTTCATTTTCATTAAACAGAAAAGTTTGGTTATTTATCATAAGAAGTTATCTGGTGATTACAAGTTTTTGGGTTATATTACTTGATTTTGTATGCAGAGACTTCTGTTGTATGTTTGTAGATCTTTTTCTTTCTTAACACATATCAAGAAGACAACTCTTTGGTTCTTTGGAAAATATTCATCCATGGTCTACTTCAAGTATTTTGCTGACTCTGTTTGTTCTGGGCTATTGTTATTTAATATTACTCCTCCCCTCTTCACCACTCTGTAGTTTACCTTCTTTTATAGGCGGGTCAAAGATATTGTTGTTTGTTGGAGGCATGATCTAATCATTACAAATTTTTAGCCCAGCCACACCAGCAGGTCTTATTTATAATTCCGCGAGTACCATGGTGATATTTCCCACTACTCTTAGGATAAGTATATATAGAATTGAATTCTTTAGCTTTGTTTTGTTCATGCAAAAGAACCACATAAATATTCAGAGAGTTGGATTTCTTGTTGCTCACTTTGAAACAGTTTTGAATTTTGGTATACCATGAATAGATTACTATAGATTACCTCTTTCTGATAATTTTGGAAAAATATATGTTGTGCTTACAAGATTTGAAAACCATTTGAAACAAATGATCTTGATATTCATCCAAATGGTTAAATGTAATATAGGCATTCAACTTTAGACAGTCTTGCTGAATTTTACCTCAAAAACTAAAGGACATGGACGGAGACTTTTGTTCACCCTTTATAAATCAACAGCAGAGTTGCCAGAGTGACATTCCAGGGGGATCAATAAAGAAAAAAGCAATCGCATGGCTTGTTGAGAAATGTGCTACAGTTTGAGCTTCAAGCTTTACAATCCTTGTTGGTCATAAATCTGTAACTCTTATGCTTCACCTGAGAAAACAATTTACTCAAGTCTTTGCAGGTGTAAACCACATGGTCTCACTGTCTCACATATTCCATTTCAACTTTATAAAGGCCGTCACTACTTCATCCAAGGTACAGCCTCTACGCTGGACTCACAGCTAAACGCCCTTCCGAAGTAAGTCCCACAAAGCACGAGTTCATAGTTGCAGTTACTAGTGATTGTTTTGAATGCATGACATTGTTGGCTGGTATTTCCCATAAGTACTGAAGCATTTGACACTGATCTATAGAGCATTGGTTTTTTCATTTTACTCTTTCTCTGCAAACTGTTACACCGTTTTACCTATGCACCGATCATGATCCATTTCGATCATCTCAGACTTACAAAGCTTGAGCCTTGCGTTCTCTCAGCCCTCTCCCGGTTTACCTTTGATTCAAGGTGTCATGATCTCATCACTACGTATTCGCATCCTTGGTAACGTCATCAAATGGTCAGGTGCTGATAGTTCATTTCTCTGCAAACGGCCAACACATTTCGGTTTACCTGTGATTCAAGGTGTCATGATCTCATCACTACGTATTCACATCCTTGGTGACGTCATCAAATGTCCAGGTGCTGATAGGCCACCTGGCCACTCCTTCCGATACACCTTCTGCGACCTTTCAAAGTTTTGTTTAATTTTTCAGTTGAGCTTATTACTTTTGCTAAAAAGCTTGGTCCGATCGAGAAAAAATAAAACAGAATCAGACCCAGATTTTGCCGCAGCAGTCACAACGCAGCAGAGAGAAGGATTTTGGGGGTGCTGTCTGGTCCTGTCGGCTCTGGTGCGACCTCCCTACCATTCCGCTGGTCCATCACCCATCTCTAGGCTCTAGTTCCCCATCACCTTGACCTCTTTCTTTGCACACTCTTGCAAGATGACGTTGTCAAACTCTTGGTAAGTCACTTTACGAGTTACATTAAAATATATCTCTTCTTTATTATCTATTGGTGTGCTTTCTAACAAACTTTTTGTATTGTTCGATTCAGATGACCATCCTCACAACACAGTCTGATATCCGTGATCGTCTTGCCTAGCTTTGTCTCACCATCACCTCACCAGCTCTTTCTTCCCACACTCTTTCAAGAAGGTTTTGAATTGTTGGATTGATCATAACGAGCATTTGTTAACAAATCAAAAAAAGAAATGATGATGAAGTTTTTACGGAGCTCACAACTGCTGTGCTAATGTGAGAGAAAAGCCAAGTTGAATGAGATGTATCCTAATATCCTCAACTTGTCCGGTGCCAAGCTATGCTGAATAACAATTGGATATCTCATGAAAGATATCTCAAATGTGAGTGACTTTTCAAGGTAAGCAAGATCATCAGAAACATCGACTGGTTATGACCAATATCAAAACCAATCAATTCCTGATTGATTCTCCTACAAGGCAATCCTATGATCGCAACTTGAGAACAATCTCAAATCTCTTATGAAATAAAACCTAAGATCTCATCGGGTTTGAAGTCAAGATTAACAACGATCTCATTTTTTTGAAGACATTCCACATCCAAGAATCGATTGATTTTGCTTGGTCAAAACCAATCAACCTTCCTATGCTCCTACAGAAAAGATTGTGAAAAATCTCAGCTCTCTTGTGTAATCTAGAGACTGATTTCACAAACAAGATCAAAATCGATTGCTTTGCTTGTGATCCTTTGAAGAAGATTGAAACGATTTCAGTTTCACGCCAATCTTATCTATAATTCCTTGTTTCTAATTTTTATACGATGACAATCTTCTCTAACTACAATTCATCTAATACAAACAAACGAGCTCCCCTTCAAATATCTGAAAACCACAATGATGATACAAAATTCCGTTCGACTGGATTTGACCTCGTAACTAAAACTTGTGATCTCGAGACAACAAACTTTGACACATTGAATCCAAAATCGATAGGGTTCAACTTGGGAAAGTATGGTGGTATGTATTGTAGAAGGATACCTAGAAATGATATTGGGGATCATCAGTAAGTTCAATTAATTGCACTGAGGAGACAAATGGGAGGAATTGAAGTAAAAAAAGTGTACCTTTTTCCTACAGATCAGCAATGGGTTGGCCACGATTGATAAACACGTTTCCAGGATGTGAGAAGCAGCAAGCGACTGAGTTGAGTTTAGTGATGAAAACAAAGTAATCAACAGG